TTTAAATTGAAAGAGTTGCATTTGTGAACTCCAGAAATAAAAAGTGAGGGAAGCAGAGTATGATATGGCCTGTGCCTTGATTACAAAGACAAAAACTGCTTTTTAAAATTATACCACCTGCATCAAATAACCCTGTAATTGTCTGAATTTCTGCTTTCACTGAAGTACTGAGACCTATTTAAAGTTAGTTAAGTCTTTGGGTGGCTGGGATCCATACACACTGAAATTGGATTGGAAAGATTTCCCCAAGGTTTTAAAAGTCAAAGGAGCGAGCCTGCAGAAAGGAAGAAGGGACTCTTGACAGTCAAGCAAAATTTTGTTAAGTGAGGCCTCTGCAGTGTTAAGTGAACTGTAAAAGCATGAAGTGGAAATTTGTGGAGAGAAGACTACTAGGAAACAATCTCTGAACAACAAAAACTGTTGTAGACCTTAGGGTCCTTTCAGAGGTCTGACTCCTTGTAAAATAAGACAGGACAAGCAACATCTAGACAAGGTTTTATTAGGTTTGTGCACAAGGGAGATAGCACCGGTAGAGGAAATTTCCAGCCTGGCTCTTAGAGGAGTGAGGCTGTGAAAAGAGTTTGAAGGGATTAGTCACCCAGGGTGGGGTAAAAGGGAGCAACATCACAGCTGGGCCATACTGGGGCGTGGACAGAAGTTACATGCTTCTTCATATGATGTATGTCTTAGTAAACTTGAGTTGCCACCCAAGTTTAACATGCTAACGAGACCTTGGTTACTCTTGATCAGGATTTTCACTAATTGCTCGTCAGGACATAGTACCTTTCATCTAAGTAGGGTGCCTTTGGTCACACTGGTGGGTCAAGCTGTTTAAACAAGATGTAAGGACATGTCAATTTGAAATGTAGTCCACTTGTTCAAATAGGACATTGGGCAACTCTCACCCTACCGTCTTGCAGTTATGCTCACCTTAAAATCATCAAACTGCAATTCGATGGAATATTAATTTCCAATCCTGATCCCCATTACCTGCTCTCATCCTTTTTGTCATTTTAGAAAAATCCTTGCTTATTCCAAATTTAGTGGAAAACATAAAAATATCACAAATAACAATACAGCATAATTTTGCTGGTCTGATTCATAAAGCTGGAAATTAAAATGTGTATTTGCACAGAACACTGTAAATAATCAGTCTTATAAAGATGCACAATTACTGTAGGTAAAGTGGTAAGAAATTCACATGCCCAAAATTCCTATGGTTGCTTGCATTTTTTAAACCCTTTCTTTTAAACTCTTAGTAGATATGAAAAAGCTTTAAAACCATTAAAACCTAAACCCTTATATGGCAGCCAGGATCTCTAAATAATATAAGGTAAATAATTTCAGAAACAGAGAAATTAATCAGAGTAAGTTGGAAAATTTACAGCTGTTCAAGTTGTATTTTGCAGTGTATTTAAAAGTAAACCTAGGAAATTCTACTCTTTGGAGGATAATAGCTCATCACAATGGTTAGTCATTATGCTAAGCAATGCATTGTACATTCTAACAATAATCTTACAAGATGGGCATTACCCACATTCTGATATAGAGAAAGTCACAGTGAATGATTTTGTGCAGAATGTAAGTCAGCCTTTTCAAAACAATTTCTTTAGGAGAAATCCCCATGTAAAACTAGAAGGTAAAGGACAATGAACACTGAAAAAAATCTTAGAACATATGGCCAAACCTGCTTTCCAAAATGGTTTTAATTTAGCAAAAACCCAATCCAACCAATAACTCATCAGGGATAATGTGTTCTTTAGTGCATGTTATAGACTGAGAGTTTGGAAAGGCAATATCCTCTCCTAAATTCGTCAATCCAGCTTCTAACCACCACTAGCTCAGAAAGAGACCATTTGAAGATAGCGTGTTTTACAGAGATAACGAAGGTTAAAGAGGATCATTAGGTGGATCCTAATCTAATGACTCACTTTTCTAAAGAAATTAGGACACAGGCATGCACACAGGAAAGACCATGAGAAGACTGGAGAAGATGGTCATCTACAAGCCAAGGACAAAGGCTTGAGAACAACTCTGCCCACATCTTTTTTTTTTTTTAATTTTTTTTTTTAATAGAGGCATGCTTTATTTATTTATTTATTCATTTGTTTGTTCTGTTTATACATGCACTGGGTACAGTCAGAAGCACGGGAGGGTGAGAGAATTCACCAGAGCCAGAGCGGGGAGCAGAGCAGGCAGAAGGACCGAAGTACACTGCTGAGGGGAGCAGCGGGCAGCAGGAGAGGTCTGCGCACCATGTGGGACCCTCCTCTGGTGGCTGGGGAGCAGCCGGGGATCGAACTGGCGCTGCAGAGGCTGCTGGCAGCTTCGCAACCCAGCGCTCAACAGCTGCGCCACCGGGGAGGCCCTCTGCCCACATCTTAATCTTCAACTTATGGTCTCTAGAGCTATGAGAAAACAAATTTCTGTTATTTAAACCAGAGTAGACAGTCCTATTCATTGACTTGGAGGAAAGTCAATAAATTACTTACTAGTTTAAAATGTTCAAACAAAAACAGATGAGAACACATGTCTTCAGAAATATCCAACACTAAGAGTTATAAATGTGTTGCTAAGTAGATCTGGAAATTTCCAAGTTCAACCAAGGTAAAATTTTAACTATTCAAGTTCCCATTAACCAAAAGGTCAGCAAAAGAGAGGTACAAAACAAGACTTAAGTATTCCAATGAACAGGTGAGGATACAATTCTAGAGAAGTAAAGAGGTATCAGGCAGTTTGATTATACCACCCCTTAGCACATTTAGCTCCTTTTGCTATGAAACTATGAGATTTGGCAACTTCTTATAGCCTAGACCCAGGGTTGGCAAACATTTTCTTAGAGTTAGGTAGTGAATAGTTGAGATTTGCAGAACTTTTGGTATCTTTCACAACCAGTCGAAACTAGTTTTTAGCACAAGGCCAGAGACAAAACATGTATGTATTCCCATATGAATGGGAATGGCTGAGTTCCAAGACTTTATTTACAAAAGCAGCTAGCCGGCCTGAGGCCTATAGTTTGCTAGTCTAGTCAGATGTGGAACAATATTACTTACTTTTTTTTTTTTCAATTTTTTTAAAGATTTATTTGTTTATACACGCACTAGGTTATAGTCAGAAGTGGGGAGGGTGAGAGAATTCACCAGAGCCAGAAACAGAATAGCAGAGTGACGAAATACACTGCTGAGGGGAGCAGCGGGCGGCAGGAAAGGTCTGCGCGCCTTGTGGGACCCTTGCCGGAGGCCAGGGATAGAACTGACGCTGCAGAGGCTGTGGTGGTCAGCTTCGCAGCCCAGCGCTCAACCACTGCGCCACCAGGGGAGGCCCAATATTACTTTCTTTATAAAGAAAATTTGGGTTGATCAACAATATTCTAATTTTTAGTTTATACTTACTGCCAATAAATAAATTGATCAGAACATCAATCACCCAACTACTAATGGGATAGTGTGATCAGTCAACTCAGTGTGAGTGGATAGAAATCAGTGTTGTAAATTGTGATCCTCATGGTGCCTACTATAGGCCTAGAGTGGGAGGCCAGCATACTTTCTTATCTATGAAATCCTTATAATTATTAACTAAGCAGACATTATAGATTAAGCTCTAAGAACCAAAAAAAGCACCATTTAAGAAAAAAATGGTGGCGTTAGAATAAAAATTGAGGGAATGCCAGCTAGTGCAAAAATATCTTGACAGTCAATAAAAGTATCTTAAGCATGATGAAAAATTCTTTTTCTATTTATTTTTTAAGATTTATTTATTTATACATACAAGAACTGGGGTACAGACCAGAGTTGGGGGGGGGGTGGTGAAAGGATTCACCAGAAACAGAGGAGTGGGGATCAGAACAGGCAGATCGACCAAAATACACTGCTGAGGGGAGCAGCGGGCAAGACAGGAGAGGTCTGCTATGCCATGTGGGTTGCTCCCTGGCCAGCCAGGGGATTGAACTCATGCTGCAGTGGCTAACGTGAGCTTCATAGGTTGCATCTTAACCCCTTGCACCACTAGGGAGGCCCTTTTTTAATATTTAAAGGGCAGGTTTATTAGGGAAGGGATAAAACAGTTAAAGACACTTCCATAGACACAAGCAGGCAGGAAGACCTGCCCCCAGAAGGGACAGGTTTGCTAAGAGAGGCCTGCATGGTTGCAGGCAGATGGTCTTGACAGGGCACAGGCAGGCAGGAAGCTGCTGCCCTGCAGAGGTAGAGAGTTGGTGAAAAGAGGTACCTGCATAGTCACAGATGGGCAGTGGGATTGCTGCCAATGACAAGTTTAATGACATGTTTGAAAAAGATAAAATGTGGCAAAATACACTCTGCCAGAAAGAGGTTCGAATACTAATTATAGAAACCTAGATGATTAACATTAAGGTGAAACAAAATGTGAGGGCATCAGTATAGCTGGAACCACATTCAGTGGAAAGTAGAGACAGTAACAAGATAGCTATAAGCTATCAAAAAAGTAGTTAAGAAAAAAAAATCTAATTAGCCATCTGCAGAAATGATTGAAACGAGGAAATACTCAAGTTTTAGGAATACCCAAAATCTAATGAAGATGCTCTAGACAAGAAGGGGAACATGGTTCTTGATAGAATGAACAATAGAACCTGAAATAGCCTGATTAGGTGAGAACCCTATGCTGGAGACAGATGTTAGGAGAGTAATTTCTACTTACTTCATACATGCCAGAAGCTTTACACACATTATTGAATATTATTTACGGGTGGTAAAACTAAAGGTTGGAGATGTTAACTTGCCTAAAGTTACTAGTAGAGGGCAGAGCTGTGATTAAAACACAAACCAGACTCTCCAACTGGTACTATTAACAAACAAATTGTATTTCCCAATGGATCACCCATAGAACTCTGTCTAGCAATATTTTATACCCAACATTTTTTTTTTTATTTATTCATTTTTATTTATTTATTTATTTTTTTGTTTGTTTGTTTGTTATACATGCACTGGGTACAGTCAGAAGCGCGGGAGGGTGAGAGAATTCACCAGAGCCAGAGCGGGGAGCAGAGCAGGCAGAAGGACCGAAGCACACTGCTGAGGGGAGCAGCGGGCGGCAGGACAGGTCCGCGCGCCATGTGGGACCCTCCTCCGGTGGCCGGGGAGCAGCCAGGGATTGAACCGGCGCCACAGAGGCCGTGGGCAGCTTCGCAACCCAGCGCTCAACCACTGCGCCTCTGGAGAGGCCCCCTGTCTAGCAATATTTTAAAAGGTACACTTAAAACTTTTTTTTTCCCCATAGAAAATCAGTTGGGAAATTCTGTTTACTGTACTCCAGAACTTAGACCAGAGAAAACAGCAAATGGATTGGCTAGCCTATCTAGACCATTTATTTCTAACTGCACAAGGTAAATAATTAGTGGAAAATAATACTTTTAGGCTGTGGATAGGAGTATGTAATCAACACACAGCAATATATGTTCAAAAATGCCCAGGTTTGGGCCTCCCTGGTGGCGCAAGGGGTTGAGGCGCAACCTGTGAGGCTGGCCCCAGCCACTGCAGCATGAGTTCGGTCCCCGGCCAGGGGGCTGCCCATGTGGTGCAGCAGAACTCTCCTGACTTGCCCACTGCTCCCCTCAGCAGTGTGTTTCGGTCGATCTGCCTGTTCTGTTCCCCACTCTGTCTCTGATGAATCCTCTCACCCCCACACTTCTAACCTGTACCCCAGTTCTTGTATGCATAAATAAATAAATCTTTAAAACAAACAACAAAAATGCCAGGGTTTGAGGCTCAGCATTTAAAAACGAATGTTTATATTCAAATTTTTTTTTAAATTAAAACTTAAAAAATACATTGGATAATAGCTGTAGTAAAGTATATGCTCTAAGAATGGGAGTAAAATATGTCTAGCTCCCCATGGTACCACCAACCCATAGATCTTAGTAGTAAACAAGCAAGATGATAAAATCTGACATCATCAAAACTGGGTAAACCACAATAGGTGTGGCCCTCAATAACTCTGCCAACTATTTGTTTACGTTTATTATAGTTACTGAGCAAATGGGTTGGCATGAATAGTTATGTCCTTAATGTGCACATCATTAAGAGGTCGGTATGTCTTCTCATTTACTGGTAGCTTCTCCAATTCATCCAGCGTCTCCAGACCATCTATTACCCTGAAAGAGAAAAAATGTGTGAGAATTTCCTGATTGAAATATAAAATCCAAATACCTACAGCAATTTATAGACTTAAGAGAAAAGGAATAAGTATTAGAGTTCTCTTTATTTCCTAGTTCGAGTATACACTGAAATACTGATTTGATTTTCTGACATAGATATGGGCCAAGTTCAGAAACAAGTATTTATTTTTATGCCTTTTAAAAACAATTATTTTCCCAACATCATAATTTTTTTTTTTTTAAGATTTATTTATGCATACAAGAGCTGGGTACAGGCCAGAGGGGTGTGTGTGTGTGGGGTGAGAAGATTCATCAGAGACAGGGTAGGGAGCAGATCAGGCAGAATGACTGAAATACACTGCTGAGGGGAGCAGCGGGTGAGTCAGGACAGGTCTGCTGTGCCATGGGGGTTGCTCCCTGGCCTGCTGGGGAATAGAACACGTTACAGAGGCTGCAGACAGCTTCATAGATTGTGTCTTAACCCCTGTACCACCAGGGAGGTCCACAACATCATCTTTTTTATGCCTATAGACAACAATCAGCAATGGGTAGGAATATTCCCACCAAAATATGTGAACACTGTATTCTGCCCCATTCATATAGAATAGCTACCAATGTAATCAATGTAACCAAGTGGAAGGTTTTCTTTGCTATGGGAAATAACCTGGAGAAAATATGTAAGGATGACACTGTTTTTTTTTTTTTTTAAAGATTTATTTATTTATTTATTTATTTATTTATTTATTTATTTATACAAGCACTGGGTACAGTCAGAAGCGCGGGAGGGTGAAAGAATTCACCAGAGCCAGAGCGGGGAGCAGAGCAGCCAGAAGGACTGAAGTACACTGCTGAGGGGAGCAGTGGGCAGCAGGAGAGGTCTGCACGCCATGTGGGACCCTCCTCCGGTGGCCGGGGAGCAGCCGGGGATCGAACCGGCGCCACAGAGGCTTCAGGCAGCTTCGCAACCCAGCGCTCAACCGCTGTGCCACTGGGGAGGCCCCAAGGATGACACTATTAATATCAGTACAACAATGACCCTGAAGTAGGTGGTGACATTGCACTTTGTTGTTTAAATATGCAGTTTTTACATTTTTGTTTCTGAACAATAAAAAGCAGTAATAATAAAAAGGGAAAAAAAGGAACACAATTAATCTACTTCATGTTTCCAACTCCCCCCCCGCCCCCCCTGAAAAAAAATATGGAAAGCTAGCCTTCAAGTATGTTCTGGAAACTTAGGTGAAAACATTTGTTAAAGAAACAATGGCTTTTAAGAATACATATTAGTACAACTCAAATCAATTCCTAAAACCTATAGTATGCACTTAAATAGATGCATGTTTTATTTTACATTTCCACTGAAATAGTACTATGACCAAAATCTTTTGATTTTACTCTCAATGTAGGACAACTAAGGTCTTTAAATTGTAAGTTTTTTTTTTTTTTTTTAAAAGATTTATTTATTTATTTATACAAGCACTGGGTATAGTCAGAAGCACGGGAGGTGAGAGAATTCACCAGAGCCAGAGCAGGAAGCAGAGCAGGCAGAAGGACCGAAGTACACTGCTGAGGGGAGCAGCAGGCAGCAGGAGAGGTCTGCGCGCCATGTGGGACCCTCCTCCGGTGGCCGGGGAGCAGCCGGGGATCGAACCGGCGCTGCAGAGGCTGTGGGCAGCTTTGCAACCCAGTGCTCAACCGCTGCACCACCGGGGAGACCCTAAATTGTAAGTTTTTAAAGCATTATAACCATCTAGGTTAGGAGAAAAACAGAGGATGTAGGTAGATCTCAGGCAAAAAATGGCATGTAGAATTGAGGAATGTCTTGTTAAGTATATGGGGTATGGGCCCCTTTGCAAACTAGTAGAAAGCTACGTGCCACCTTCCTAGAAAAATGTGGGTGCAAACTTTCAAGGAGTCAGTGGACCTAATAAATCTAAGGTCAAGAATCCTTGTTTTAGACACTACAGTTTTGTCACAAATCTAGTAAGATAAGTCCTGGTAATTACTGATCAATAATCCTGAGTGGTAGGTTAAAAGTAAAAGGAAAGGAACTTGGATTATGCATATACATACACACAGAGAGAGATTCTCAGAGAGTATAATATTTCATTAATTAGTCATAATATAGAGACATATACATATATAATAAAGAAAAGTTATAGGATCTTCTTTTTTTTTTTGCATAGAAGAGCTGGGGTGTAGGCCAGAGGTGTGGGGTTGGGGGTAAGAGGATTCACCAGAGAAAGAGCAGGGAGCAGAACAGGCAGATTTATTGAAATACACTGCTGAGGGCCTCCCCTGGTGGCAGAGTGGTTCAGCGTTGGGCTGCGAAGCTGCCCGCAGCCTCTGCAGCACCAGTTCAATCCTGGCCGCCAGGCAAGGGTCCCACATGGCGCACAGACCTCTCCTGCCGTGCCCACTGCTCCCCTCAGCAGTGTACTTCGGTCCTTCTGCCTGTTTTGCTCCCCGCTCTGGCTCTGGTGAATTCTCTCACCCTCCCGCGCTTCTAACTGTACCCAGTGCTTGTATAAATAAAATAAATAAATCTTAAAATAAATAAATAAAATGAAATACCCTGCTGAGGGTAACAGCAAGTGAGACAGAAAAGGTCTGCTGTGCCATGTGGGTTAGCTCTCTGGCTGGGGACTGGATCGAACTCAAGCTACTATAAGGGTGACAGCGCTGAGACTTAGCCCCTAGTCCACCATGGATGCCCAGAACATTCTATTTTTAATTAACTTAACTTGGCTTCCAAACTGATAATACAGTTTAGAACTATGCCTTGGTTTACTGAACTTAGTAAATATTTGTTGAATGAACAGACACTAGGCTTCCTGATTTATAAAAACATTTCCTGGGCATAATGCTTAGAATGGATATTCTGACCAAGACTGCTAAATACTTCTCTGGGATCCAGTCTTCCCTTTTCTTATTCACAGAAACCCGATTTCATTGACTATCAATGTGTCCAATTGAAAATTATTTCCGGGCCTCCCTGGTGGCGCAGCAGTTGCGCGCTGGGCTGTGAAGCTGCCCGCAGTCTCTGCAGTGCCAGTTCGATCCCCGGCTGCTCCCCGGCCACCGGAGGAGGGTCCTACATGGTGCGCAGACCTCTCCTGCCGCCTGCTGCTCCCCTCAGCAGTGTACTTTGCTCCTTCTGCCTGCTCTGCTCCCCGCTCTGGCTCTCATGAATTCTCTCACCCTCCCGCGCTTCTGACTGTACCCAGTGTTTGTATAAATAAATACATCTTTAAAAAAAAAAAAATTATTTCCTATCCTTCCCTGACAAGTAAGGGGAGGTAATATTGTTAAATTCTGGTCTTCCAGGAAGCACTTTAGAAAGGGGCAGCCTTAGCTGGCAAGCACTTTTTGTCCTTCCTTCCTCTTTCTACTTGGAATATATTCTGATTAGAATAGTGCTGCCCATATTACAATCATGAAGTAAGCTTGAGGGTGGAAGATAAAAATTGTTAAGAAGAAAGACAGAGGGGCCTCCCCGGTGGCGCAGCGGTTGAGCGCTGGGTTGCGAAGCTGCCCGCGGCTTCTGCGGCGCTGGTTCGATTCCCGGCTGCTCCCAGGCCACCGGAGGAGGGTCCCACATGGCGCGCAGACCTCTCCTGCCACCCGCTGCTCCCCTCAGTAGTGTACTTCGGTCCTTCTGCCCGCTCTGCTCCCTGCTCTGGCTCTGGTGAATCCTCTCACCCTCCCTCGCTTCTGACTGTATCCAGTGCTTGGATAAATAAATAAATCAATCTTTAAAAAAAAAAAATAAAGTTGTCTGTTTTTGTTTTATTGTGTTTGTATTTTTTTTTTAAAAGATTTTATTTATTTATTTTTGTGAAGAACTGGAGCACAGGCCAGAGGTGGGGGGCGGTATGTGTGTGTAAGTGGATTCGGATTCACCGGAGACAGAGTGGGGAGCATAACAGGCAGATCTACTGAAATACACTAAGGGGAGCAGTGAGCAAAACAGGAGAGGACTGCTGCACCATGTGGGTTAGCTCCCTGGGACTGAACTCAAGCCACTGTGGTGGGCCTTCTCAGTGGTAGTGCTTAAACTTAACCCCTAGGCCATAGTGAGGCCCTAAAATGCTATTCTTAATGAGAAACAGAATAATTATGGCTAATGTTTATAAGTATTGGCCCCTCTTACAAAGTAAGGAAACTGAGGCTGAGAGGTTATATACCTTTCCTGAGGTCACAGGGCTAGCTCACTGGTGGACTTAAATTCCAGGGATATTTAGGTCTCATACTATTCTTTCAACATTGGTTATGCTACTATATTTACTCATGTACATCCCTTGCACTGAAATTCGAAAGAAGAAAACCATATACAGAATACTCACTTTCCAAATACTGTGTATTTCATGTCCAAATGTGGCTGCTTGCCATAAGTGATAAAGAACTGAGATCCATTGGTGTTTGGGCCATTATTAGCCATAGACACAACGCCTCTAACGCTGTGCTGAAAAAGACAAAATTACTGATTTTTTAATCAATATCCCAAATATAGGACTGAAACAAGACAACAAACTGTTTAACTTCTCAATATTTAGGAGACCAAGAAAACATTTAATTTGTGTCTCTACTGGGGCTAATCCAGATGTCCAGTTTCTCTAATCTCTATATTCAAAAAAAAAATGTATGTATATTGCTTATATATCAAATCATATTCCCCAATTAATTTCATTTTCACTTTGGAGAGGTACAGCCACAAAAACGTTTAGCAATACCAATGTATAACAGAAATAGTCCTTACATTTATATTAAGGAACAGTGTGCTGGCATGAAACGATCAGGCAGACAACATAACCAAAATCCCCATAATTTCTTCACACTGGACTCTGGCTAGGTTCTTTATCTGTAAAACAAGGGAGGTCGGACTAGCTCACGGGTTTATTTGTACTTCAAATGCTCACAAGTGTCAGCAGATAAAAACTGATCAGTGGGCAGAATGTAAACATTAGGAGGGGTGGAGTCTGGCAAAAGAAATAGTGTATCGCTTGCCTAGTGGCATTAAAAATTATTTTTTTAACCAATGGCCATAGAGAATGCATCTGTATGTATGACTCCACCCATGGAGGATTGCAGTTCATAACTCCAGGACTGAATGATCTAAGGAAGATCTCATCTAACTCAAATATTCATACTATTTGTGATACAAGGAACTGTACACAGTAAAAGGATTTACTGATAAGACTGAAGGCATGAAAGAAGTGTGTTATAAGGAGGTGCCCCCCCCCAAAAAACTACAAATAACTCCCAATGATTACTCTATCTTTAGCTAGTCATTAGAGAACATAAGTGAAATGGAGATGCCATCAAGATAGTAATGCTCTGTCTCCCTAAAGGTGATTACCAAGCAAAAGTAGTATTTGATACATAAGAATATATGTACCACTTGTAACTTAATGAGAACCTATTAAACTACTTCTATGCTTTAAGAATAAGAATTGCTGCCTATGTCTATGTACTCCTCCCATCTATTACCTCAGCTTCTACACGATGTAACAACTATTCTTATATTGCATATATGCAACATATTGGCATATGCCAATGTTATTTCCTTTTGACTGCTTCTGAGTTCTATGAAATGGTATCATACTAATTGTAATCTTGGGAAATGCTTTCTACACATACTATGTTTCTAATATTCATACATGTATAGGTAGTTGTAGTTCTAATACATATATTTTTTACTCCTTGATAATATTCTACTACTGAGTAGTTCCATTGTTCTCAGGATCAATGTACATTTGGATTATTTAGATTTTTGCTATACAATATTAGTCTAGGAACACTGTCACAATGTCTCCTGATGTACACATACAAGAGTTTCTCTAAACATTTGGGAATGAAATTGTTGGGTCAAAGTATGTGACCGTTCAACACATATCCTTAAATATAATAATTCTAAAACTCGTCTACGCAGAAATCACCAGGGACCCTTAAAATATAATCAAGGTCCTAAAAAGTACTACTGACTGTTTTTCTTTTATTCAGTGGAGATAAGGTCCTATTCTCTCATATTTTTAGAACTTCACAGATGAGTCTGTAACAATCAAGACTGAAACCCACTGATAGAGTATTACAGGCAAGTATTATGGAAACAGTCATTAACTAAAGTCTAAAAATAAAAAGTTCTTTCTAATGCATGAAAAGAATGTTTTTTAAGAAAAAATAATTTATTCCCCAAACCCAACCCCTATAACAAAAGTAACATTTCTTTATGATAGAAAAGCAAAAATAAATTACTCCTATCCTACCATCCAGAGATAAACAAGGGGTAAAGTCTCAGCACTATGAAGCTATTGGCAGCCACTGCAGCATGAGTTCAATCCCTGGCCAGAGAGCTGACCCACATGGCACATTAGACCTCTCCTGTCTTGTCTGCTGCTCCCCTCAGCAGTGTATTTCAGTCAGTCTGCCTCTTCTGTATCTCCGGTGAATCCTCTCATTCCCCCCCACCTCTGGCCTATACCCCAATTCTTTTTTTCCCCTCATTTATTTATTTATACATCATTGTTTATACCCCAATTCTTATATGCATATGGAAAAATCAATCTTTTAAAAAAAACAGAAGATGATAAAAGTTGGAAATTGATAATGGGCAATATTGCAAACAATCTACTCTCAAAAAGGCCTATGATTCAAGTCATTTGATATGAATTTTTTAGCCTGACTTTAAGACCCTTTGGCATATTACTGAGTAAAGACTTCAGATATCAAGAACCATGTGATGGTGAAATCCCAGTAAATATTTTAAGTCAGAACGACCACAAATTTTTTTTTCCTGCATATCATTCATCAGGTATGCAAAAACTACAGAAAAGTATACTTATTTAGTAATGATGTTAACTTGTATTTCTATAACTTAGTGTCAAAATTTCCAAGTATAAACAAGGCATGGAAAAAACAGATTCTGAAGCTGGGTATATACCTTAAGATATTCACTGTATTCATCCTCAAACTTCTTGCCCCAAATACTGTTACCACCTCTTCCTGTACCTGTATTACAAGACATCAAAACAAAGATCTAAGTTGAAAAAGGTACTATTTTGAAACAAAGACTAGTTTATAATACAACTCTTTAAATACAAATAAAATGTGATAGCTCCTAACTTCCCAAAATTTAACTTCAGAGACCAGGAAAATAAAATCTCTGCACAAAAAACAAATCTTCCTATTCAATGTTTTTCAATTTTAAGGTTAGGAGCTTAAATTTTTTTTGCTGTGGTAAGCCAGCCTAGTTGTAAGAATGCCAGAGGTTTTATTTTTCTCTTTTTTATCTTTCCCACTTTTTCTCTATATACTTAACTCACAAGATGTTAATGAAATAACTTACCTGTTGGATCTCCAGTTTGAACCATAAAACCCTTGATATTTCTATGAAATATACAGCCATTGTAGTAATTACTGGCACAAAGAGCCAAAAAATTCTGGAGAGTAAAAATAATGATAGAGAAATGAGGTAGTAAAACACATTAAGAAAAAAAAATGTATTTACTGAAAGCTCTATAAGAGCATATTTAAACTGACTTTTAAACATTACTTTGGAAAATGTAATTTCCCTGCCTATAACACTTAAAGGCTTCTCTCGTTTCTGAGACAAAGAACAAAATCCTCAACAGTGTCTAAGAAGTTTTGATGACCTGGCCTACCCCTACATTTCATATGGTAACAACCCTTTTTCTGTTGCTTATTAAGCTAACCTCATCAACCTTCTGAATATTCATCCAAAGAGGCAGGTTTTCCCACCTTGAGGCCTTTGTATTTGCTATTTCTACACCTGGAATATTCTTTTTTATATCCTTTTACACTGAAAGAACTTCATATTACCTTTCATACTCAGTTTAAGTAACCCTTTCTTGGCTAGGCCTGTCCTCACATCCTTCTTTTAAGTAATTACTTTCCCATTATTCTCTCTCTCTCTTTTTTTTTTTTTTTAAAGATTTATTTATATACGCATACAAGAGCTGGGATACAGGCCAGAGATGCAGAGGGTGAGAGGATTCACCAGAGACAGAGTGGGGAACAAAACAGGTAGACTGACTGAAATACACTGCTGAGGGGAGCAGCAAGTGAGACAGGAGAGTTCTGCTGCACCATGTGGGTTTCTCTCTGGCCGGCCAGGGGTTGAACTCGTGCTGCAGAGGCTGCATTTTGCTTCATAGTGCGGTGCTTAACCCCTTGTGCCACCAGGGAGGCCCTACCATTATTCTCTATCTCAACACTTTATTGTCTTCAAGGTTTGCTTTTTTTAAAAAAGATTTTATTTATTTATGCATACCAGAACTGATGTGTAGGCCAGAGGTGTGGGGGTTAAGAGCATTCACCAGAGACAGAGTGGGGAGAAGAACACGCTGATCTACTGAAATTCACTTCTGAGGGGAGCAGCAGTCAAGACAGGAAAGGTCTGCTGGGCCATGTGGGTTAGCTCCCTGGCCAGGAATCAAATTCATGCCACAGTGGCTGGCAATAGCTTAATAGTGCTGACTTTAACCCCTGCACCACCAAGAAGGCCCTCCTTCAAGGTTTTATCATCCTCCTCTAGAATTACTTTTCTTCCTAGAATGAATCCCCGTTTCCCTGTCCCCTTACAGAGAATATTAGCTCCATGAGGGCAAGTAATTTATCTTGTTCATCACTGTATTCCCAGGCCCTGGCAAGATAGCTTTTCCTAAATCATTGTTGAAGAATGAATGCATATATATATAGCTGACTCTTCTTCATTCTGTTCTTGTCATTTAAACAAGTAAAATAATGTATGAAACAGTTCTTTTACCTAATATCCTAATGATTATTTACATTTCCTGAGGAAAATGAGTCAAAAGAAAAAGATACCAGACACTGTATGTGTCTGGTATAAAAAGATACAGAAAAATTATCTACTCTTTCTTTGACTCACCTTTGATATCAGGAAAGGCAAATAGAAATTAGGCCAGAAATTATGATGCCAGTTTTTCCTGACAATGGTTTGATAGATGAATTGATTTTTTCCCTCTTGGTTAGGTGATTCACTTTCAAAATGATTATCCTGTTGCATTATTTTTTATAGGTACATAATGGCACTTACCTCACATGTTCTGGGTGTCCTCTCACAGAAGACTTCTATTTTAATATCTCCTACATCAGTATGCAATGTGACTGACTAAAAAGGAGAGAGAATGTGAGAACAAATAAGATTTCTTCAGGTGACTTTATGTACTATAGTATTTTCCTGACTAGATATTCAAGATGACACTATGAATAACACAAATAGATAAATAAATGTTTTCAGAAATGACCTGTCCACACAGCAGCTCTGAGAGGTAAGTTGTACTTCTTCAAAATTTGTTTCAGTAGAAAAAAACTCCAGAAGATAAATACAAATGTTAAGGTAAAATGATTATCAATGCTCAAAGTTGTGGAGCAAGTATTGTGATAGAAATAATTATTTTAAGTTTAAAATTTTCATCAACAAAACTAAAAACTATGTTAATATTGTTGATTTTAATGGCAAATCACAAACATCATTAATACTTATTTAAAAATAGCAAAAAAAAGACTTTTTAAAACACCATTTTCCTTATGTAACTTAATTCTGGAAGACAGGATCAAAAAACAATTTCTCAGCTAAAGAGAACAAATATAAAAATTATCCCTTTTCCCAATACTATTATAAATGTGCAAAGGTAGTATTGGTACTCCTTATGGCTTTTTATTTTGTTTGTTTGGTTTTGGTAGCTTGTATGTTCCTGTTAATGCATTCCAGAGAGGAGAGAAACCTACTCTGAGGCTTTCTTTTTCATTTCTTTTCTTATAAGAGTAGCTTGCAGTCAAGAGTATAGCCAGGCAGAAGAAAGAGGGCAGGAGTATGTTTGTGTAAGTGGGCAGGGCACTATTTTCATTGTTCTTGCTTTACTTCAAGTTCTAGATGCCTGCATTAGTTCCAGATCAAAAGGATCCAATTAAACTATCACACGTGGTGATGTGCATCTGAGGTGTGATTCTATGCAATGAATCACACACAATGTTGTGAACCAACATTACTGCAATTAAAAAAAAAAATTTTAATTCTCACACCTGGCTATACTCTTCTACTCCAACTCCCCCTTCCTTGTAAACAACTTTTTCCATGAGGTAACTTCCGTGTATTTTAAGTTAAAAAAATTGAAGAAGTTAAAAGGAATTTTGCTTATTTTTGGTTTCGTTTACAATCATTTTACACGGTCAAGTTTTACAACTTATCATTTCTCTGTCTTGCCATTGAAACATCCATGCAGCTGTTTCCCTTGACAGACTTTCTAAAAATTATAATGAAAAACATTCACAAGAATTTTATATAACTTACCATTTTTCTTCTTGAATGTTTCAGGAAATAATTACTTAATTTCTCACAGTCTTATAACGTTCGAAAACGAGTCTCTATTACCAAAAGAAAAAAAGAATTAAGTTGATTTTCCTCTCAATTTACACATACATCTTTACTGCATATTTAAAGGAAAAAGATTTTGAATAGCACCCCAAGCAATAATAATTTGGTTATAGAAGTGAGGAGAGCCTACCGCACTCGAACTACGGTTCCCTTTTCAAAAATCTCCCTTCAAGTCCTCCAACAAAGCGGGGTACATTTCCGTCTGAGGAGTATAGACGTGGGGGTCTGGGTTTTCTCTGCATAGAATGCTTACACTGAAACACGTGTGCTCTAATCGCCTCATCCTTAAGGCTGCTCAAAAGTCAGCTCTCACTGACCTAACTATTTAGAACCATCTAGGGCCTCCCCGGTGGCGCAGCGGTAGAGCGCTGGGTTGCGAAGCTGCCCGCAGCCCCTATGGCGCCGGTTCGATTCCCGGCTGCTCCCCGGCCATCCCACATGGTGCGCAGACCTCTCCTGCCACCAGCAGTGTACTAATTCTCTCACCCTCCCACTGTACTGCATGCCCCCTTTCCTTTTCCATAGAACTTATCACTGACACACTATATACTTTCCTAATTTATTAAGTCTGTCATTTCAACACCCTTTCCGGCCAGAATGGTGACTGCCCAAAAGATTGACTTGAAGTAGCCCAAGAGCTCAGAAGGGGTTTGGATAAATAAAAGAACGAGTGACCTTACCCCATACTTACTCAACCCCTTCAGCTAGCACGGCTGCTGTTAAAACCGCCAGGACCCTGACTCAAAGTTAGAGTCCGGGTCACCGGAAGTCGGGCGCGGGTCCCATTGAAAAACTCCTCTCATCTGCTCTCTCCTCCTTCCCCCTCCTCCTGTCTCAAACCAAAATCTCTAGAACTAGGGAGACAGTGTAATCTGTCCCCACACGGAGCACTTCTGACAGCGTAGGGGAGCTCTTTCAACAGAAACACTGGGGCAAGAAGTGCAATCAGGATCGATCCTAAACAACTCTAGACACGCCGGGCGCCGACGTCACACCGAGCGCCGGCACAACTCCGCGCGAGCGACTTCCGGTCGCTTTCCTTCCGCCCGGGTCCTAGTCATCTACGCCGAGACCTTCCGCGCAGGACCGGAAGTTACGTACAAGGATCGTTCACGGAACTGGTGAGATTTGCGATTTAAATTCCCGAGCGGGTAGCTGAGGTCGCTGTTGCGGGCCCTGGTCCGTGCTAACTGTGGTATTTTGTGGGTGCTGGACGACAGACGGCGGGAGCGGCGAGAGGGGCAGAAAACTGGCCGCGCGAGAGCTTGTGGCACTAGGTGGGCGGGGTGGTGGCTTACGGGCTGACCATGCCGCCTGGACTTCCGTTGTTGCAAAAGGCCTGAAGTGGGACTGAAATGAGGGATAGATGAGGTAACCTAAGAGGGTGAGGTTTGCTGCAAGGTGCACACTACTAGTGTCATTTAGCGCTGAGACACGGTGCTGTCTGGGCCAGGCATTGCTCCCAGCTGTACCCTGAAATCTCATGACAACATTCTGTGCCGGGTGCTGTTCAGAGAAGGAAACTGCGAGGTTAAGTCAGTTCCTTCCTTAGCTGTGGCTCCTGGAGTCATTCTGTTTTTTCACTCGTGCACTTTCCCTCTGTGTTACACTTCCCTACCACCCCCCATTGTTCTTTGTGGCTTCAAGTTAAGCAGCTTCGCAGTTTGCTAATCTGTGAAATGGAAGGTGTCCTTCTGTTATAGGGCAACCCCGATATAAAACATGTTGCCTGGCTGTGGGTCCTCACCCGCGCACTTAAAAGGGACTTATTAATACTCCACTACAGGCACACACAAAAGGTTAATAAAAGGTTTATTTACAAGGGAAAGGGAATTAAGGAAATGTACAACTCAGGGAGAAAATAGGGAAATAAAGTCTTTAATGCGTCCTACCCGATCCGCCAACCTGGAAACCCAAAGTCACTCTCAGAGCTGGACAGACGCTAACAGCTGGCAGGGAGCCAAAATGGGGGAATCCCTTCCAAAGCCCACGTGTCTGGCTTTATACCAAACCTGGCTGCTTAACCCCACCCTCAGGTCCCAGCCACCTTCCCTTTGGTGGTGATGGGATTTGGAGTTCCCAGTGTCTTTTGGCTTTGGTCTGGAGTGGGGGGTGGAGTCCACAAAGCCTGTATGGAATTAGCTTTTGGACATCCTTTTCCCCCTAACAATTCCATATAATTTCCAAGGACTCTTTAAGATGTAAAAGTAAATAACTCAAAATTGCTGTGATCGCCCACTGGGGCCTCATGTTCACGTTCGTGCTTGCCAGATTTACGAGTCTGGAGAGTGGATTAGTTAGGATGTGGAATGTGGAGGGTAGAAGTGGTGGAGGCCATTAGAAGATCTTCCAAAATTCTAGGCTTGGGAACTTTTGGAGGGTCCATATCACTTCATGTATCCAATAGCACCTACATCTCATATTAAGTATTTTTGCTGTAGAAATGTTGAAAACAATTGCTTTTAGAATCATTGAGTTATGTTTCGTGACGTTTAAAATCGGCTCTTTCTCGTTTCTTGTTAATTGCGCATACTATGAAATGCTTTTTTTCAAAAACAAAGTTGCTCATAGTAAGTTTAAGAATGGATTTCACAATGGTACTGTATCGGGGTTGCTCTACAACAGTACATCTGGCATTATTCAAGTTAACATTTTCTGATTTTGTAATTTTCATATTTTAGAGCTAACCATTATTCCTGCCTTCCATTTTCCTCCTACCTTGCTGGTTTTTTGGGCCAGCCTGTCTATTTTCTTGGATGTAGAAGTAGTCTAGAAGACTGGCAGACTGGGCAAAGTGGGCTACATCTTAACCTCTCCAACGTCTTGAACCTTTGTTGAGCAGGTGCTGATTGAGTGACCTTTTCCCTCCTGACCCTGCCCATGTAGAGCGAGCCACCTGTCAAAGGGTTTGAAATAACAAAAGTAAAATCAGTGAATTACTGGAGTAGTAGAAGTTCATTGTGCATCCACCAAAAAGAAAGTTTGCTAACTAGCAGTGTTCAAACTAAAACATGGAATGAAAATCAGGGATATGTTGTTAAAAAACTTTTGTAGTGTGAAGGCAGAGACTATTCCTAGAAGTGGTTGGTTATATTAGAATTTTCTTAAATGATTGGGAATTGATTAGCTGTTACCTCACCTATTTTGGGAAACATTCTGAATTTTTTGTATGATTTGCAGAGGCATAAGCCAGAAATAACCCTGGTCAAATTAGTCTTGCAAAGTAAATACATTTTTTTTTTTATTTTTACATTTTAAAAGGACATTTATTGGGAAAGGGAGAAAGAAAAACAAAAGAGACAGCGATGGCATAGACACAAATGGACAGACTTGGGATGAGAGCTGCATTTTGCTTGTGTAGAAATCGCTCAGATCCAAAGTAAGCTAAATTAAGCTTTGTATGATGAAGCTGGTTAAAATTTTCAAGGCTGGTTTCTTTTATTTTAACACACCTTTTTGTTTCATAATTCTGGCTACTGACAAAGAATTTTTTTATGAGGCACTTTTTAATGCCAGTGTATATATACCAACCTAACTGCAAATTTTGCCATGGTGGGAGCAAGGGGCTGGTCGGTCTGTGCAGTGGCCATTTAGTGCTGGCTTACTTTGGTCATACTGAGACACATAAAAGATAGTTCCTTTTCTCTGTAGCTTTAGCAGTCTGGGCGAGACAGACAAATAGGAACATAACATTACAAGAATACAGGGAAGGGGTAGGAGGCATGAGGGAGGAAACACTGAAAAGGAAGATTTGTTATGAAACACTTTATTTAGGAAGTGAAGAGACTTTAAGACTAATATTAAGGAAATGGAAAAGGGAAGAGAGTGGTGGAAACACAGGTGAGGAGCACATGAACGGGGTCAGGGAGGTGTGGAGGAGGGATGTACAAGGCTTGTGCTAGGTGACTCACATGTTAATCCAGTTGCTCCTCAGGATGGCCTATAAAGAAGGTTATAGTATCTTCAAGTTGTGCATGAGAGTAAAGTTCAGGTTGGTTAAATGACAACTGAGATAACTTGTGCTGGTAAGTGGCAGATCCTGTGTTTGTATGACAGCTATTTTCCCTGTATGCTTTGCTGCCTCAGAGGTCCTGGCCTAAATTCTACTTGTGTACCATTTTTTGTGTCTTAACATCAGATCCTCAGTTTGACCTGACTTCCGAATGTTGTCATCTCATGTTCGCCTGGTCCCCACTAAAGTCCAGTTTGTCCGTTCCACAATCTGCAATTCTTCCCATTCCTTCATGGATTTGAAGTCTCTTCTTTCTTCTTTGAATGACTTTGCATCCCTCTCATTTGCTGAGAGTTGGGACAATGTTGGATTGCTGGTGGAACCAAGCCCACCACACACTGTAAACACACTCTTCCTGACAAATGACCTGACTGAGGAGGTGATGAAGGAGGCACTGCAAAAGAAAGCAGATCTTATTCTTTCCTACCATCCACCTATTTTCCGACCCATGAAACGCATAACCTGGAAAAGTTGGAAAGAGCGCTTGGTGATCCAGGCTCTGGAGAACAGAGTCGCTATTTACTCTCCTCACACAGCCTATGATGCTGCACCCCAGGGAGTCAACAGCTGGTTGGCTAAAGGGCTTGGTGAGATGCCTCTTGTTCTTTCTTGTTTATTATTTTCTCTACAAATGCTTTGAAATTTTAGAATGTTTTTCCAATAGAGTTTTAATTGCTTTAGGTGCACAGAGCAGCATTGTTTAATTTTATATAATGCAGTTTAAAAAGTAATGTTGCTGAGGTCTGGCATTTAGATTATATTTGAAAAAATGAAATTTTTATCCTTAATGATAAAAAGCATAGGAAGTCTTCACTGCTGGACTGAGCTTCATGATTCCTCATGTGACATAGTACCTATGTCAGCAATGCTTGTTCAATTGAATTGAAAGCTCAGACCTCTCCAAAATATACTTTATCTGTCAGTGAGCATCATCATGCTTATTGGATAGAATGCCTTTTTAATTGAAAGCTTACTTGTGCCCAGCACAGTGAGGGAATTCAGCATATGTTTTGCCTTTATTCTTAGTAAGTCTTTTCAGATTACTCACTCATTTGGGGCTGAAGCTTTTATGATGCTATCACTGGATTAATGTGGTCAAGTAGATTTTGAGTTTTTGCAATCTGAATCATGGTTTACATGAGTAAGTGTAGCAAGTAGTCAAAATTCTATATAACATCTAAAAATCCATGAGTCAGTCTTTCTTGTCCAATTTTTTGTGGTATTTAAGTCTCCTGGGAAGTAATTCTGAAAATAAATGTTATTTTGTATGTCCATACTAAATCCCTAGATTGTGGGGATTGTTGGGTGTATCTGTAAAGTATACGTGTGTGTGCATGCTATATATACATATGAGAATGAATCTTTAAAAAAATACTCCTATCTTTTAAGTTTTACCCATAATAGTTTATCTATGTAATCTTAAAAATACAACCACAAAAACTCCATTTCCCAACAATTTTTTTCCTAGGAGTTTGCACCTCCAGGCCTATACATCCATCCAGAGCTCCCAACTACCCAACCGAGGGAACTCATAGAGTAGAATTCAGTGTTAACCACACCCAAGACCTGAACAAAGTCATTTCTGCAGTGAAAGCAATTGCAGACGTTTCTGTCACTTCTTTTTCTGCTAGGTACGATATATTTTTATCCTTCTTGTGTGAATTTATCTTTAAGGTTCTTTCTTGCAAATACTACAATCTGGCTATTGCCAAGTAAAACAAACCTCCCATGGACATGTTTACAAAGCAGCATACTTCACATTTGCACACAGGTCCTTGAGGAGAACTGGGGTATCTTTTCAAAACAGTAACATGATGCGTACTATATATTATTTCTTATATGGGCAGGAATATACCACACATTCCATATAGAGTATTTCTGATCTCCTGGTTATGTTGAAAGATTGTTTCTACTTTAGGCTATATGAATAAACCCTACAGATATACTGATAACAGGTTTACTTTCATCAGTTCCCAGCAACCCAGTGATCCCCAAGCAATTTAAAGGAAAAATATATTAATTTGCCTCTATGATCAGTCATTTTGTTATTTAGATCAAAGGTATTCAAATCTTTTTTTTTTTAAATCTTTTTTTTTTTTAAAGAGGCATGTATTATTTATTTGTTTGTTTGTTTGTTTGTTTGTTTATACAAGCACTGGGTACAGTCAGAAGCGCGGGAGGGTGAGAGAATTCACCAGAGCCAGAGCGGGGAGCAGAGCAGGCAGAAGGACCGAAGTACATTGCTGAGGGGAGCAGCGGGCGGCAGGAGAGGTCTGCGCGCCATGTGGGACCCTCCTCCGGTGGCCGGGGAGCAGCCGGGGATCGAACCAGCGCCGCAGAGGCTGCGGGCAGCTTCGCAACCCAGCGCTCAACCGCTGTGCCACCGGGGAGGCCCAATATTCAAATCTTTTATATATTTTATTTTATGCTAATTTATCCTACTACCTGTTGAAGCAACATAAAAGACAAATTTCACAAAACTGAGGCTTAATAATTGCTTAAAAAAGTGAAAGATTAATAAAAGGGAAATCTCAGACTACACCAAAAAATAACTCTTTAATAAACATTTTTAAATAGACGTATGCTATAGTAAAATCATTGCAAATGTCTTGGAATAGTATTGGGAAGTTTCAAGAATCCTAAGAAAAATTACTTATATATCTTTGCGTATATTCCTGTCATGGTTAGTTTTACTATGTTGAAATACTGTGTAAATACTGAAAATGGAAGAAAATTGTACAAATAAAGCTTCAAAAATTAAAATACTACTAAAGTCCTCCATGTTCCTTCTGCTCTGTCCCTGTATCTGCAACTCAGGTTATCTTTTCCTTTATTTTCAGAGAAGTGGGTATCTATCCATACGCCTGTAGGGACATGAAGAAATGTATCATTTTTTTCCCATTGTTTTCCTAGTTGTATTCTGTTTTTGCCTTTTTTACATAAATAAAGATGACTTAGATATCTTTGTATAGGTATAAAAGGTATGACTGCTGTGTAGTGTTTCTTATTAAGATGTGCTGTATTTTCTTTAAGCATCCCTCTAGGAAGTCCTGATAAACTTTTTTTTTTTTTTAACTGATAGGCATTTAGTTTGATTCTAGTTTTTCCATCTTACAGATGGGTTTACCATTAACCAGAATCCAGGCTTTATTTTTCTTCCTTTTCAGAGCTCTGCAGGTGATTCCAGTGTTGACATCTACACTTTCAGATTATTGTTTGTGGTGTCCATTAGTTCTGAAATTCTATAACTATATTAGAGTTTATGGTTATATACAACACTTACTTGATACCAATCTTTTTGGAAAAGCTCTAGACCACTGCTTCCCAGAAGGTGACATAAGGACCCCCTGCATCATTGTTAATGGGTGCTTCTGAAAAATTCACATTTTTGGCTTCATCCTAAATCTATGTAATTAAAATGGGGTTTGCCTTAGAATCTGTCCAGGAGATTTAATATTTGACTTGTCTAGGGCTTAAAAAAATCCAGTTTGCCTCAGCCCATTCATAGATATTTTGCTTCACTGGGTCTGTAGAACTGTCATTTTAAGAAGCTAATAGGAGATTGCTGATACACAGCTACGATTCTGAACAGTGGTTTCAAAATGAGGTCCCTGTACCAGCAATATTAGCATCATCTAGAATTTGTTAGAACGGTAAAGTTTCTGTCATTTTAATAAGTGATTTTGAGGCATGCTAAAATTTGAGAAAACTATTTTACAAAATAGATTGGTTTTGGATTAAATCCTAAATTCTATACAAATCTACTGCAGATGGTTTGCATACACTGGATTATTTCAAATACATTCTGTTTATATTTATCAAATGACTTTCTTACTAGGACTGATGATGAAGAACAAACACGAATTAGTCTGAATTGTAGTCAGCAGGCTTTGATTCAGGTGGTAGCATTCCTTTCCCAGAACACACAGCTTCATCAGAAGACTGAAATTCTGTCACTAGAGAAGGTAATGAACATCTGTTATATTACTGTGTATTTTTTGTTGGGCAAGTTAATTTGCAAATTGTTATATCAATGAATTATTAACTGTTAACCTAAGGAAGCACAAAAATGATGATGAGGAAATATACCCTTTGCACATGTTCTCTCAGTTTTGAATGACTTTCCACATTTACCCTATCCTTATCCTGCCACACTACACTTGAACACTATACTTTTTGGCCTTCAAGATCCAAGTCCTTGTAAAAACTTTGATTCTACTTCCTCTAAATACTCCCCTTTCCTAATCCCAACTTACTTATTTTGTCATTCCTTTGTGTGCCCCTAAAAATAGCACCTATGTTGTATTTAAATGCCTTTATTGTGACTTAATTAAGCAGCTGCCTTCCCAGAAAACTCTGAGCTTCCAGAAGTCAGAGAAATGTTTTGTCAGGTTTGCATCACCAAACTTTAGCTTGGAGCTTGCTGTAAGAAAGTTCACAGTGTGCGTGTTTTATTGATCTCAGCATTTGCTCTTTGTTCTATAGGTTTGTTTTCTTGTACTCAATATGGACCATTTCTAAACTTCTGTATCTCTTCAGCCCCTGCTTCTGCATACTGGAATGGGACGGTTATGCACACTGGATGAATCTGTCACCTTGGCATCCATGATTGAGCGAATCAAAAGACACCTAAAACTCTCTCATGTTCGCCTTGCTCTTGGAGCAGGGAGGACCTTAGGTAGATGTCTTCCTTTTATTGTTCAGTATTTCTACTGATAATATTGGGCAGAAGTTGAAAGACTTGGTTGTGTTAAAATATGTGATAGGCATATTAGCAGCTCATGAGAGCTGATTGGTTTGCTTCATCCATAAAGGTAGGCTAGATTATGCTGTGGTACACAGCTACACATCTTATTGGCTTAAACAAGATCTCATTCATCTCTCTGTTCATCTCAAGTCAGCATGGGAAGTCTGTTCACTTTAGACTGGTTGCTATTGCAGAGGGAGAGTACTGGGGTATTTTAAGCCATCAGTTGAACATTCTATCCTGGAAATGATGCATGCTACTTCTGTTCAGCTCACTGTCCAGAATGAGTCACATTGCTAATACAACCCCGGGACACCATGGAGGTATAATCCTAACGTGTGCTAGGAAGAGAGCTGGAAACCATGATAGCCCCAATGACAATGCCAGTGTGGCCTTTTATGATCCTGGCAATATTTTATAGTGAGGTACTACTAAGTGAAGTGACCCACTGCAGTTTGAGTCTTGTAGTACTGTCTTGTCTTTTGGCTTTTTCTAGTACTTGTGGGAACAAAAGGAATGAGAAAAACATTTGCTGGATTTTTACAGTGATCCTGACACTGAATTGAGTGTCCTAAGCATTTTGTCTCCAATGCAAAGGCAGTGAGTGGAGTGTTAATTGTTATGAGTATAGATTCTGAACACCTCAGGTTCAAATTAACCTGTCTTATTTGCTGCACAACCATAACAAGTTACTTAACCTCTCTGTGTCCTGGTTATCTCATCTGTAAAAACTGCATTAATAATAAAACCTGACTCAGCGATATGATAGTATAATCCATATGATGTCATATGGATAGTATAACCCATATGATAGGCATGGTGTCTGGCACACGTTAAATACAGTAAATACTAGCTGCTATGCATAGATATGTGGGCGATATTGTTACTCCTGTTGTATAGATTTAAAAAAATTGAGGTTCAGAGAAAGGAATACCTTATTCAAAAGTCCATAGCTGAATCAAACAACTCATGAGGGTTGGTTTCCAAAGAAAATGTATGACAGGGTGGAATTTCACCTCTGATCCAACGCCAAAGCTCCTCATTTGAAGTACTATTAGTGAAGTCACAATAAATGAATTGTCCATTCTAGAAATTTTAAGTACTAAAGGAAATTAAATATAAACAGAATAGAAATCTAAGTGCTAAATACTTATTGCATTTTGGCTTGACAGTTCTTGTTATTTCACTCTTCAGAGAATCTATCTTTTAGGATAACTATATTAGAAAATGGGTCAAATCCATTCATAGAATTTCTCTTAACACTTTCAGTCTTCAGCTTCCTCACCTAAGAACAGAAATAGTACCTGCCAACCTCTCCCTGTTGCCTGGATACTGGGGGAGGATACTTTACCTGACAGCATTGTGATGGATCCTAGAGCTGTGCCATTAGCTCTGTTCAGCGACTCCTTATATGGGATTGTGTTACAGCCGTGTACATCCAGAGCAATAGTACTCTGCTTTGGTTGCTACACAACACCAGAGAGTAATCTGCTTGCCTATATGAAGAAAGTGTTTTGTTATTTTTTTAAAATTTAGTGAGCAAAAAAAATCATACACTGGTGATGAGACCAGGAGTGAAATCTGCATTACATTTAGGATTCTTGGTACAAAATTTAAAGTATTGGTCTCCTATCTCCTCTTTCTTGAAGAGTCCCAAGTCAAAGTCGTGGCCTTGTGTGCTGGTTCTGGAAGCAGTGTTCTGCAGGGGATAGAGGCTGACCTTTACCTCACAGGTAGGACAAACTTTGGGTCTTTTTTCTAGCCCCCCTTCTCAGAGGGAAGGAGGTGTGAGTGTGTGTGTGTGTCCCTTCCCAACTGTTGTTTATTTTACATAAGTTAGAAGTATAGCACATTTGGGATAACACCTGGCATATAGATGGCTCTAATGGTTTTGGAACCTGAACTAAACAGGAACTGCACCAGAATTGGAGACAGACCATTTTTTTGGTGGAGGGGAAAAATATCATTTAGCAATTTATTATTAGCTTTCTTTAAAAAACTGAAGCCCAGGGCCTCCCCGGTGGCGCAGCGGTTGAGCGCTGGGTTGCGAAGCTGCCCGCAGCCTATGCAGCGCCCGTTTGATCCCCGGCTGCTCCCCGGCCACCAGAGGAGGGTCCCACATGGCGCACAGACCTCTCCTGCCGCCTGCTGCTCCCCTCAGCAGTGTACTTCGGTCCTTCTGCCTGCTCTGCTCCCTGCTCTGGCTCTGGTGAATTCTCTCACCCTCCCATGCTTCTGATTGTGCCCAGTGCATGTATAAACAAACAAACAAATAAATAAATAAAACATGCCTCTATTAAAAAAAAAAAAAAAAAAAACTGAAGCCCAGATTTATTTAATTCCTAAGCATGATTTCTTACAAATTTCATCTTTCAGTTAATAGGACACTTTCTGTCTTGTCTCTTTAGCTAGAAAATGGATCCTCTTTCTTTATCATAAAGTCAATCATCTGTTCTAGCTCCAGGATCTCTCTAGAGCTGTTTGCCTCTATCTAGGTATCATCTTCTACCTGAAGAGCTTCATCATACCTCTAATCTTAATTTTCTCTGCACTCTCTTAAAATTAAATCTCAGAAGTACAAATATGGTGTTGTGTAATACTATCCTTGTTAAAAAGAACCTTCAGTGATTTCCTTCACTTGTCCTGGTGAAACCTGAAAATTTCATCCTCTTTCATGCAGCTTTTGCTTACACTATTTTCACTCACTAGAATACTTTTCTTTACCCCTTTCTTTGTACTTCTAGCAATAAACTCAAAGATTCTTCCCCTGCGAAGCTTTTTCTGACTGTCTGGCTCCTACTGCTGGTCATATCTTCCCCTTGGATCCCTGTGACTTTGTCCTTAGCCTGCCATGCATTCCTGTTGGACTGGGATTCTTTGGCTCCCAGACTTCACACTCTATTCTGGAGGATAACCCCTTCTAGGCATTACTATAGGTTGAATTTTTATTGAAAGAATTCCATGTCTAAGTTATTACTCAGAGCTATATGGTACTTTGTATACACAATGCTGCCAACTACATGTCTACCTCTGCTCTTCCTCAGGGTTAGGAGACAGGGGGCTAAGGATTACTTCTCCAATTTCTAGGACCAGGCTCTAGGGTTTTAACATTCTAACCATTCCCTTGGCTACTTGTGCCTCTCCATTACTATGCCTCTTCTGCTTCCTACACCCACGTTTTATTGATCTAGCAGAACAATTTAAGGAGGGTGCTGCACTGAAACAGTCACATCCAGAAATACAGAGATGCAGCTTCCGAGCAAGCCTCTTATGTAATTGCTCTCAACCAATTTCAATGTACATGATGGGCCTCCCTGGTGGCACAGGGGTTAAAGTCTCAGTGCTAGCAAGTTATTGCGAGCCCCTGTGGCCTGAGTTTGTTCCCCAGCCAAGGAGCTAACCCACAGTGCACAACAGACCTTTCTTGTCTCTCCCGCTGCTCCCCACAGCGGTGTATTTCAGTAAATTTGCCTGTTCTGCTCCCCACTCTGTCCCTGGTGAATCCTCTCACACACACACCCATGCCTCTGGGCTATACCCCAGTTCTTGTATGCATAAATAAAAAAATATTTTTTAAAAAAGAAAAAGTACATGACCATTACTTGTTTTTTATCCTTCTGAAGTTGTAAAATATTTCCTAATCCTCAAACTTGTATTAGATTAAAATAAACTTTCAATATATAATGTAACACTGTTTTGCTGCATAGTATGTAACTAACTTAAAATTAATTGTAACATTTTACTTTTGAAGGAATTTCAGATCTATAGAAAGTTGCAAAAATGGATGCCTGTATGCCCTTTCCCTGGATTACTGATGGTTTTGTTTTACCACACTTGTGTATTCCTTCCCACTCCACACAAGAGTCAGCACTCCATATCACTTCCATGGCCCTGGCTCTGGGTTCCTTCAACCAGCCTGGAATTGAAACACACAGTGTAGTTTCAGGTCTCTGGTTGTTGTATATGTACTGAACATGTACAGACTTTATTTTCCTTGTCATTATTCCCCAAATAATATAACTGCTTACATTGTATTAGATACTGTAAGTAATCTAGATATGATTTAAAGTATATGAGAGGATGTTCATAGGTTATATGCGACTACAACACCATTTTATATAAGGAACTTCAGCATCCTCAGATTTTACTATCTGAAGAGGTCTTGGAACTTACTCCCTCTGTGGATACCATGTGTTTGTGCATATGTAAATACATATATATTTATGTACTCCCCCCCAAACTATTTTGTAATTGTAGACCTCTTGCCCCTAAATACACCAGCTTATATCTCCAAAAATAAGGACATTTTATGACCATGGAAAAATGACCAAATTTAAGAATTGTTAAAATACTTGATAAGTCTATATTTTTCTTTTTTTAAAAAACAAAGATTTATTTATTTATACAAGAACTAGGGTACAGTCAGAGGCGCGGGAGGGTGAGAGAATTCACCAGAGACAGAGTGGAGAGCAGAACAGGCAGACGGACCGAAAACACTGCTGAGGGGAGCAGCAGGTGAGACAGGAGAGGTCTGCCACGTCATGTGGGTTTCTCCCTGGCCAGCCAGGAATCGAACCCGTGCTGCAGAGGCTGTGGACAGCTTCACGGCGTGGCTCTCAACCTGTTGCGCCACTGGGGAGGCCCTATATCTGTATTTTTCTGATTGGTCAAAATTTGTAGCATTTCTTTTCTGGTTTATATGCAGTTCACGATCACATATTGCATCTGGAATATGTCCTCCTCAGCTTTGTCTTCAGAGCACTGACTTTTTTTTTTTTTTTTTTAATAATATCAGTAGGAGACTTTATTTTTTTTAAGATTTATTTATATAAGCACTGGGTACAGTCAGAAGCGCAGGAGGGTGAGAGAATTCACCAGAGCCAGAGCAAGGAGCAGAGCAGGCAGAAGGACTGAAGTACACTGCTGAGGGGAGCAGCGGGCGGCAGGAGAGGTCTGCGCGCCATGTGGGACCCTCTTCCGGTGGCCAGGGAGCAGCCGGGGATTGAACCAGCGCTGCAGAGGCTGCGGGCAGCTTCGCAACCCAGCGCTCAACCGCTGCGCCACCGGGGAGGCCCCACTGACTTTTTTTTAAAAAAGATTTATTTATTTATGCATACAAGAACTGGGGTGTAAGCTAGAGGTGCAGGGGTTGGGAGGATTCACCAGAGAGAGTGGGGAGCAGAACAGGCAGATCTACTGAAATGAACTGCTGAGGGGAGCAGCAGATGAGGCAGAAGAGGTCTGCTGTGCCTTGTGAGTCAGTTCCCTGCAGTGGCTATCGCCTGATAGCATTGTCTTTAAACCCTGCGTCACCAGGGAGGCCCAGAGTATTGACATTTTAAAGAGTGGAGACCATTTCCTTTGTGGTATAGCTCCCAATTTGGGTGTCTGTTTCCTCATAAATAACTTTTTAAAAATGAGTGTAGATGATAAATTCATGCAGTTCCAAAATATTAAAATGTCCTTCCCATCTTCTCTCTTGGGGAAATACAAAATATCTTATCTAGGCTAACTTTAGGTATCACTCATCTGTGAGGCATCGCTTTGAATATAACTTCATGGTTGAGAAACAGCAGTCAAAGGACCAAGTGTAGGCCACTGTTGGCTCTCCTCACCCTTTGAGCTTGATTTGGTATTAGGTCTTTAAGGGTAATATCCTGGAAAGACCAGCAGCAGATGGGGAACTTGCTCTTTGAAAGTTGTTTGCTTTTCTTTCTCACTGTTATCATCTGGCCAGACTTTTCTTTCCTTGCCTTTGGCCATTATTGTAGGGTCTTCAGAGATTTTCCCACTTTCATGCCTTTTCCAGCCAATGCATTCTCATAGTCTGGGGAGTCAGACTTGTTTTTCCTAAAGCAAGGCTTCTTACCAGGAACCTAAGAGTCTTTTACTCCTTTTATTTTACCTTCAATATTATAAATTCAGATTCAGATATTTTAAAAGTGACTTGAATATAAAAGTGACCTGAAGTGACACATATTAGGAGGGTGAAGAGTTGAAAATTTCTCAGGGGAAATTTTTTTTCTAAAAATCTTTTTTTCCTTAATTTTTTATGCCTTTATGTCTCTAGATATATTTCAAAATTATACTTTTTATGAACAAGCCAAATTGTGCACAGTGTATTTTTGCTCTTATGTTAGAAGCCATCACAGTCACAAATGGTGTTTAAAAATATTTCCAGTTAAGTTTTCCCAAACCTTTTCATAAGAGATCCTCTTCCAGTAGGAATTTTGCCTAAATCAAAGGAACTTACCTTATATTTCATCTAGATGACCTTTAAGCTCACTTTAACCTTGTGAATTAGACTAGGGTTGATGCTAAATCTTGGTGCTCGCAAAGCATACAGTAGTCTTCCAAAAATTATACCTACAATTTTCTCCAGGGATATTATTTAATACTTATATAAGAGACTTTCTGAAAGCCCCATTACTTAACAATGGCCAGTTATTTTATTGTGGAAACATTGTTTGAATGGGCTTTTATAGGTCTGTTTCTGGCATTATTAGAAATTGGGTATGTGGGTTTGGATACTTATTGTCAGTGCCAAGGAGAAAGAATTGGGAATTCTCAGTGGAATGGTCTTTGTTTCCTCTTGAATTGGAGGATATGTAAAAAACCTGCACATCACTTTCTAGATTTATAAGTAAAACTCTGTTGTTTTACCTTGAGTAAACTTGCTCCGTACAGAATACAGACTTGCTATTTCTGCTGTTATGGTCAACATTCCATTCTAACAGAACACTTAAGTATTTTCTATTTCTTTTCATGCCAGGTGAGATGTCCCATCATGATGTTCTGGATGCTGTTTCCCAAGGGATAAACGTCATCCTCTGTGAACACAGTAACACTGAACGAGGCTTTCTTTCTGATCTTCGAGATATGCTGGGTGCTCACTTGGAGAATAAGGTTGATATTATCCTGTCGGAAACAGACAGGGACCCTCTTCATGTGGTATAATGCATGCAAGAACAAGGATGACACACATTACAAAATAATTGGCTCCCAACTTGAATGTTAACCAGTGGCATTGGCATCTTTCTGAATGTCTTGGACTGCACATTATGACCACAGTGTCGTATATACAGGTGTCCAGGCATAAAGCTAAACTTACACAGTGTTATAAACCAGTGATTCCACAACCAAAGAATGCATGTTACCATCTTATTTGTTAATCTGCTTCACTATTCAATATAGCTCATAAAGTAAAAGCTATATAACTACCACTAAAGAAAATTATTCATTATAAAGGATAAATTAAGGATATATTATATAAAGTATGTATTCTTTATAAACTATAGCAAAGAGCAATTAAAGTTGCTTTACTTATTAACATTCTTGAGAAGTAACTCAAGTAATCCTTTCCTTAATTATAGATGGATTTGTGTCATTTAGATGTGTCTGCTCTTTGGTTAGTTTAAAAATTGGGTACTGGAACATATATTTCTAGATAGTAGCCTGTGTGATTAAGTTCTTTGTATAATCCTCCTGTTCCTATATCACTAACTTCCCACCTAAATTTTAGAATCAGGATGAGGTTGGTTAGCTTTCAAAATAATACTAGTGATTGCTTATACAGTGTTAGTTTTGTGCCATTCACTGTACTAGGTACTGTTACAAGCACTTAAAATCCTTATAAATAAGCAAATAGGTATCATTCCCATTTTACAAATGAGGAAACTGAAATAGGTTAAACAGCTAGGAAGGGATGGTGTTTTAAGGACTATATTTTGGGTAGCGAAAGTAAATATGGTGACCTAGATACCTGAGAAGGCTTGTGGCCAAAGTGATAAATGCCAGAAGTGTTATTATAAGAATTTGGTAATAAGCTTTGTATTTACATTCAAATTTATATTTTCCAAAGCAATGGTATTTCAAATTTACTTTATTTAACACATTAAGGATACTGTAACTAAATATTATTAAAACCTCAGATTTTATATTTCATTTTTATAGCCTCACAATTTCTGTCTAGCACAGAGCCTTCTAAATCAGTGAATTAAAATGGTTTAATAGTTTGAAAAATCAAGATGTGGAGATCCTCCTAAATAGTTACAAAAAACCTGAGACAAAAGGTACTTATGTAACCATTTGTGATAAAGCACTCACTGTTACCCCACAGGACTTTTTATGTGAATGAAGTATTCATATATTAAAACCCTAAACTTGATGCTTAGAATCCAGTAGTTCTGGAGTATGTTGAACAGTTATTTAGGGGCCATTGTGGCATGAGTTCAATTCCTGGCCAGGGAGCTAACCCACATACAGCACAGCAGACCTCTCCTGCCTTACCTGCTGCTCCCCTCAGCAGTGTATTTCAGTACATCCACCTGTTCTGCTCCCCACTCTGTCCCCGTTGAATCCTCTCATCCCCTACATCTTTGGCCTTCACCCCAGTTCTTGTATGCATAAATAAATAAAATAAATCTTTAAAAAAAAAGTTATTTAGCACTCCCTTCACAAGGAATTCAGTATTTCATCAAATTAGAAGAGTATGTCTGTTCTATATTCCTGTGCCTTTTTTTTTTTTTGCCATTTATGAAAAGCAACCAAAAAAATCTTTCAAGGTTTCAGGTCTGTTCAGTCTTCCCTGAAGAACTAACATCAGCAGTTGAAGTCTTCGCAGTCACACTTTATATGGTAAGAGTTTAAGGCACATGAATGCTGAAACAAGTTAAAGAAGAGCATATAATAATCCTACCAATATCTTCATCAGATCTGTTAGATGCACTTTTAAAATTTCTGAAACACTTCATGAGTTTTAGTGAAAGATCAGTGCTGTAAATTTAAAGTGATTCTATCCAAATTGACTTGTTGTTTATTAATATTAAAGATGGCTGACACATACTACTTGTAAATAGTATAGACACAAAAATTATAAAAATAAACCAGTAGCTTTTTAAGAGCCAATGCAAAGTTTGCACATTAGGTCATTAAAGATTTTGTATACTCTTTTTATACTGTAAAAGCTATGATAAACTAGGTATAGATATGGTAAGCAAAAAATGCAAGGTGCAGGTCAGTGGATATCATGCTACCATTTATGTTTTTAAAAGGAGAGATAATAGACAAATATTCTATGCAAGACATGTGCATAAACACCACTGGAAGAATTAACTATTATTGGTGGCCTAAGAAACTGGGGAATGGAAAGGAAACTCACTTTTCATTGATATACTTTGGCACAATTAAAAAAAAATTAGAATCACATTCATGAACAAATGTTTAAATATTTTGATTAGTAACTATACTTAAGATTAATCCCTTAATACATGAATTTAACGTAAATTAACTATATACAAATGATTCAAAAAACTAAGCATTTCAGAAGATTATTTTCATGAAAGAAGTTTACAAGGTATGAAATGATGAAAAATGTTGTTGCAGTACAGTACTTAATACAGTGATATTTTAATGAAAAATTTTATTTCCAAGTATGAAATATTTAAAAGCGTATGTGAAGACTAAGCTGACTACCAAGTGGCCATGGCTAGCCTTTATTTCTTTCCTAGGAAGAAAGGTTTGTATTTAGGAGATTAAGTATTTAGGAGATTTGAAATCATCACTTTAAGAAAAACATTGAAAAATCTTAGTGTTTTTAAGTCTAATTGGTAAATCAAGATTAACTTAGTCAGCCATTAATATGCTTCCCACTTGCATGTTATTCAAGAAAGAAAAATATGTTGATATACAAGAATAAATTTTTATTTTCCAATGTATTGAAAATGACTAAAATGTAATTTAGGATTGTAGTTTTCTAGCCTGGCTTCTCCCTTGTATTATTAAGGTGATGACACAGAACAGTTCTGAATATCATGGTAGATCCATTATTGTTTGTGTGCTTTCTAGAGTGGGTATACACCCTCTGTACTTGTTAGGATTTTCTCACTATCCCAACTGAATAGTGTCATGCTCCCTCTCCCCCAACCAGTTTGTAGCCTAAAGGAGAAAGCTGGATCGCCTACCTTTTCCCCAAACTTACATCTTTTGTTAAGCCATTTCTGAAGTCATAAGAGATGATCTTTGCCTCCATTACACTCATCAACTCTGACACAGAGAACAGCAAATAAAGCAGATTATGTGATGCCAATGCTTTTGTACTTCCACACTCTGGAACAAGTACATTCACAAATAATCAGCTCCAGGAGTATTTAAAAGACCCTCAAAAAATTAGGGATATCATCTCTAGTATAAAATAATTCAAAAGCATCCAGTTCCAAATAGTCCCTGAGCACACTGTTCATTCTTGCAAGAAGTCTCTGGAGAGGTAATGAAAGAAAGGCACATTTTCTCCCAACTTGAGAATTACTGCATAGTACTAGAGATGGTACACCAGCCAGGCTAATCAAGTTTCTAACTGATGACATTCCCCCCTCCCAATTTTAAATTTTGTACACTGGAAAAAGAGTCTAATGTTGAATGTAAACACAACACTTTAGACTAGAGGAGTGGCAGCCGAGGTACAACCCTTCCACAGAAGATTCAAGACTGAAGGATAGCTTCAAGATTCCTCTTCTTCCTTTTCCAGGAAATCAGTCAATGTTCCATTGTCAACAGGAATTAACAAATATTCCACTCCATCAGTTCCCTAAAAGATAGAACAATACCCTGAAAGTTGCTTCTAAGAGATATATATATGAATACTAATCTAGGTTAAACAGATTTGATTTCCTTAATATTTTACATTAATATATATTGTAAATATATATTAAATATATATTGTAATATATATATTTCTCTTTCCATGCTATTTCTGCCTACTGGAATGCTCGTTCCTTCTCTGTGTGACTAGTTATCACTTAGTCTTCCTCATAGTCTCTCTGATATCCATAATTAGGTCATATTCACTTATTTTAATTAGCCCTTTCAGAACTTTCTGATCACAAGACAACACAGTTAAAATTTTACATGTTTGTAATTAATGAATGTCCATCTCCATTACATTGTAATCTCTATGAGAAAAAGAATTAGGTTTTTCTTGTTACTGTATCCTAATACTTAGTGCAATACCTGATATATAGTACTCAATAAATACTGGATTAAAAAAAGTAGGACAGCGTAGGACACCAGGGGCCTCCCTGGTGGTGCAAGGAGTTAAGACACAACCTGTGAAGCAATCCACAGCCTCTGCAGCACGAGTTCAATCCCCCAACAAGGAAGCTACCTTGCAGCAGACCTCTCCTGACTAGCCTGCTGCTCCCCTCAGCAGTTTATTTCAGTCAATCTGCCTGTTCTGTTCCCCACTCTGTCTCTGGTGAATCCTCTCACATACACCCCAACACCTTTGGCCTGTACCCCAGTTCTTGTATGCATAAATAAATCTTTAAAAAAGAATATAAGGACAAGAGGGAGAAGGGTATAGAATTATTTGACTCATTATATTTCAAATGGCCTATTATTCTGGACTACAACTTACAAGTTTCCTGTTTTGCCCTGAAGCAGAGTACTTACTTTTTCTACAGAACTTAAGCACATTGCCTAAAAATGAACTTTTGTGACCCATTATGTCAGTTTCGTAATCAGATCTGATTTTATTCTCTCTCAAGTAAATGAGATAGTGGGCCTCCCCGGTGGCACAGCGGTTGAGCGCTGGGTTGCGAAGCTGCCCGCAGCCTCTGCAGCGCCGGTTCGATCCCCGGCTGCTCCCCGGCCACCGGAGGAGGGTCCCACATGGCGCACAGACCTCTCCTGCCGCCCGCTGCTCCCCTCAGCAGTGTACTTCAGTCCTTCTGCCTGCTCTGCTCCCCGCTCTGGCTCTGGTGAATTCTCTCACCCTCCCGTGCTTCTGACTGTACCCAGTGCTTGCATAAATAAATAAATAAAGGGGTAGCTTTAAAAATAAATAAATAATAAATCTCTTTTAAAAAAAAATGAGATAGCATTTATGTCACAAATGCTGTTGTACCAAAGTCTCACCTTCTTTGTTCTTATAAGCTTGTGGTCCCTAAACTCAGTTAACTGGGCCCGAAGTGTCAGATCACTGTTGACAAGGAATGCCTCCCGACACTTCTGGTAAAAATCTTGAAAAGAAAGTCCTGGAGAGTTCAAAAGGACATGTGAACTTAAGACAACATTTAAGACACTGTTCTTATATGGATACTCACAGCAAAGAACACAGAAATTATCGATGCCACAGCATGCAAAAGCAGTTAAGTATTGTTTTTTAAAAAAGTGAGTATTTTTGAAAGTAGCAATACTAGAGAATACTTAGGCATTTTACACTGGCTTATATTTTTTAATGAGAACTGACATGTTAAATCAACTGTGACTATAACAAATCTGTGGGAAGTTTTTAACAGTGTGAATAAAGTTGACTTTAAAGAAGGAACTAGAGTAAGCCATGAGTGCTAAGTGATTTCAATGTTCAAATCAACACATTATTTTTACTCAAGGGGAAGTTAATCACCTAAGATGCCCAGTGTATTAAATATATGTGATTGGTAGACACATACCCATAGATAGCATAGGAATTTTTAAAGGAAGCTGAGTTTGTCTATCAATGCACAATGACAAACAGACCATTCAGCAGTATAATCTATAGAGTGGTTTGAAAGTTTGCTATGTGGCAGACACACTAACAACAGCCTTCAAAAATTGCAATGCTATTATTAAATTCTGGATTATTAGAATTTATGGGGTGAGACAAAAGTTACACAATTTAATATAAATATTGAATACCAATGTAAGAAGCATTATCCTGGTTATCCAGCTGATACTTTATTAGTAGCCTGAAAATCCCCCTAGGGAGAAAAATAAAAAATAAATAAGAATTTAAATTTACAATGTTAACAACAAATGATAACAGATAGTAAAATACACAAAGAGAAGGAGAAATACATGGTCTGTTTAAATTTAATTTTTTTGTTCATTTCTCAAAGGAGTCTCATTTCCTGGCCTACTTAAAAAAAAGCAGTTTTTATTTTCTTTCACAGAATATCTAGGAGTATTTTTATTTCCCAGAGTGTAAGATAGTTCACTATATAAAACTTAGAATACATAATAAAATCTAGAGCGTAAATATCAATCTCATAGCCCTAAAATTACAGCCATAATATCTGATGTGGAGATCATAGTGACGTATGCCGCTTTCTCAAATCTTTGTGCTGTGAGGTCTGGCGGAAACACATAAATTCATGCACATTTATGCTTCACTTTTCCACTGACTGAATTTCCCTGTCTTTAAAAACTCTTCATTAACTTACCATTTCCCTACTGGTTTTGGATGCTTATATTACTTCCAATCTTAATTCCACATTATATACAAAATTGCATGAATATTCTCATATTTTGAATGATTTCTGTAGGAGAGTATCAAGTGGAATTATAGGGTTAGAAACTATGTTCCATAAAGTAAGATTCCTAGTAGTTCTTGGGTATGACAAAAATTTTAAACTTTTCCATTTTTATTATAATCAAGAAAATAATTACTATATGCACATCTTGGACAATCAAAATAACCATTTTACAATCAAGTACTGTTACTGACTCCACAGCTCAATTTTGGTTAAGATGTTTATACTAAGAAAAGACTAAATGATATTGGAGTTTGCAGAATGAATCAATACTTATGCAAAATTTTGCAGAAGTAAACAATAGTGTCTGTGTGTAGAAGCTAGCACAGACATTTAGGTATGCCAAACTAAAAAATATTTGCATTGACGCAGTCAGTACTTCAATTGCACAGAAGCCAGTTTAAGTTTATAAATTGCAACTTGCAATAGTCTATATTACCAGTTAGTGTATTAAGTAAAACTTAATGAAGACATTTTCTGTTCCCAATTCCATAACAAATTTATTTAGCTATCCATTTAATGCGTATTTCAGTAACAATGCAATGCTAACTTTATCTTAAAATGTACAAAAGAAGTTTTATATAGTAACAAAATTCATTAAAATTAGTGTTTAAGAGTTAACATGAGGGAGGTCTTGTGTCTGAGTTGAGTATCTTGGTTGTGGCTAAGTAGTTACACAAGGCTACCCATACGACAAAACTGCACAGAGTTAACACACACCAACTCATATACAAATGAGTACACATATCAATGGTGAAATCTCAGTAAGTTCTGTGGAAAGTGTCAATGTCAGTTTCTTGGTTTGGATACTGCACTGTGATGAGAGATGGTGGCATGGGGATGGGAATGGGAAAAGTGCTTAGAATTTCCCTGTATATTTCTTTAACCTCATATGAGTCATGTAAAAGAAAAATAAACAGAAAAGAAATTGCTAACAACAAAAAAATCCCTTGGAAAGATTCTGAGTGCCTCCTTTCCCTCCCTCCTTTTCTAGCATATTATCCTGAATTAGGTATTTTTCATATTTATACACATTTAAAACTTTCATTCATGATACATGCATTTGAAAACCATATTGTATTGTTTTATATCCTTTTTATCTTTACCATCCTGCCTGATTTAGCATTTGTCTTGAACAAAAATGTCCAGGTTTGGACAATAACAGGTATTGTGCCACTTCTCTTACACCACATAAGTCAAATTCCTGTCTGCCAATGTTGCTTCTACTTCCAGAATGCAGTTGGGCTATGGCTTCAGCTCACTGCTTCATCATTCTGTTCCACTGAGATGCTCGTATTTTTCAGCCAACTCTATTTTTAAAATTTTTTGTTGTTTTATCTATTACTGTGTTTGGACAAAAGGGGATGAATTAAAATGTGAAACTATTGTGCCACCTTGTCCAGAAGTGCCTCTCACTCCATGGTGGCGCAGGGTTTAAGCATAGCACTATGAAGTTATCCACAGCCTCTGCAACATGAGTTCAATCCCTGGCCGGCCAGGGAGCTACCCACATGGCACAGCAGACCTCTCCTGTCTCACCCGCTGCTCCCCTCAGCAGTGTATTTTGGTCCATCTGCTTGTTCTGTTCCCCACTCTGTCTCTGGTGAATCCTTTGGCCTATACCCCAGTTCTTGTATAGATAAATAAATAAATCTTTAAAAAAAAAAACAAACCCAATTGCGTATCTTAAAAAGAGAGAGAAACTAATTTTCATTCTTACCTTGCATTAGGGGTAAGGCTTCGTAAGACATGAATAAGGGAACTAAGTGGTAAGGATCCAGATTGCTTAACCAGAAGAGAATTCTCATAGGAGGTTTCTTCAGTATAATGACTATATGTAGTAGTTTCATACCAGAGCCAGTTATAAAGACTCTGCTTCGCATGATCCCACACTAGAGCATGTGATTAAATAAAACAAGAATTACCAATTATTTTCACATTGTCATGCTATTTAGATTCCACTCTAGGAAAGAATAAGGAAGCAATAAGTAAAAAATGAATCCTGAATTTCTTCATTTTTGTCATTTCCCCATCCAAATCAGTATCTCAAAGTATAATTTCATTGTCAATCAACATCTGACTATATGCATATTAAATATAAGTTAAAAGACATAGGTCCCTCCCTGGTGGTGCAGTGGTTGAGCGGTGGGTTGCAAGGCTGCCCGCAGCCTCTGCAGCGACAATTCAATTCCCGGCCACCAGTGAGGGTCCCACATGGCACGCAGACATCTCCTGACGCCCGCTGCTCCCCTCAGCAGTGTATTTCGTCAGTCTGCCTGTTCTGTTCCCTGCTCTGTCTCTGGTGAATTCTCTCACCCTCCCGCGCTTCTGACTGTGCCCAGTGCTGTATAAATAAATAAATAAATCTAAAAAATACTAAAAAAAAAAATGAAGACATAGGTGCTACTAAAGCACTCTTTTAAAAAGCAACAATTTAACCTTTTGTTCTATAAAATTATCAGTCTCTAAGTGCATAAATGTTTCAATAACACAGAATATTAAAAAAAAAATAACAGAATAGAAAGAGACCAAATAATGGTTGGTCCTCATCTCTCTCATGAAAACTGAGGTGTAAAACATTCTCTGGTACGTAAATTTTTATTTTGAGTAATTATGTTTTAATCAGACTGGGAACACCACCTATATCTTTAGTAACCTGTGTCTTTAAACATGCAACAGAGGAAAAAGTGTACTGAAAAACAATAAAAATGTTGTGGCTTTCGACATTAAGAACATTTTATAAGACTGATATCTCAAAAACCAAAAATAGCAATATTTAACTTACTGAGAGGAGCATTGAGGTGATCAATAGATGTTATAAGGTATATGTTACGTAAAGATGACAACTGTCCAATAATTTGCTGGCTTTTGTCTCCTCTCAATGTTTGGCTATCCAAATTGTGAATGAGAAGAAAGAGCTCTAAAGAAGAATCTAAAAAGAAAAATTCAGTTATTTTTTTAATGAGTATTTATGAAGTCCCTACCCACACAGTGCCTATTTGTTAAAAGAATACATCAAAATAGTATAGGACAAATAACTATTGCTTGAGGGTATGCAAATTATTTGAGAGAATGTCAGCCACTCATAAAATATAAAATCTTAAACAGATACTCACTTGGAAGTAAACAGAGATTGGAGTGGTTAGAGACTTAACTGAATTATGAATTAGACCACAAAGAAAGCAGTTGTAATAAGGCATAGGAAATAAGGTAAGATGCATATCGGACTGAAGGTGAATGTGTGCATGTTGAATTGCAAGGTGGAAACACTCCCCCACAAAAAAAAAAAATAGAAGAAAAAGAAAATGTGGAAAACTGTTATCACCAAAGCCAAAGAAAACCAAAAAAGGGAGGAGAGGCATTTATGATATTGCTCAAGGAATTAGGAGGGTCACAGAAATATCATAAATGTCAATGAAGGAAAATCTGGAGGATGGAACTCTCAATTTCATTAAACAAGAAGGAAATTCCAAGTCATGTTCAAGCATACAGTTCAGGTAGTATAGAAGAAAGGTTAGAGGAAATAAGAAGGTGAAATGCCTTCAAAAATCATAATGAAATAGGGAATGGTGTGGAAGGGTAGCAGAATCAACTAAGTTTTTTCTTAAAATGGAAGAAGTTTTATAAATGTTTAAAAGTATTGAAAAAATGTGTAAGGAAAATTCTTACATTGACTGCACTGTAATCATAGGTAGTGTAAATGTGACTGAAATGAAAAATAGTCACTGGTCTCTCAAGAGTTAGTAAGAAGTGGGCAAACATTTGTATTTATGATAAAGGTTAAGTCTTTTAGAGAAAACAAGCAAATTTCTCCTCCACTGGGGGTAGGACAAGAGAGATAATACAATGACAAAGATTCTGAGATGATACATTTTAAAAATCCAAGTCTCCTTGAATTCCAAAGTCCACCAGTCAATCGATTCAAATTATATATAACACATAGATTATATAAAAATGCACACAATATTTTGTTTGAAATATAAAATATGTTGATTATAAAATTATCTAATATCCTATATTTCCCCATATAATTATATATGATCGTATAATTTAAAATAATATGTAATATTGGGCCTCCCTGGTCGCGCAAGGGGTTGAGACTCAGCTATGGAGCTGTCCGCAGCCTCTGCAGCACAGGTTCGATCCCAGGCCACAGAACAACCCACATGGCGCAGCAGACCTTTCCTGACTCGCCTGCTGCTCCCCTCAGCAGTGTATTTCGGTCAATCTGCCTGTTTTGTTCCCCAGTCTGTCTCTGGTGAATCCTCTCACCCCCCACATCTCTGGCCTGTACCCCAGTTCTTGTATGCATAAATAAATAAATCTTAAAATATGTAATATTTATATTTATGTAAAATATATCTATTAAACTATATTAAACCATATAATTTAATATCTATATTTATTTACTAAATTACATATTTTATATAAATATATGCTTATAACAATATTAACATGTATAATACATGTTAAATATAAATATATAGAATAAAATGACATAGGCACTATTTTTTTTTAAATTTTTTTTTTTTAATAGAGGCATGTTTTTTATTTATTTATTTATTTGTTTTGTTTGTTTGTTTATACATGCACTGGGTACAGTCAGAAGTGCGGGAGGGTGAGAGAATTCACCAGAGCCAGAGCGGGGAGCAGAGCAGGCAGAAGGACTGAAGTACACTGCTGAGGGGAGCAGCGGGTGGCAGGAGAGGTCTGCACACCATGTGGGACCCTCCTCTGGTGGCCGAGGAGCAGCCGGGGATCGAACCGGTGCCGCAGAGGCCGCGGGCAGCTTCGCAACCCAGCGCTCAACCGCTGCGCCACCGGGGAGGCCCAACATAGGCACTATTTTAATGAACATACAAATAATATAAAAATTATCCATCGACTCAGTTAAGCATTATCAATTACTCATTTTAAGTTGCAACCAGTGATGAAATGACCATTGTGAGCCTAAATACTTTTATATCTAATTTCTGAAATGCTCACATGACCAAAACAATCACATTAAGAGATTATATATTTTAGTATATGAAATTATTTATGTACAGTGATATTGATATTTACTCACAATAAGGAGGTAAGAATGCTTTATAAAAATATTCAACGATACAAAGATATCAGGCAAAGACACATCAGTCAATGGGAGGCATTTCATACTAGCAAAACAAAATCATTCTGAATTTGAATCTTTGGCTATACAAACTCAAGATAGTGTGAGTAATTCTTTTCTATTAGGTAAGTCAAGTTCACAGAAAAAGTTCACAGAAGACAGTACACATTATTTTAGGAAATAGAAATCATTATTAAAATAATCGTCATTTTTGTGTATACCAACACAGGAATAAACAGAAGAGTGGGCTTAGCTTCACCCTAAGACCACAGCATCAACTTCACATTACCTTCTTTAAATTTGTTTATTATCCAGTCTAGCTGATCCAGTACACTGCGGAAAGTACCCATATGATCAAGGACTTCTTCTGTTATAGAATTTAGGATCTATGTCATAAAAGTGGAAGAGGTACATTGATGATAAATCATTTTTCTGACACAAGGAAAAATAAAACTAACAAATTAATCCTTTTTATAAATTAAAATGATTTTGGATTGGCCACCAAGTCTGAAAGCCATTTTTTTTGAAAAGCCATTTTTAAAAATTCTACTAGTACTTAAGTGATATCTGATTTTTAAAATTTTTTTTATTTTGCATAAGTGGCTAAAAGGAAGCAGGGAAAAGAGCAAAAATATAAGAGGACAGCAACCACCCCCTCCCCAATATGAGCAACATTAGAAAACTATAAACTTACTAAAGGAAATAAGAAACAAACATTAAGGACACTTTAAAAGGCACATACTTTGGCCAATATTTAGTATTCAAAAGATTTAATTTTCAAGTGATAAATAAATATGAACATTTGGAGTAAAAAAATGATCTGTTATGATACATTAAAAAACTACAAATTATTATATTTTTAAATTACCAAAATGACAGAGAAGCATAGCAAAATTGAACTGTCTCATAATCCTCGCTTCAGAGAACTACCAGTGTAGTAAACAAAGCAACCATTTACTAAAGGTGTGATACATTATCAGTTGCAAATTAGGAAATTCAAAGATAGGGATTCAAAGCTGTAACCCTCTGAGTCTAAACACATGATCCTAAGCATCACACAACCCTACTAGGGTTAAAGTGGAAACTAAAAATTCTTTCAACTGAAATGCTCCCGGGTGGGAAGTAGCATCCTCCTTAATGTGGGGATATGGATCAGCAGGGGATTTAGTATTTCCTTTAGCATTTTTGAAACTTACTGATTTCACACTGATTCCAGGAAAGAAGCCATTGATGACAATATGAACGGAATCCTGCAGCATGGTGGTTCGAAATCTTTCTAATAAATCTCTCTTTGAACCCAAACCATAAAGCACAATGTTGAAGCCCAGGCTGTTAGGAAAAGTATTCATGAAATTAAAGTTCAGTATATCTTATTGGCAAATTTATAATTAAATCAGTTCTCTTAATTTAAGCTTATAAAGAATGGAGGGAGTTGTACAATGTATGCTTGTATGCTTTCTCAAAAAAAAATAGAGGAAGAACTGAAATGGCTGAAAAAGCTATATTGATTCCCAGCTTACCCAGGTGAAAGCACAATTTTGTTATCTGTACACCAAGCTTATAGTTCCAACTATAAGAAAGTAGCTTTCTTTATAGTTCCTAATCTCTTTCAAGTGACAGGTGCCTACAAGCTACAGAGAACATGTAGGTATACACAATCAAAGGCTATACAGGCTGAAGCAGTTTTAAGTGCTAGATTAAACTGAAAAGTAAGCAGGGGCCGCATCACAAAGGCCATGTTAAGACATTAGATTTTATTCTAAGGACAATGAGTATTTAAAAGTAACTAGTCATGGGCCTCCCCGGTGGCGCAGCGGTTGAGCGCTGGGTTGCGAAACTGCGCACGGCCTCTGCGGCGCCAGTTCGATCCCCGGCTGCTCCCCGGCCACCGGAGGAGGGTCCCACATGGCGTGCAGACCTCTCCTGCCGCCCGCTGCTCCCCTCAGCAGTGTACTTCGGTCCTTCTGCCTGTTCTGCTCCCCGCTCTGGCTCTGGTGAATTCTCTCACCCTCCCGCGCTTCTGACTGTACCCAGTGCATGTATAAACAAAACAAACAAACAAACCAGCAAACAAATAAAGCATGCCTCTAAAAAAAAAAATAAATAAATAAATAAAAGTAACTAGTCAGGTGTTAACTGAAAGGTTTTAAATAGGAAAGTAACATCATCTTTTTATAAAGATTACAATGGCTGAGTGTGATGAATGGATAGGAAGGAGGCAAAAACTGTCAAAGACAATGGACTTCCATAGGTGTCATGGGAAAAAAATATAATGTGTGGAGGCTGAAAATAAGTAACTGTTTTCTTGGCCTAGGCAACTACATGAATGAGATGACATTCACTATGTTGAGCAGTGGGGGCAGGAAGGAATGATGGATTTAAGATAAAATTCATGCATACTGAATTTTCATAGGACACATCCACACGGACACCTACAATATATATTCAGAGATCTGTGTCTGCTGTGGAAAAGTGAGACTAGGCTGGAGATACAGCTATGGGAGTTATTCCTGTGACCAAAGCCAAGTAAGTAAATAAGAATGATCCAGAACACTAAGCATTAGGGGTAAAACTAAAGTATAATTTCATAATTTTCAGATTTTTTTGAGTAACATTTTATCAACGGCTTTCACATTTGATAAAATTAGAAAAGACAATTTTTTAAATAGATTTTTGGTTGAAAATTAAAAAAAAAAAATTTTCCTAAGATGAGTCATATGACTTTCTACATAAGGCATATAATCAGAACATCTATTTTTAACACATGTAAATACATATTATTCTTTATTTTACAAGGGCTTACAAAGGGAACAGTACTTACTGTAACTGCAACATCCACTTATGAAATAATTGTTCATATTGTTGATTTAGTTGTTTTAGTTCAGCAGAAAAGGAAGGTGAAACCTTGCTTAGTAAGTTATGCAAAGTTTCCTGAAAAAAAAAAAATAGAGGAAGGAAATATAATCACTCTCAAACCATGTACATCAAATCAATCCAAATTAAGAATATTTCCACAGAGGTAAAGATTAGTATAGGTCATTAATGGATATGTAACTTTAATCATATTTGGTAAAGAATGTATCAATTGAACATACATATTTCAAATATAATTTGAAGGGTTTTCCTAAAAATGTTTAATACATATTATAAATATAAAATAACAATAAAGAATTTGCCCTGTTTTGTCTAGAGCTATTTGCATGATTTTAAATTCCAAATACAAGGCTTTAATTTCTAAAAAGATCACTACCATAAGGAGATGAACTAGTAAACCTGTTTCCCAGTTTTGGCAACAAATCCAAACTCTTAAAAATCTACGGATTTGAAAGAATGTAAAAGTTTAAGGTAACAGTTCATTATTGGTCCTCATAAATATTAAACTTTCTTATAATTTACCATTATCATTAGTAAAATAAACCTGTATCACTGCTTCTCTTCCCAAAGCTACTTCTTTTTTTCTTTCCTGAACTAAGCCTTAATTTACTGACTACTTACATGAAAATGATTTCATATCTTTGCTGGTAATCAAAGATAGTTATGTATCAACTGAGAGAAAACGTAATCTATTCTCTTCCACATATTCCCTCTCAAAAATCGGGCTAATTCAATTTTAAGAACTAGAACTGCATCTTCCTGGTAACTATGTGACAGCTGCCAATCTGACAAAAAGGCAAAGAAAGTATACATTTTACCATTAATAGCCACAAAAACCATTTCTAAAGAATCCATTATTTTTGATAAGTAGGACAGAGTTCTTAAAACAATATTGTAACTAAGCCAAGGAAGGTGCACTGCCCTCTACCCAATACTTGGACATTTATGCAGGTGAATCAACCATAGTTCACTTTTTGAAATGAAAACTCCAGAAAAGGCTGTCTGTATATGTACTTTTACCCTGGTACTATATTCCATGTTCTCATGATTCTACCTTTAAGGTAAAATATTCTTTTAACACTGAAGACTAGATCCACAATAAACATTCCAGACACTCTGGCCTATACAGTTTTTATTTATCCACTTAGTTCTTAAAGAGAAATAGGATAAAATCTAAAGGAGATGGGTTTTTTTTTCTTCTTCTTCTCTCCTTCCTCCTGGGATTTTAAGCCCTGAACAAGCAGATAAAACACTTAGTGTCATTCCCAGCAGATATTTACATAGACTCATCAGAGGATATTCACACTTGAGTATGCACTCTGGAATGTTTTTTCATTTATGAACTTTCATTCCAAACTTTAATATCTGTGGAAAATTGCCTATGACCTTATCTCAAAACTAATGAGTTAGGTGACACAAAAAAAAAAAGAGAAGAGAAAAACACAACCACACATCACCATGTTCTCAAAGTCATAGAGGCTTTCCCTATATTCTCCTATATTGTGTAGCTTGAAAACTGTTAAAAGTTCTATATATCTTAGAAAATTGCACCAAATTCTAGTTTGCAGAGTCTTGATAACCTTTGAGTCATTAACAATCTCTCCTTGACTTAGATGATCAGTCCCACTTTCTACTAAAAGTTTTTCTTACTCAGATAATTCTGTCTCCTCTTTTAGGCAGGTATAAGTCAATCCCAATAAGTACAACTGTATAGGGGCCTCCCTGGCTAAAGTCTCAGTGCTATTAGGCTATTGCCAGCCACTGCAGCATGAGTTTGATCCCCAGCCAGGAAGCTAACCCACATGGCACAGCAGACCTCTCCTGTCTCACCCACTGCTCATCTCTGCAGTGTATTTCACTAGATTTGCCTGTTCTGCTCCCCACTCTGTCTCTGGTGAATCCTCTCACCCCCCACCCCCGCCCCATACCTCTGCCCTATACCCCAGTTCTTGTATGCATACATAAAAATAAATTTTAAAAAACAAAAAAAATTTTAAAAGTATAACTGCATAGTATTTTTTAATAAAATGAGACACTGGAACTATGGTATATAGTAACCTTGTTATCTTACTGCACTAGGCAGGTTTTTCCATAATATCAAATAGCAGAAAATTCTTTGATTTTTGCAAGGTTTGTAACTGAGAGAGTCGGATCACAGCTTTTGTTTTATGACCAGTGTGAGGTTCAATGGAGATGTGGATTAAATGGATAACAGAGATTTATGGTAAATGAATAGCAAAGAAATAATGACCTTGATATTTGATAAGGGGAAAATGTATAATTATAGCATATCAAACAGAATTCTAATCAAATGAACCTTTTACTATATATATATATGTAAAAGAATGTATGTAATAGTTATTTTACATCTATTTGCACTTCGTTTAATCTGTAAAATAATTCTGATTATGCACACTTACTCTTCAAACAGTAATTTTTTAGCTCACTATAAGAAAAATTTAGAATACTATTTGCAACATACCTGATCCAGTTTAGCTCTCTTTAGTTTCTGCAGTGTTCTATCAGAAGTTAAAACTTTTGAGCTGCTGTGAGCTTCAAAATATTCTTCTACTAAGTCACTCTGTAGGTGGACAGAACAAAATCAATTCTTAGTTTTAGATATTTGTTTTAAACTAGACAATAACAGTGGCATAAAACAGAATATGTGAAATTCTTTATTTGGTAATCAGTATTTTGGTTTTGAAGCAACAGCACAGATAAAGGACCAAGCAAATTTAACTCCAGTAATGAAAATGAATAACTTTTAGGATCATAAAAGTTAAAGAAGTGACTAGATTGAAGGAGTCTGTTCAGAAAAATGATTCCTTGGCCCCCCTGCTGGCACAGGGGTTAAAGACAGCGCTATCAAGCTATTGCCAGCCACTGCAGCACGAGTTTGATCCCTGGCCGGCCAGGGAACAATCCACATGGTGCAGCAGACCTCTCCTATCTCACCCGCTGCACCCCTCAGCAGTTTATTTCAGTAGATTTGCCTGTTCTGCTCCCCTCTCTCTCTGATGAATTCTCTCACCCCCCCCCCACACCTCTGGCTTACACCCAAGTTCTTGTATACATAAATAAATAAATCTTTTTTTAAAAAAAAAAGAAAAAGAAAACTGATTCTTAAGTTCTATACAGCTTCTTCTTAGAGTTTAAGAAGAAAGATTTTACAGATTTTGTTTTGCCTCACACAATCACAGCAAATCCTCTCATACTAGGACACTTGAACAACTGTGAAAATGAGGGAAAAAAATTCAGAAAATAAAGAAAAGTCAAGAAAAATAATTATGTTGATCCTTCCATTCAGAACTCTTCTCTCAGGGTAGTTTATCCTTGAGATACTACATAACTTTTCTTTATGGTCAAAGTCTCTCTTCACTTACTGTTTTATCTCTTTTTATTTTCTTACAAGGTGTTTCTTTGCAAATGGGAGCTGAAACTATTTGTTTATGAGCTTGAATCTTTTTGCTCAATATGACTTCACTGGTGTCCTCTTCATATTCTTGTGCAACCTCTTCATCATCCTCTGAATTGGAAGTGGAATATTCACTTTCACTGTCAGAATAAGACCTTGTAACTGTGAAGGGGAAAAGCAATTGGGAAAATGTGACAGTTTGAAAGGAAGCATTATGGGATAATTGAAAGAGCATGGAGAATGACGCAAGAGTGACTTCGGTTCTGTCATTACTTGCTGATGATTTCAGCAGAACTAGCTATGTAAGTTTTCTGAGCATCAGGTCTCTCATTTACCAATTAAAGCTGATCATGTCTAATTTAATAAGTCATTGTAAAGATTACACTGAAATATATGTAAAGCAACTAATAGGGCCTCACACAGGAACTGTGGCAGAAACTCCCAATCATACCTAACACCATTCTCTTTCCTTCTACCTTGTTAACAGAACTCCAATTTTGCTAACATGGAATACGCCCCTCCCTATAGGACAAATAACGCAAGTATCTGATAGATACTTGCCTTTCCAGCTTTCTGTGCAACTAGAGTTGGCCATGTAAACTTTTGACAGATAAAACTCAGAGAGACTTGCTGGAAGCTTATGGGTACAATTATTCTCGCTTAAGGAAGGAAAACGCTTTACTTATAGTGATAGCTTAAAGTTATGGAAACCATTCTGCAGTCCTTATGTTTGGGATAAGAAGGACATGGGCTATAATCTTTTATTGCCACAGACATCCAATCACTTAGCATTACCATTTTTATGCTGATTACAACAGTAGTATCAACGAATGGTCCTATGAAATCTATACCTTGAAAAGAAAGGGCTACAGTATGAATTTAGCAAAGTTAGTTAATACTATTGTCAAGGATTCAACCTTAAGAAACTGACATCTTTCTGAAATGTACAGAGCCACAACTCATTTGTCCCAAATTTAGTATTTAAAAATCTAAAACCATTTAAAATTTCCTAGAAGGCACTGATGCATGCATGTTTACTTGGCTTTGTATAGCATTCATTTTAAACGAGCATTTACAATTATTCATTATAAAATTTCTAAATAAGTTAACAGACCCACTTCCAAACTGTCTCAAAACAAATTAACTAAAAGACTACTTTACTGGAGAGACATTTTAACTAACTTCAGTATATCCACTGACCATAAAATAAAAGACATAGTATACCAAGTGTTGGAATTAAAAATATAAGATATAGTCCTTGCTCTTAAGGGATATACAGTTGTGGATATGAACATATCTTTTCTTTCATGAAAAGAAATAGCATACATAGTTACAACAGTTATTATAGTAATGAAAGATTACAATAGCTAACACTTGTTAAGCACATATCAATGTCAAGCCTTACACTAAACATCCTTTGCTGTCATTTATTTCAATTAATCTCAAAACAACTCAGTGGCTGGTACCATTATTATCCTCATTTTACAAATGAAAAAAATTGAGGCATAGAGCTATGTCTCTGTAACTGGTAGGCTAAAGAAAAACACAATCTAAGACTAGAAACTATATACTCAATCACTACTGCCCCTTGTTTAGATGTTTAAAAACTCAGTATTAAAATTACATACCTATTAATCTTTTCCTTAAACCACGAGGTGCTGTTGACAGAAATTCACTTTTGTCATTGTTCTGTTTAAAAATAAAAAATGATAGTTTAAATAGTCAAATAATAATGACAACATGGAAATACATGATGGACCTAAGTAAAAGAAGCTAGAAAAGAAAAAACATTTAGAACTAGATGAGTCTAGTTTCTAGAAGATAATGACAAATGAATGTTGGGGGAAAAAGTAATGAAAACAATACAACAAATGCCAAAGAATTCATAGAATGATTTATTTACTAAACTTATTTCAGGCATTTGTAAAGTGTATATATATATATATATATATATACACACATATACACATACACACACACACATATATATACACACACACATACATATATATGTCAGCCTTTTTTACCTATCAGATTAAAAGGATTTTGCTTTTTTAAAAGATAATACTATACACTGATAATAAGTAGGCAAGGAATATGCACTTCCATGTATATGGCAAAGGTCCTTTAATGTGTCAGAAATTTACTGTGTTAAAGTATTATGTTCTCTGAGCAGAAAAGAAACAGATTTATACTTTTTACTTCTGTTTCTAAATTTTTAAACAGTTTACAAAAGCATAAAAAAGTTTTTTCTTTTTTCATAAAATATAAACTTTAACATCATTATATTTCTCGCATATTGAAATGCTTACTGTTGTATATATGTTAATTTTTAATAGCACAGACAAAAAGATAATAGCACAGACAAAAAGATATAAGAAAATGTGACAAAAACCTTAAGCTTGTGGTTTTTTAGGTTGTACTAATTAAAAATGTTAATAAATTTTGATTTGGGATATTAAGAACAGTACTCTAGTAACTGTGTTGATTCTAGTAGGTTTATAAAATATATAGTACACTTCCAACTTTTTGATCAAGATCTTCAAAATTTGTTTTCACATTTTGCCATCTTGATCCAGTACACATGTGCATATATAACTTCAGCAAATCTTAATGAGATAATACTTATAAAATAGAAAATTATCTATTTCATTTTTTAAACTGCAGGTCATATCATACTAAACAAACTTCAACATTGAGAGCTAAGACAACTTGTGTACATACAACTTAATTATCAGGTCTGAGAACATAAGTGTCAATAACCAGTTCAGAAAATTTGCTCAAAAAGATAAGGCTATGAACTAATAATAAATAACTACACTGTTTGCTACAGAAATTTCTTCAAACTAATTTTATCTTGATAGCTCATTTGGACAACCTGTTCTCCCATCAGAACAGCAGATTACTCAATAGAGCAAATAGCTTGCTTACAAACAAGTTTACTTATCAAGACTCAGTTCACTGTATCTACTAACCCTAAAATAAATCATGAACTTTGTCTAGTACTGATCAGAATTTTATTTTTAAAGACACAGCTTAGGATCCTTGAGCTCAGATCCTCAACCCTATACATATTCTTCCCTGAACTCCCCCTTCAAGACAGTGCACTAAGATTCTGCCACAGTGATGGTGTCTCCTTCTGTGGCAGAATCTACCAATTGTTTGATCAACTAGTTTCATGACAGTCTCTTGGGGAAATCAACAAGATCCACTAATGTGTTATGATCCACCACTTGAAAAAGAACACACTAATATATCGAAATTCTTAATTTGATTATAGAAATAAGCTTAATTCTTTTAGAGTGAGTGATACAATATATATGATGTTAATACAGAGAGAAATCAATACTAAAGACAAAGGAGGCTTGACATGATTTGTCTAAATAGGACATTCCTGCACAGGCTGTAACCATGGTCCAGAATATCTATACTCACATTGCTATCTAAGGGATACTTAGGAAAGTACAGGCATGTCTAAATCTCTTACTACCTAGGCCTGGAAACACTTACAATTCACACAGTCAATATCCTGTATCTGTCTATGCCCATCTGGGCTCTTCTCACATCCAAGCAAGATCACTCGACAAGTGTAATAATAAAAAAAGAAATCAAGGTGAGGATAAAAATTGTTCAGCTTCCCTGGAATAAATTTGCTGAAGCCAACTTAGTTTTAAAATATAAATTACAAAAGAATTAATGGATTTAATGATCTTGGGATCAAAACCCCAAGAAACAATAGAACATTCTAAGTAAAAGCAAAGCAAAACAAAACCCATAAAATTTCCAGGCCAGTTCTACTATGTCGAAAAGATCCAGGGAAAGTTCTGCACAGAATAAACACAACAACTGGGTGCAGAACAACTGACTTCATTTTCTAGCTTTTCTCCTTCCTAATAAAGTGAACTTAAGAGAAATCACTTTACCTCTGAGAATGTCAGATTCTTCATTTATAAGTTAGGTATTTAATTGACAAATACCTGTAAATTATAAAGCACTATATAAATTAAGAGACAAAATGGATATTTTCTTACCATGTTTTATTTTGTATCACTAAGGTTTTCACTTACTTTTAGTCAATTACTTACCTTCAACTGAACTTCGTCTGAAGCAGAATGTTCTAAAGAATAAAAGCAAAGTCATTACTTAACACAAACACTTCACTTTTCATCACATTCCAATTTCACTAAAAGAAAAACTGCAATTTCTACCCAAAAGCCACCATGTATTTCAAATTCTCAAGTAATTGCATTTCTCCTAGAACCTGAATTGTCACTATTAATTTCATGTTATTCCCATTAATAATTAGGGCTGCATTTCTGTAGCATTCATATAGTAAGAAAAAATGGACCCTGGTTATTCGTTATTTAATAAGTACACTTTTTAATTTTGTTGGAATGGGTCATTTAAAAACAACTGCTCTGGGCCTCCCCGGTGGCGCAGCGGTTGAGCGCTGGGTTGCAAGGCTGCCCGCGGCCTCTGCAGCACCGGTTCGATCCCTGGTTGCTCCCCGGCCACCAGAGGAGGGTCCCACATGGCGCGCAGACCTCTGCTGCCGCCCGCTGCTCCCCTCAGCAGTGTGCTTTGGTCCCTCTGCCTGCTCTGCTCCCTGCTCTGGCTCTGGTGAATTCTCTCACCCTTCCGCGCTTCTAACTGTACCCAGTGCTTGCATAAATAAATAAATAAATAAATAAATAAATCTTTAAAAAAATAAAATAAAATAAAGCGCCCCATTTAAAAAAATAAATAAAATAAAATAAAAAAATAAAAACAACTGCTCCACAATTCTCCATGAACTATAAAATTTCCAAATCCTCAAAATCTTATTTCAAATTTTTTTTAAATAGAGGCATGTTTTATTTATTTATTTATTTGTTTGTTTGTTTTGTTTATACATGCACTGGGTACAGTCAGAAGCACGGGAGGGTGAGAGAATTCACCAGAGCCAGAGCGGGGAGCAGAGCAGGCAGAAGGACTGAAGTACACTGCTGAGGGGAGCAGCGGGCGGCAGGAGAGGTCTGTGCGCCATGTGGGACCCTCCTCCGGTGGCTGGGGAGCAGCCGGGGATCGAACCAGTGCCGCAGAGGCCGCCGGCAGCTTCGCAACCCAGCGCTCAACCGCTGCGCCACCGGGGAGGCCCTATTTCAAATATTTTTTATAAAAGTAAGTCTTCCATGACTCTTTAGCTAAAAACTCAAGCAAATAACACAGGACTTTAAGACTGTTCCTAGTTGGCCCTCTCAATTTGCACTTCAACCAGAACAAATATTTCCCCTTTCATTGACAGTTAAGTATGGGTATACAAAAGCAAATAAATTAAAGAATTAACAATATATTGAATGATTTTTCAAAATAGAAAAGAAGGAAATATATATAAATGCAATTAGAAAAGAAAAAGAGGGTAATATACTATAACTTGAAGTAACCATGAAAACTCTTCAAAAATCTAAGGTAAAACTTTACCCTTGCTACTTTGAGGAATGTTTATCATAATTTCTGGATCATTCTTCAAATTCGATGCAGCACCTTTTCTTGGTGTTTTTGCTAGTTCTGAAGCTGTAAACAGACAAAAGAAATAATAAAAAACAGTTAACAAACAATAGATTAAAGAAGGGAAATACTCTTATTTACTTATGTAAATTAACTTACATAAATCCTTAAAAAAAAGAGACCTCAGTGCCCTATTATCAAAAATATAAACAAACCTACCCATCTTAATAGTACCAATGCTTTCATCTTTATTTGCTGTCTTACAAGAACCTTCAAGTCCTTTCCATAATCTACAATTCTCTCAAGAACAACAAGAACTAACTTCTTTCTTACTGTTTTCTCTAAATCCTATACTCCCTTCCTCATCTCTCCACTGACCAGTTGATACTCCCTGCATTTCTTTACCATACATATTTAAGGCACATCTTTCTTTGCTAGGTGGAAAGAAAGAAGGGCCAGAAAATGGAATCTAAAATTAAATGAAAACTGTATATTTTTAAATTATAATTTAAAAGCTCTTAAATTTCCTATAAAATATATTTTATCTAAAATATACACATGAATAATGCATAAACTATAATATAGCACTGAATAGATGGTTGTTTCCTCAACTGAGCATCCAATGAAATAGTTGGTTTCTAAACAAAAGGGGCTGTTTTAAATGAAAAATACAGTCTTTTATCTTTAAAAATACATCCTCACACTGAGAGGCATGTGGGAAATGAGCCTAACTGAAGGAACAGATATACATTTCCAGAAAAACACACATTGGGACATTGATCACTGAGGAACGTAATACACTTTTCAAATGATTTCCTTTTTTTTTTCCTTTACTTTCATTTTTGGGCCTCCCCTGGTGACGCAGGCAGTTGGCGCAGCGCTATGGAGCTGTCTGCAGCCTCTGCAGTGCCGGTTCGATCCTGGCCGGCCGGCAAGGGTCCCACAAGGCACAGCAGACCTCTCCTGTCTTGCCTGCTGCTCCCCTCAGCAGTGTATTTCATCAGTCTGTCTGTTCTGTTCCCCGCTCTGTCTCTGCTGAATCCTCTCACCCTATTGTGCATCTGGCCTGTACCCTGGTTCTTATATAAACAAATAAATAAATCTTTTAAAAATTAATAAATAGTTTCATTCTTATAAGTTAAAGCTACTTTACTGACTCAAACTTTTTCTAAGCTGTTCACCATTTTCATCCTCTAACCTAAAACTGACCCAGACTACTCATGATTGTCCTGACAAATGCACTGGCTTCTTTCCTTAATCTCCTTGGTCTTCTATATCATTCACTAGAGTTCTTAAAATCTTTAAATTATTCCCCCATTTGAGTTCTGTGACATTATCCTGGTCTCCTGGCCACTATTGGTAGTTATTCCATCTCTTTTTCATTGTCCTAAATTAAGGCTCATTCCTTTCCTTGGTCTTCTCTTTATACCAGAAAAATAAACCATTTTGGATTATAGACTGCTGCTCCACAAGATACGGAAAAAAATTCACATCAACAAAAAGCTAGATAAGTAAAAAGTAACTGCTGAAATAATTTTGGTTTCATATTGAAACATAAAAATTCTCATCTGCTTTTAAATAGATATTAAACTTCAGGAGGAGAAAGGAAGAACTGAAGAACAAGAAACATTCATGTATAGCTACTGATTCCACTAAAAAAAAAATGGGGCCATAATTTGTGTGTTTTTTATTCTTTTAATAATTCATTTGTGCTGTTTTTATAAAACGACTGGTCTACAATATACTGGAAATTTTCAAATAAAATCTTTTGTCTAGGGCCTTCCCGGTGGCGCAGCGATTGAGCGCTGGGTTGCGAAGCTGCCCGCGGCCTTTTCGATCCCCGGCTGCTCCCCGGCCACCGGAGGAGGGTCCCGCATGGCGCGCAGACCTCTCCTGCCGCCCGCTGCTCCTCAGCATGTACCTCGGTCCTTCTGCCTGCTCTGCTCCCTGCTCTGGCTCTGGTGAATTCTCTCGCCCTCCCGCGCTTCTGACTGTGCCCAGTGCATGTATAAACAAAAACAAACAAACAAACAAATAAATAAATAAAAACATGCCTCTATTAAAAAAAAAAAAAAAATCTTTTGTCTAATGATAATGTCTTACCAGGCTATTATCTGATCCTATCTAACCAATCTATTTTCAGTTTTCCTAAAACTGTAAAAAAAGTCATCTCTTTCTACAAACTGGGTGAATTACCTCACTGTCCTTTCTACTTGGTATTTCTGCCTTTATTCTTTAGTTTGCATTTATTTACTCATCCTGAATGTGTTCTCTATATTTTATGAAACCTCCAATCTAACCCATAGTCTATTTCTAGCCCTATATCTTGGTTAGCCCAATTACATTAAATTAAACTTTATACTAGTGGTAGTAATACATGATGTTCTGCAGATTATAATTTTTTAAAATATGAAGGCATTCTATTTTATTGATATATTTAGCTGTAAGCACAATTAGCAGCAATTCTTAATGAGTCAAAGAAAGTAGCTAAAGAGCATCATAATCAAAAGAGGTTTTAACTAAACAACTCTGGAAAGTATGACCAGTCTCAAATCATTTATAAAACTATCTTTTCATGATGTATATTTCTTTCAGAAACAACTAAAATGCAACTAAAACAACACCTCTGCTTCCTATAGTACATGCACGACACAAACATAAGATATATCATCAAAATGATATGCATGTTGTTCATCCTCTCAGAAAACTTCTACTTGATTACTCCTCTGGGGTTGTACTCTACTTTTGCTTTCCTCTTTGTCCAATATTCTTTTGCCTGGAGTCATTATCCAAGGATTTCATTTTGGCCTTGGTGTCTATCTAATCTTCTCTCTGATAATTATATTAGCTTCGCTACTTTATCAGAGATCCTACACAGAATTCAGTCATTTTTACAGATCGAAAAACTTTCAATTTCTTGATGTAAAGAACATTAAGAAACATCAATACAAATTAATATTAATATAGTAATGCTTTTAATATTCTACTTTTCAGAAACACTGAATCTTGTAAATGATTAACTCACATTATATTCAGAAACACAATCTTATAATTAAATGCTAAAAAACCCCAATGTAGCAATATACCCAGATGTTTTATAATTAGATTATAAGTCCTCTTAAATAACTATTATATTTTATCATGTAGTTCATTATTATTCCCTTGTTCTTGATGTTTTGATATTCCCTAACCTTCAAAAATTTATGGACTTCATTAACTTTCAAAGTACTTTCACTTGCTACATCCTTTCCTCAAAACTTTAAAAATGATGACTCGGGGGCCTCCCCTGGTGGCGCAGCGGTTGAGTGCTGGGCTGCGAAGCTGCCCGCAGCCTATGCAGCGCCGGTTCGATCCCCGGCCACCAGCGAGGGTCCCAGATGGTGCGACAGACCTCTCCTGCAGCCCGCTGCTCCCCTCAGCAGTGTATTTCATCAGTCTGCCTGTTCTGTTCCCCACTCTGGCTCGGTGAGTTCTCTCACCCTCCTGCGCTTCTGACTGTGTACCCAGTGCTTGTATAAATAAATAAATCTTTAAAAAAAAAAAAATGATGACTCGGGCCTCCCCTGGTGGCACAGGTGGTTGAACACAGTGCTGTGACGCTGTCTGCAGCCTCTGCAGCGCCAGTTCGATCCCCGCCGGCAAGGGTCCCAAATGGTGTGGCAGACCTCTCCTGTCTTGCCCGCTGCTCCCCTCAGCAGTGTATTTCATCAGTCTGCCTGTTCTGTTCCCAGCTCTGTCTCTGGTGAATCCTCTCACCCTCCTGCGCATCTGGCCTGTACCCTGGTTCTTATATAAATAAATAAACAAATCTTGAAAAAAATAAATAAAAATAAAAATGATGACTCTACATAGCACAAGATTCAAATATAGTGCAACTTGGATATTTTTTTAAAGAGTAGGGCCTCCCTGGTGGCACAGGCAGTTGAACGCAGAGCTATGAAGCTGTCCGCAGCCTCTGCAATGCCGGGTCGATCCCCGCTGGCCTTGGAGCAACCCACATGGTGAGAAGACCTCTCCTGTCTCTCCAGCTGCTCCCCTCAGCAGCGTATTTCGTCAGTCTGCATGTTCGGTTCCCTGCTCTGTCTCTGGTGAATCCTCTCAACCTCCCACACATCTGGCCTGTACCCCGGTTCTTTTATAAATAAATAAATCGTAAAAAAAAAAAAAAAGAATAATTGACTAAGTTTTAATGTTGTATATATATATATATATATATACTATTATAGTCTAGTTCTCTGAAAATCAGTAATTCATGTGTATTTGGTATAGGTAGTTAACTTGAATAAGAAAAATGTTAGGACAGTCTATTCCTAATAATTTTACATAAATAGTTTTCTTTAAAAGTGTTTTTCTACATATAGTATAAAACTTTTATTCAATAAAATCAAAGTGTCGGGCCTTCCTGGTGGTGCAAGGGGTTAAGCACCACGCTATAAAGCAATACACAGCCTCTGCTACACGAGTTTGACTCCAGGCCGGCCAGGGAGAAACCCACATGGTGCAGCAGACCTCTCCGGTCTCACCCACTACTCCCCTCAGCAGTGTATTTCAGTCAGTCTGTTCTGTTCCCCACTCTGTCACTGCTGAATCCTCACCCCCCTCATCTATGGCCTGTGCCCCAGCTCTTGTATGCATAAATAAATAAATCTTAAAAAAAAAATCCAAATATCTCTGTGTAACTTAAGTCACTCAATTACTGAAGAAAAATTTGTTGTAGGAAGAAAACAAAAACAGTATTTCTACTATGGGAAGTATATACCCTGGCTGCGAAGATACTGAACATGAAAAACAACTTGTGACTTTAAGCATGCTTGCTAACAAAATGACATCTTTTCAACATTCTTTTAGGGAATGTAATGGGATATCTGTAAAGAATATAGTTAAATATACCATCTTAGAAAAGATTAATAGTGATTACAGAAATCAGAAAAGAACATACCTAATTTAGCCATCTTTTCAGAGTGTTTTCTATTCTGAAAAGAATAAACTTTATTCCCACCATCTATAGCAGATCCATTTTTTAAGGACTCTGGAAAAAAAAAAAGTAATATACATTTAGGAAAAATGGGCAGTTAATTATCAGGTAAAGAAGAGAAAAATTGGGCTTCCCTGGTGGCACAGGTGGTTGAGCGCCACATTGTGAAGCTGTCCGCAGCCTCTGCACTGCGGATTTGATCCCAGCCGGCCAGCGAGAATCCCACATGGCAAAGCAGACCTCTCATGTCTCGCCCGCTGCTCCCCATATCTGAGTATTTCAGTCAGTCTGCCTGTTCTGTTCCCCACTCTGTCTCTGGTGAATCCTCTCACCCCCCACACCTTTGGCTTGTACCCCAGTTCTTAGATGCATAAATAAATCTTTAAAAAATAAATAAAACATGCTTAGAGTACATGGTTCTAATTTTTATATTTTCCTGGCTCTAATATTTTTTGTGATTTCCTGGTTAGCTGATTGACCAACTAACAAAAGTTCTAATCATAATAGCCAAGAAGACATTTTAATATATGTTAAACTTACAGTTTTTATTTTTTTTTATTTTTATTTTTTTAAAGATTTATTTATGCAAAAAAAAAATAAAGATTTATTTATGCATACAAGAGCTGGGGTACAGGCCACAGATGGGAGGAGGGTGAGAGGATTCACCAGAGACAGAGCGGGGAACAGAACAGGCAGACTGACTGAAATACACTGCTGAGGGGAGCAGCGGGGTAGACAGGAGAGGTCTGCTGCGCCATGTGGGTTGCTCCCTAGCTGGCTGGGATCAAATCGTGCTGCAGAGGCTGTGGATTTCTTCATAGTGCGGTGCTTAGCCCCTTGTGCCACCAGAGAGGCCCACTTCTAGTTTTTAAATTACTCAAAATATACAATACCAAAAAAATGAATATACAATTCACAGAAGAAATTAAAGTGGCTAATAAATAAAAGAAAAAATGTTTAATGATGACTGAGGAGCTCAATACAAGTCGATATAATCTTCCTAGAAATAAAGTTGACAAAATCTATGCCTTAAAAAGATTATATACTTTCACTAATAATTACACTTCTAGGACTCTCCTATGAAGGAAGAAATCTCCAAGGGCAATCACTGCTGCATTAATTACAAAAAACAAAAGTTATAAACAATCACAAATCTAGTAGAGTGAACCAATATTGTTTATAAATTAGAATGCAATATTAATCAGTTACTAAAGTTCTTTCTGTGCAGAGAATAATAATCTTCCTCATACCCATTAGGATAGTTACTATTAAAAAAAAAATCCACAAAATAACAGGTATCAATGAGGATGTGGAGGAACAGGAACCCTTAGGCACTGTTGGTAGCGATGTAAATTAGCGTAGTTGTATGGGAACAGTATGATGGTATATCAAAAAGTAAAAAATAGAATTACTGTATCACCTAACAATTCCACTTCTGAGAATATACCCAAAGTAATTCAAATCAGGGTCTCAGGGCCTCCCTGGTGGCCTAGGGGTTAAGTCTCAGAGCTATCACTACAATGACCCACCACGACTACCTGAGTTCGATCCCCAGACAGGGTGCTAACCCACATGGCGCAGCAGACCTCTCCCATCTTTCCCTCTGCTCCCCTTAGCAGTGTATTTCAGTAAATCTACCTGCTCTACTCCTCACTCTGTCTTTAATGAATCCTCTCGTGCCCCCACCCCAAGGTGGATGGATTAACAGACTATGAGAAATATTCCAGGTATGTGTGTTGCTTATAAGAAACAACACACTCTTCAATAGTAAGTAAAGCAATTGATTAATAAAGATCCTTGTGGAAAAGGTCTTTTCTTTCCTTTTTTAACTCTTTCTAAAGATTCTTTGTCAAATAGCAGCTCTCCTGTCTGCCTGTGACTATGCAGGTGCTTCTCTTTTCCTTTCTCCTTTTCTTAATAAACCTGCCCTTTTAAAATGTTTAAAAAAAAAAAAATTCTGTCAAATGTTTTATGCTTTTAAAATAATACTTACCTGTTTTCTGCTTATACTAAAAAAATTAGGCAGAAGCTTATTATTTAGTATCTCAAATAAAAGAAGGCTGTGCTATATATCACCATTTCTTCCCCAAAGAAAACTCTTTTATACACATTATCTGGAATACCACTCTCCATTCCCTACATACATTTTGGCAACAAAAATACAAAATATTAAGAGTTATGCCTGCAACAGTTTAACTATAAGTCGTAGGCTCTGCTATTGTTCATGCCCATAGTTCCATTTCTAGGATTCAGAGACAATTAACAAAATAACAAAGTTTATGTATATGTATCTATGTATAGAGAGAAGATATATGCAAAAATTGTTAACAATTCTGTGTTCTTTTAAGTAGGCATTCTCAACAGAAACAGTTTTAGTTGAGAAATACTGATCTAAGGCAAAGTTTCCCAAACAGTGTGAAGAAATTAAAGGTATGGGCTATGGGTATGCTGAGTATCATTCTTCTTGGATTTAAGGATGCAAGTCAGGGTTGGGATCAAAAGCCTCAAGGTATTTGTCCTTAGTCTAGAGTACTCTCCATTTAGTCAAGTGCACCTCCAAATATCATTTGCTGTGGGTGCTATTATGTGAATAAGGTTGGGAGGACTGAGTTCCTATTATAAATATGTATTACTTTTACAATGAGAAATAATTTTTAAGAAAACAAAAGCCTTTTTGGGGGGAATACTGTTTTCAATGTCTTCTTAGGCCAACTAGGAGGTAGTCAAGAATCCAAAGTTCTATTCACATATGTCCTAAAAATGTGAAATGTCTAGAGCTAGCAGGCAGGGTGGATTCTCATAAAAGTGTCTCCAATTAGAGCTCTGGAACTAGATGATAATACAATATTAAGAAGGTATTTAATACAGCTGAACAATACACTTAAAAATGGTGAAGATTGGGCCTCCCTGGTGGCGCAGGTGATTGAGTGCAGTGGTGTGAAGCTGTCCACAGCCTCTGCAGTGCCGGTTCGATCCCTGCCGGCCTTGGAGCACCCCACATGGCGAGCAGACCTCTCCTGTCTCACCCGCTGCTCCCCTCAGCAGCATATTTCGTCAGTCTGCCTGTTCTGTTCCCTGCTCTGTCTCTGGTGAATCTTCTCACCCTCCCGTGCATCCGGCCTGTACCCCAGTTCTTGTATAAATAAAAATAAATCTTTAAAAAAAAATGGTGATGATGATAAAGTTCATGCTATGTGTATTTTACCATAATAAAAAAACTGTATTTTACCATAATAAAAAAAACTGTAAATAAAATAATATAGCACACCATTGCTTAACCTACTAGACTACTTTTACATGTCCTGCAAAGCCATTTTTGCTACTAGCAGAAACATGAGTGTATATTTTCCACTCTCCAGAATCCCACTCCCACTCCACCCGAAATACCTTGAACATCTTGTCCTAAAACTTCCACATAGTTCTGATCTTTAAGGACTTCCTGGTCATCTTCCTCCAAATCATATTCTGGCTTCTTTATTATTTTTTTTGTGTTGACCAAAAGCTGAGGTCGTTCCTTTTTAAATTTAGCTCCTATAATAATGTACAAAAAATTAGAACATGACAGGTATATATTCTTTCTAAACATTACATTAAAACAAATAAACCACTTATATTGTCATTACTTAAAGCCTGGAAAAAATTCAGTGATTTCTTTTTGATTCAAGTAAGACCATATTCCACAATTTATATAACTAAGTCAAAAAATTCTTCACTGTGTATTTTCTGGGGTAAAAATAATCACACATTTTGACTAAAAATGGGTAGTTATCATTTACTACTACTATTGCTAAGAATTTCATATTAGATCAGGTTTCTAAAAGTTTAAATGGAGTAAACTAAAAATTAATTTTATTTCAGTCTTACTAGATCAAATACTTTGTGCTACATTTTCAAAATAGGTTAAAATATTTTAAAAAGTGAGATAATCCATATGCATTACATAAATATCTCTTTAATGTTATGTATAGGCTGTATAATCTGACTAGAATGGATAATTGTATAATCACTCAGTACCTCCTTCTCTATCAAGAATGTGATTAAGAACATCATCATCTCCCACAAACTGAACCTCCAGCATCTTGTCTTCCTTTAATTCCAGTTTATTCATCATTGCCAACCTTAACAAAAAATAATGTATACAGATAAGTGATGAAAAATTCACACCAACCAAATAAACATTCACATAATGAACACACTGTACTTGTATAACTTTTTAAATGTCTTTTAGGTATGAAAAACAAATTCTGCATTACTGTACTCATATTCTGTTTTGGTAATAAGTAACTCAATTCATTTGAAAAATAGAAGAGAGGAAGCTATGCCTGAGATTTGGAAAGAGCCAAAGCCAAATCCAATTAAGGTAACCAAAATGTATTAAGAGGAAAAACAATTCCACCTATAAAGAAAGTGCTAACCAATCTACAGAACAACCACATTAACAGAAAGGGAATGGTTAATACACTAAAGCTGAGGAAACAGGCAAACAAAGAATAATGGTTTAGTGGATTTTCTTTACTTTTTTTTTTTTTAATAAAGATTTCTTTGTTTTTTTTTTTTTTAAGATTTATTTATTTTATTTATACAAGCACTGGGTACAGTCAGAAGCACGGGAGGGTGAGAGAATCCACCAGCGCCAGAGCGGGGAGCAGAACAGGCAGAAGGACTGAAGTACACTGCTGAGGGGAGCAGCGGGCGGCAGGAGAGGTCTGCGCGCCATGTGGGACCCTCCTCCGGTGGCTGGGGAGCAGCTGGGGATCGAACCGGCGCTGCAGAGGCTGCGGGCAGCTTCACAACCCAGCGCTCAACCGCTGCGCCACCGTGGAGGCCCGATTTTCTTTACTTTTATTTCTTATTTACATTTACAGGTTTATTAGGAAAAGGAAAAAAAGAGACACTAGCATAGTCACAGGTGGGCAGGAGAGCAGCCTGGTGGATTTTAATATCTGTAAAGATATTCCATTGGGAGAAGTCTGTGGTACTTCACTGATGTACCAAGCCTATATCAAATAATCTTCAAGCACTTCCCTTTATTATTATTGCATGCTTACAAAAACAATTTTACAATTATGAATATGACTTTCTAGGCATTTTGATAACTAAATAGTAAACATAAATCTTTCCAACATTTTATAATCATTTCTTTACTGAATAAATTTCAGTTTGGCAACCAAAAGCTTGATCAACTCTGGCTAATGTGACAAATTGTGGTTTCAGAACTTATAACTTATTAAATGTTGCAAGTTTTCTTTTGGTAATTAAGACACTTAAATGACTTGTTTCAGTTTTCATTTACCTTTCAAGGTTCTACATATTCTGCAGCTGGGAAGTTCAGGTAGTCACCTGTAACTGGAAAAAGAATTCAATCAGGGTCATCTAATCAGAAAAAGAAAGCAACCAAACATGTTCATGAGTTTTAAGAAACATGATGAATAGATAAATTCAGTCCTTATAAAGGAATTATGAGGACAAAGTAAAGGACAAAAACTACCATTACCATTTTAGCCAGGAAACCCTAAACACTGAAATATCTGGACTGGGGGATTCAGGGAGAGAGTAGACTGGTTGAGTACTTAGTATATGTCAGTTTTAAATATTCTATATGTATTCTAATTTAAGCTTCACAACAATTCTATTAGATTTATAACTTGGGTATAAAGATAATATTTCTATAATTTATACAACCAGTGACAGAGGAGAGCATATCCTTTAGGGCTGTCTTTCTAGTCATGATACTGTTTATTATGTTGAATTTGAGTGTATTAGAAAAAAAATTGAATGCATCTACACAACATCTGTGTAAAATAAACATGATTTCTTTTTACTTTTCTAAATACATATATTTTTTAAAACTTTTATTTTCTTACATGTTAATCTTTTTTTTTTTAAAGATTTATTTATTTATTCATACAAGCACTGGGTACAGTCAGAAGCGTGGGAGGGTGAGAGAATTCACCAGAGCCAGAGCGGAGAGCAGAACAGGCAGAGTAACGAAATACACTACTGAGGGGAGCAGCGGGTGGCAGGAAAGATCTGCGCGCCATGTGGGACCCTCGGCCGGTGGCCGGGGATCGAACCAGCGCTGCTGAGGCTGCACGCAGCTTCGCAGCCCAGCACTCAACTGCTGCGCCATCAGGGGAGGCCCTAAAAATACATTTTTTATATCTGTGTAAAGTTCTCTTGAAGGGTTGCTTGTCAGGATCTGTTATTAGGCACTGTTATGTACTTAAGAACATTAAATCTTGATTCTTTGAAGTAGTTACAATACATATATGTGGGATGTGTGTGTGTGTATGATTTCCCCAATTCACAGAGAGTAAACCAAGGTTAAATATTATGTTCACACAATTAGCAAGTGTGTTAGGGCAGAGACCCAAGTGTGACTGGTTCTGGAGTCCCTGATAATTCTATTACATCACATACGTTACCATCTGTTATCTTAAATGCTTGTTTTGACCTCAGGAAACAATTTTGTAATATGTGTAATCATTTTCCTACATGGCAATTCATGTAGGTTAATAAACACCACTAGTTCTACCAAGCATACTTTGAAGATCATAGTCAGAATTTAGTATAATCTATATTATTTAAAATTATATATTGCTGTGTTCTATATAGGTTTGAAGCAATGACAATAACCAAATGAAATAAAACAAATGATGAACTTTAAATACTAATTGGGAGTCTGGTTCAGGAAAATATAAAGAAAAGCAGAAAATAAAATCATACTAAGAATTTTGACTTTGCGCTTCCTGAAAAAGTGAAAGGAATAGGGCCTCCCTGGTGGCGCAGCGGTTGAGCGCTGGGTTGCGAAGCTGCCCGCGGTCTCTGGGGCGCCGGTTCGATCCCCGGCTGCTCCCCAGCCACCAGAGGAGGGTCCCACATGGCGCACAGACCTCTCCTGCCGCCCGCTGCTCCCCTCAGCAGTGTACTTCGGTCCTTCTGCCTGTTCTGCTCCCCGCTCTGGCTCTGGTGAATTCTCTCACCCTCCCGCACTTCTGACTGTACCCAGTGCATGTATAAAACAAAACAAACAAACAAACAAATAAATAAAAACATGCCTCTATTAAAAAAAAAAAAAAAGAAAAAGAAATTAAAAAAAAAAGTGAAAGGAATAAAGATTACTTGTTCGATTTTCATTAGTGAAAGTTTATTTGCTCCCATAGGGGGTAATTTCAAGAGAAATTAAAAACAAATATTCTAGATAACTGAACACTGCCCTAGGCAATTTCCCTGTATTATTTTACATACGATTAGGCAGCCTAGCTTGCTTATTTGTAGTCAAATTCATTTATATGTACCTTTCCTTTTATGTATTTTAAGGCATCTTATTATTACATGGTACAAAAGCACCAAAATGATGGAATTCCTACAAAAACCTTTAAAGAAAACTTTTCTTCTTTTTCCAGCAATTCTTAGGGGGTAAAAAACAATCAGTACCCAACAATCACACAATAAAATGCAAATATATTGTGACCTTAAGGTAACCATCAACCCCTTAAGGCATTGTCTTGGGTGTTTATTTTTATTTATTATTTTATTTTTATTTATTTACTTTTAAAGATTTATGTATTTATACAAGATCTGGGGTACAGCCCAGAGACGCGGGAGGGTGAGCTAATTCACCAGAGGCAGAGCGGGGAACAGAACCAGCAGGAACTGAAACACTTCTGAGGGGAGCAGTGGGCGAGGCAGGAGAGGTCCGCCTGCTGACAGCTTCACAGGGCTGCGCTCAACCCGCTGCGCCACCCGGGAGGCCCTCTTGGGTGTTTATTTTTAAATGGACTCCCCTTTCAAAAAGATAACTACAACGCGATACAGAAGCACTAAATCTGGTGTATTAACAGCAACACACTTTTTAGAGACCAAATAAAGGGTTTGTGCAATTTTTAAAAATTTACTTATTTTCTTACATCATTGTTCATTTTTAGACAGTATTTGATTTCTCCTCTCAGATGTAGTCCCCATAATGGATTTGTGCAATTTTAAAAAGTATAATCTTAAGAAATAAAAAGGAAAAGATGGTATAGATTAGTGACTAAGCAGCAATTTTAATATCGGATAAACTCACGACTGATCTTAACACATATAACTGATTCCGTACAAAATTGTAATGATGGAGGTTGGGTGCCTAGCATCTGAAAGTGCTAATTAAAGTACTTTAAACTTTAACTGAACTATGTAGCTCTCTTGTACCTCTCTTTGTCATATCTAACACAAAAAGGGCTCAATAAATGATGATGTCCGTTTAATCATGCAGTGCCACTACATAAAGCTGCAGGGCCATGCTATTTGCCTACAGACTGCAGATTAAGGGAAGGTGTAATGACGCTACCAGGATTTCTACTGTAAAGCGAAAGTATAACATCAACATCCTTTTAAACTTAAAAAGTTCTACCAGAAAAGCCTGGTTTATCAACATTTTTGCAGCCACGCATAGTCCCGAGGTGATTACCCAGTTAACGGGACTGAGGAGGTGTCTCCAGTCTGGGATGGTATCAAAGGTGCTCACTCTGGACCAGACCTCTTTCTCCTCAGCCCAAATTGCACCTGCTCCTTTCACCGGACACTTCACCTCTTTCGTCGGGGATTCTTACAGTTCTCTTTACCAGCACAGGGCTCCTGAAACGTGCTGGCAACCACGACGCTTGCACGGAGGGCCTGTCCAGCTGGACCAACCGTCTGTCCAGAGACAGTCTGTCACCCTAAGTACTTAAGGACTTCGGCCTGGGTACCCCGCGGCTGCTCAGCAGGCGGTCCTCGGACCCGCCGGGGCTGTGAGGCGCCTGGGGAGGCAGAGGGAGGCGGGCGACCCAGTTCCGACCGCCGAGGGGGGCACGGGCAGCGCCCAGGCCAGCCGGGCCGCGAAGCTGGGCGCACCTGCACTCACCTCCCAAGCCGGGGACGGAGCTGGAGAGGACGGCAGGCTGCCGGGTCGCCCCTCCGCGCACCGCTAGGTCTCTGCCGGGAGCGGCTCGGGCCACCTCCAGGCCGCCGGACGCTATCCCGCCGAGTGGGAGCCGCAGGGGAGGCGGCTTCGGTCCCAGCAGGAGAAGACAAAATGCTGTACACCTTGCCAGGACTGGGTCGCGGGGTCGAGCAGGAGCCAGACAGCAGCTGGGGGAGGGGAGGACTGCCGGGGGAGGGAAGAGCAGCCTGCAGCACACTAAATCTCCCGCCCTACCCAGGGGGCGGAGCCCCGAGAAGCCAATAGGAAGCGGAGCCGGCCGAGAACGACGGCTCTTCCGTCCAATCGGCGACGGCCTATCAGCCCCGCCCATCAAGGGACCTGAGGAAAATGACTCCCCCGAGCGTCGGGACCGCGGCCTTTACTCTTTCCGTTTCCGGGGAAGGGAGGAGGAAGTGTAGGTTAGAGCTGAGGGTGTTCGGTGTAGCGGGCTGAGCGGTGTCTCTTATAACGTGAAACAGTATTGCAAGTGTTAGTTGGTTTTTCTAGATACCTTCTTTTGAGAAAAATGGAGATGGATTCTCGTTCTTTTTAATTTTTTTTTAATTGATTTGGCGTGAAAGGTAGGATCCCATACATCATCTCAAGGGTTTGGGGGTTGGCGGCAGGGGAGAAGACAGGAGAATTAGGGCCTGGGCGTTGAATGCGGAAATGGGTTGAGACCATTAATTGGATAGAGACTGGGGAAGTAGAATGAAAAGATTTAGAAAGACATAATGAGGAAGCAATGGACCTGCTGGTTCGTTCTTTTAGTATTACCCACTAACAGACTGGATTTATTCGTTCAAAAGAAACAAAACGACAGTCTTTTGCATTCCAAATTAATAAGGAAACACTCCTCAGAGACAAACACATCTCTGCCTTCATAGTACACATCATTGCAGAAGATACTGTATAGCAAATATTAAGGATGCTATGATACGGGAAGTCCACTGCTTATTGGACCACATGGCAGTGGTATATAATTAAAGGACGAGGGTCACGAACAGTTTCCTTGGAGGAAGAGAACTTTCAACTGAAACCTGAGGGTTGAGTAGACAAAGGAGGGGTAAAAACTTCCCGGTAGAAGATCCAAATCAATATAGTAAGGTGTTATGAAGTTACGGTGTTATGAAGGACTAGTTTGAATCTTAGGGCACTAGTCAGATTGCTACTGAAGATCACCTTGGATAAAGTAAGAGTGAACATAGAGGAAGGAAGAAAAGTCCCACGAAATTAAAAGCTGTTTAGGAAATCCAATTGAGAAAGAAATGACGGAAGCTTGGATACATCAGTGTTCCATTTTGGTTAGCCAGTTAAGAAAATAAAAGAAACTTAATTTTCTCTTCTTTAAAAAAAAAAGAATTTGGAAAATGAGCAAAGAGAAGACAAAGAGAACATGGCCTACAGTTAACAAAGTGTTTGAAGAGTTCTTAAAAAGTTGAATACTTTGAATTGAATACTCAACTAATGTTCTTTATTTTACTGTGACATCAACTCTTCCATTTCCCCCTCAAATCTTTACTATAGTTTCTACTGTCTCAGAGGCTAATTGTGTAAGTGGTGGGTTTTGATTTTGCTTTCATGGTATATGTGAAAAATAGGAAAGGAGCTGTTTTCCATTTAGGTTGATATAAAAAGATAAAAATAAAGAGACATACTATTTAGAATATAGAGAATTTAGGTGTGGCTGGAAATTGAACACATGGCAACTCCCCCATGTATTCACAGAAATTTTGGACAGAACATTACACCTTTCCATAGGGAAAGAGGGAGTCAAGTTAATTTTTGTATATCTTAAGGGGATAGAGAAACCAACAACTAACTGGATTATAGTTTGAAATTTAGGATTTGGCCTTAAAAGTTTCTAATATAATCTGATTAAGCATGGTGAATTGAACACACTCTTGAAATGCCACTAAAATGATGGAATAAAAAATTTTTAAGTATTAACATATACACAATTAAAAGTGTAGGAAAAGAAGTGAGATAAGTTCACACAATTTTGCAAGATTTGTTGTGATTAGGCAAAACAAAGTAAGCTGAAACCCGGGCCTGCAAAGAGAACACCAGTAAGAAGTAGAGAACCCAACACAGTCTCAGGAATTTGTCTACAAGAATCTCTGAAATAAGAAGAGCAGTGTGGAGCTAAGAACTGGAGGACTGGTTGAAGTCTGCAGCAAGGAACAATTACATCCTTATTTCCTGTCCTACTTAACAACAGACCAGGAGTTTACAAGGTAAACCAGAGAGGATAATCTAGACTCAATACAAAAGTTAGGAATGAGGTGAGAAATCATCCTGAAATTGGGAAAGACTGAACAGATTACGTGGAAGACTAAGAACCTACTTTTGTTTGACTCCCTGAACACTGGCAACTAGTCATATCCCTTGTAAATTAAATATAAAGACTTTTTGTTCAGGAAAACTTAACCAGAAGACAGGAATCCCCAACTGAAAAAGCCAGTTCACCTGTCCATCCACATTGAAATCTACTAACTAATAAGCCCTGTCCTTGTAGGCAGAGCTTCCAATCAATTTTAGCATCACCAAACTTTTGAAGAAAACTTTGTGACTCTGAAGGAAAAGACAGACCAGTAACAGACCACAGAACTCAAATTTATCACAAAGGATAATTTTAAAAAATCTTGAGATAGAATTTTATGCCCATAAAACCAGGTCTATGAAATGATTCAAATTTAGATTTTTAAGGGAAGAATAATTCTTAGTTTTAATTTTTAAACTGTAAACTACATGAAGATATAAGATAACCACATTTTCACCAGTGAGCTCATTGGTCAGCACAATGAAGAAAATCAGAAAGTCTTTATATACTTCTTTAGATGACTGAGTTATAAATGTAAAATTATTTTCAAGTTTATTTATTTTTATACTCAAAGATTTTTTGCCAAGCTATGCTTTATATGATCAATTTAAAGAATATCAGTTTATTTGTCCCAAATTGAAATACAATCTAAATAATGACTGCATAGATGTCAGTGAGAGATCAAGATTAAACAGCCAGAACCAGCTAAGTCTTTGGACAAGCTAAGAGACACATGCATTGATTTGGAAAACTTGCCTAACTTGCTGCTTGAACAAAATCCATTTTTCCCCTCTGGTTCTCTCTTTGAATTTTTGTTGAATGATTGAGTTTATTCATTGAACTTTGAGCATCTTACCTGTGCCAGCGCCATAGCACCCAAGTATTTTTTACCCTTAAAGAACTTAAATGGGGGGCCTCCCCGGTGGCGCAGCGGTTGAGCGCTGGGTTGCGAAGCTGCGCGCGGCCTCTGCGGCGCCGGTTCGATCCCCGGCTGCTCCCCGGCCACCAGAGGAGGGTCCCACACGGCGCGCAGACCTCTCCTGCCGCCCGCTGCTCCCCTCAGCAGTGTACTTCGGTCCTTCTGCCTGCTCTGCTCCCCGCTCTGGCTCTGGTGAATTCTCTCGCCCTCCCGCACTTCTGACTGTACCCAGTGCATGTATAAACAAAAAACAAACAAACAAACCAGCAAACAAATAAATAAAGCATGCCTCTATAAAAAAAAAAAAAAAAAAAAAAAAAAGAACTTAAATGGGGGTAGAATTAGATTATTTCAATGAGGTGGAAGTGCAAAGGTAGAATTTACTGAGAACTGGTAGGACAACTACTACTAAGCTCAGCCTGGTGAATGGAGTAGCAGAGGAAAGGCTTGTCCAAATTAATGGCTTTGATGTTTTGATAGAAGGAAGCATCACTGTGTCCACTGTGTGCTCAGGGCCTTTGACCAGGCTAACCTCTGTAACTTTGCTTTCTCCTTGGCTTCCATGCTCAGTGCCATGTAACCCACTGGCTCCCGTATTAATCCAAGAATACCTCACTTGTATCTGTGCGTTTAGCTTGGAGCTTGCCCACTACAATGAACTGAATAAAGTGTCTATAAACAAATAAAAACAAAAAACAAATTCAATGGCTTTGGAACAGAAACTGAAGTGAATGGGAAAGGGGGTAGGTAGGCCAAGAAATACAAACAAGGGGTTAGGGGGTGAAGGTTGGGGTACGTGAAGTTGTATTGATGCCTATACTGTTCAGTGGCCTGAATAAGGCAATAGAGTGCAGATTGCAGCGATGATATATGTATGTGTCGTTAAAAAATATTTATGGAATGTATTAATATATTGTCAGTTAATTTTATAACTTTCTCTAAGGAAAAAATCTTATTAAGGTAGTTTTTCTGGACAGAGGAAAACTGAGCTGTGAATGCTTAAATTTGCTTTAGAATTAAACAGTTTTCAGTGCTGATTTCACATGAACATCACCTGGGTGGTTTTTTTTTTGGTGTGTGTGTGTGGGGGGGGGACCCTTGCCGGCGTTTTGGGGAACGAACCGGTGCTGCAGCCTCACAGCACAGCGCTCAACCGCTGCGCCACCAGGGGAGGCCCTCACCTGGGTGGTTTTTAAAGCTACTGATGCCAGATCCTGATCCCAAAGAATCTGAATGTGGCCTAGTCATTAGAATTAAAAAATAAAAATAAAAATATGCCAGATGATTTAAATGTGCAGCTGGGATTTAGAATCACTTAACTAAGGAGAATGAAAATTGGTAAAAATTTTTGTCTGAGATGCAATGATCTAGATGCTATGCATTGACCACCCACTTGGTAAGACGACAGTAGTTCTAGAATGTCCATAAATAATCTCGGCCAAGAGATATTTTAACACATCAATTTGATTTCAGGAGGAAAAAGATCTTTTTTTTTTTTTTTTTATCTGAACACCTGGGAATAAAAGAGAATATGGTAGCCAGACCCTACTTCAGCTCCAGGACTTTTTTTTTTTAAACCAGGGATGATGATGTCCTCATAAAGCACACAGATTAGTAGTGAAAGATTTGGTAGTTTAAGTATTAAAAATGTACACATCAAATTTTGGAAACTAGCTTTAGAACATAATCCTCAATACAGAGCATGCATAAAGCCATTAGAGCATGCATAATGCCATTATTTATAACAGTTGTGACAAAATTATATTATTACTTAAAATTCTGTGATTACTTTGAGGAAATGGGTATGTCTGGAGAAAGCTCTTGAATATTGGAGAGAATAAAAATCTTTCAGAATGTAATGTTTTTAGTTAAATATTAAATGATTTGGAACTCAAGTTTGTATAAGTCAGAATGACATTGCAATAAAAATTGTTTCCTAAAATACCAAAAGTGATGGGCCCTTCGTGTAAGTTTTGGAAGTAGTAAGTCCACCCTTTTCTGATGCACATCTTGAACTAAACTAGAGCTGTTACTGTAGATTATATCCATTCTATTTGATGCCCAGGGTAAGACTTAAACCTTTAAAGGCCCTAAACACGAAAGATTGGAACTGTAATTTATACTAGCAATTTTGGTTTAAGGTACAATAAAAAACCCCACCAATGTTCTTTGTATTCTTTGAGTCTGAAATAAAAGGGAAAATAAAACCTTATTCCTTAGCAAGAAATAATAGCCATAAGGAAAAAAGGTACAAAAGACATTTTTCTAGTACATGAAAAACAAAAAAGGGCCTGGGCAGAACCCTTCATAAACCCATGTTCCAAGAAAAGGCTAATGTCTATGTTTAGAAAGCACAGTGTGTTGGCATGTGTGAGGAAACAGGCACTTGCACACATTGCTGAAGAATGTAAGTGGTACCATATTATATTGACTCCTCTTTAGAAGGACCTAGGAAAGAAAATTTTCTAACATTTCAGCACTAGAAATAGTTGTGCTTCACCTGAGAAATATGTTTGAACTACATCTGAAAAATCATGTAATCTTATTTCTCCCTTTGCATTTGGCTGCTTTAAAGTTCAGGGACAAATTTGTATCTCAACAAAAGCAGAAATGGCACATATTTTATGAATTATTTCACTCTTGCCTTCATGTTATTTTTTACTTATTTTGTTGTGCTATATGCACATATATATATTGCCTTAACTTTATAAATTGCCTCAATAGGGTGATACATAAATAAGTTCAGACACACATAAAATGGCATGCTTTGAAGAAACACAGTGAAGAACCATTTTAGGTATAAAATTTAGGTAAGACATACAATTAACTCAGGGAAATCCAGTCAAAAGCCAAATAAAGCTGTATTTTTTTATACTGTACAAAAGAAAATTTACATTCTTAATGTAACTAGATACATCTAGGTAAAATTACACGTCTCTCAAGAAACACAATGTTTAACATCTTAGACATGTTTCTGCATTGCAGACTAATAATGAATTTTATACATCTTTATTTACAATAACATAAAATATTTTTCATCTCTGCAGATATTTACAAGGTTAACAATGACTACATTTCACATTTCAACAATCAACAGCATTAACCAGTTCAGTAAGACAGTTAATATAATGGCTTACATGCACCAATAAATATGATCTTAAATGTTTTTTTCTTCAGCTCTGAAAAACATGAAGGTTTTCACTAGTCCTAGGTTGAAAGGACATCAGTCAATATAGATCATATTTTCTTCATGCCGATCCTATTTAAATTTTCACCAGCACTATTTCTGAGTACTTGGGAAGTTTATACCAAGTTTTAGATAGCTGCTGGTTAAAAAGAAAGAGCGAGCGAGCTGATGTATACATTCCATATCATTTTATGAAGCAAACATGAAAGTGGGATATTTCCTGTTTACTTGTCCACGGTGATTCAAATCAGACTACATAATGCTAGAGTAAGAAGAACCCTTCAGAAGAGCCAAATTACAAGAAAAATGGCGGGAAAATAATCTTTGCATCATTTAAACTGTTTCATTTGACCCATTAAATTGAATGTAAAGCCAGCATACATTTTTAGTGTAAGAATAAAAAATATTAATTGTAAAGTATTTGATGAACATATTACAAATATTTTAAAACAACACATGAAGCACTGAGCATAATTCAATTCTGTTTGAATGGTAACAATCCCCTAAACTGACATTAGTAATTATTAGAAAGCTGATCTTCTGTTTCAAAGAGAGCTGATCAACATATTCATTGCTTTTTTAACTGTGCTCAAATATGAAAAATAATGCATAGAACTTGTTTGGAACATTAGTTAATTTATAATTAATTTACTGTTTTTTAAAAAATCATTATTTAATAGCTTAAATAAATTCTTTAGTTCTTATTGGTCTATCACTTAAAAAAAAGAGCACTTAGCTTTTCTTAACCTAAGTATGTCTTTCAGTAAGGAAAAAGAACACCCAGTGATCGTGTACATAAATTATGTAAACAAACATACCATGTTAGGCAGTATCATGCCTTTTAGAAATAATTGCCACTGCCCGTTGAAAAAGGTACATTTCTATAATTTGCCTCTCAACTTTATTTTTAAAAAGCCATAATAGCATACAGTATACCCATTTTAGGAATTTCACCCTTTTTTTATTAATACTGATAAGCAGACTCCTGAATATTGAGTTAAGGATAGATGAAAATGTGCCATAAGGAGTAACATTTGGACTGAACCTTTAACTTCTTGAAAGGATAAAATGTTGATATTTTGCTGACAAACAAAAACCTCAAAGGGAATCTTATAGGTACTGTATACCTAAGCTCCAGATCAAAGGATCTTTTAATGTTTATTTCCCCCAGGGCTCGAAATCATCCTCTATGTTAAAGGAAGCTCACTCCTTAACAGGTACTTTAAAAATATTTGGTTGGTATATTTTCTTTGGTAAATTTTGTAATTAAAGAAGGTATAAAGAATTTCCTCTGATGTAAGTTAACACTGAGTTGCTGACATTCTAATACAGCAAGCCAGAATGATAATCAATTCTATAGTGGGGGATGGATTGTCCAATTAAGTTCATTTCTCTTTGAAAATAAAATTTCCTTATTAAACCTACCTCCAGATACACAATTATCAAACAAACAAAAACCCCAAAAATAGCTCATTTATATTTTAAGCTATACCTTATTGTAAATTTTTGGGTAAAATCTGTATTAAAGAGCATTAACAGCAGACATTGAATGTGCCTTAATTTGTAAACATTTTCTCAAAATCCAGAAGAAAAACAGAACCTACATCTCTGTACTATGCTGCCAGTTATTTTATGTTATTCCCAGATTTCTACTACTATGCTGAACTGTTTGCTCTTGTGTCTATTTCTCATATAACAAGCAACTAAGACTACAAGAATACTGAAGAGACTGAACTTGCCAAAATTTTGTTTGTGATCAACATTTAGAAGGAAATATGCCTACGGAGGGCAGACCAGATTGGGTGATAATGACTCTTTAAATTCTAACTGCTTGGGAATATCAAACCAATTTCTGGCACTGCCAAAAATCTAATATAGTTTAAGTGTACATTGGTTGACATTATGACTAGTATTTCCTATGTATGTTCCGTGCCAATATATTAAAATTTATGTCTTTCTCAACATGACAACCTTGGCAAAGAAAAATTGTGCCAATCTGGTGACACATTATGATTTGATTAGCACTGTTAACAATTTTACATTGCATTCTATTATCTTATATAATCTGGCAGACATTATAATTTCCTGGAATTTAAGCTATCAATAATTTCTAGTTGGGTTTCAGACAACTAGATAGGTTTCAAACTAAACTGGTTTCAAAACCCGTTTCTAAAAAGAAATTAAATTGAAGTATTACAAATAAGTGTCAACCAAGCTAGTGGTTTGAAACATGACATTATTCAATTTGAAAGATAAAATCTCATGTTCAGATTTTTTAATATAGTCATATGAATAAAAAGGTGCTCTAAAATTCTAGTGTGACCTATTAAACTTCTTGTAAACTGAAAAATAAATGTTAACTGAAATACTGATTTAAAAGAAAACAAACATAAAACAAAACTTGTAGTCCAAGCAGAAATAGATCCTCTTTGCCAGTATTTATAGTGTACTTAAAGCAGGTACTACTATTTTTTAAATTTACAAATAAACATCCAGAGAATTATATGACACAACTGTTTGTCAATAATGAAAGAACTCAAAAATGGACCCATACACACCATACAAACATTTCATTAAACTATTCATTAAAATATCACAAAAATAGTGCAAACAAACCTATCTGGAAGAAGTTATTCTCAGTGTTCCAGTGTCTAGTAAATAATTAACTTAAAATACTAAGTGGAATTTGAGAATATAGGTTGGAAATACTGAGCTTATATAGCTAAGAGACATTTTATACGGTCTTACACTTCAAATGAAATCCTGGTCATCATTCCATTATGAAATCATAGGTCTCATATTATAAACCTTTTTTCAATCACAATGAAATACTGCTTGTGTTTACTTCCTCTAAACACAAGAAAGCTTCAATCTCATTTGACATTAGAAGTTAATGGAATCAAATTTATTTAATCTTTGCTTTGCAATACTCCACTGTGCAATACAATTTAACTTTGCCACCTAGTGGCTGTGAAAACTGGCTGACTCAAATATAACTTTAAAAGAGCTAGAGATGCTGATCAAAGCTATTTCATTTGGTTTATTTCTGAATTTAAATAAATCCTCAGAAATATAATAAACTATAAAGTGGCAGCATACCACTTATGTGGCAGAAAACATTAAGGCATAAACTAGAGTAAGAAATATGTACCTATCATCCTCTTATTTGTGATAGATATCTAGATTTCCAACATTTCCATCTGTTTACTACTTTATACTTGTTTCTGGATTTAACACTTTTATTAATGTACTGTATTCACCACCTACTAGAACTGTAAAAAGTACATGCAGAAACGGAGTGTTACATATCACATCATCTGAGTAAAAGAGGCAGTGGGTGTTAATATGTATTTGATGGGAGATAGGAGTTGATTCTGGCTCTGCTTCATAATTATGTGGTCTTGATCATGTCACAATATTTGAGTTTTCTGAGGATGGTACATGGTGGAGGCGGGTGCTGGGAGACTATTTAGATTATCTCTAGGGTCTTTTTTAGCACAAAAATCCTGACTCTATAATAATAGGCACAGAAGAGTAATTGGGAGAGTAAGGGTGGTGGTAGGAGGCCTGAATTTCAAAATCACAACCATTTCTTCCCCACTTTAGCTTCTCAAAATATTTTTGTATTTAAAAATCTTGCTGTTAAGATGGCTTTTCACTTTACATTTTAGTTTGTTTTCTAGTAATTTATTTTAAATTGATGTCATAGAATTCCTAAACCCTACAGGTACTTCTTTGTATTTCTTAATACAAACTGGCATGGATGGCATCAAATTGTTTTATTATAGAAAACAAGTATTTTCTCCCTAACTAGCTTTTTCATAGATGAAGGACTTCTTAAAATGGAAATAAGCAAGGATATACTTTGCTATAAAGTTAGCAAGTATATAACAAGAAATTGTTGAATGATAAAGTATGAATGTTGCTGGCATTTATTTTTAACAGCTGTTGGAAAGCTGAAAGTTTTTAAATTAAATGTCAATAAATAATGCAAATGAATAGTGAATCTCTTAAAAAATGTGACTTATGGTTTAAACTATTTCATTCCATCATGCATAGGAAATCTGTTCTAAGACCTGAATGCAAAGTTTGAACTCAATAAAGATTCCTCATTAGTGTCAAATCACATCACTTAAAAGACTAACACAAATGTAACAGGGTCCCGAAATATTAATGGATATGATACATACAAGATACATACATGTATATATACATATACATGTACAGATAAACAAAATCCTCTGAGTTCAAAGTTTTTCAAAACCAACTTTTCAATATATAACTTAAGATTTCTAACAAATCAAATGGAGATCTTATTATTTATCACAGCTATTGCTGTACTTTGGTATTATTTGGTATTTCTTTGTGCTTTAAGATCATGCTAGATTTAGATGCCAATAAATGTACAATGTGTTAAATTAAAAACAACCCTCCCATCAGTCTTCTAAACCAGGCATTTCTACCATAAAGTAATTGACTTCCAGTCATAGGCAAGATCTCACTCCCTGGTAAATTATAAGTAAATTACTTTCCTTTCAAACCTGAAACTTTGCTTCCCTTAATAATATTATAGATCTTTATACTTCATTTATTTTGGCTGCTTTTTAATTTTTTTCATTTATCTGACATCCCTTAGTCAAATTAAAGAAGGAATATCTAAAATGTCTTTGTGAAATATACATATATACCACCCCCCCACATATATATACAAAAATCAATAAATCTCTATCAACTTTTAGCTTTACCCTGAACTTTGGCAATGTTACAGGTACTAGTCATGTTCTAGTTTCCCATTTTTATTTTCATATGAGCAGAAAAAACATTACAGACCACCAAACTTAAACAAATATCTCGTTCTTATAAAGATTCTAACAGAAAGTCCTTTTAAAAAACAAAATTTAGGTGTGAAAAGAATAAGAGGCAGTTTTCTGGTTATTTCTCATAATCTATTATAGTTTTAATTAGTAGAGATAAAATTTTAAACTTTATTAGGAGAATACTTGCTTTCTATAAAGTTAGTATATCTTTCTTTCACAATAAAATAAAAATGTCAATGTACCAAGCACAACAGCTCTGATATATATTTTGTGGAAGAATAATGTATAGCAGTTCAAATCACACTGATTTTCAAAACCCAATATATTCTCTTCTATTTCAATCAAGCATTAGAACTTGAGACCCAGAAGAGGTTATAATGAAATCTTGTCCAACCAAATGAGATTTTTTTTTAACCAATAATGCATTTTTGTAGCCTCTTAGCACAGTTACCAAATGCTACTTACATACATTCAATATCTAACTTACTGGCATGATTTCAAAATTTTATAAAAATGAGAAACTTCAGCAGATATATTGATTAGAAGATACACAAGTTGCATTACATTAAACACAAAGGCAGTGTGGTCCGTGTAGGAGAAATCAAGTCAGTACCCCCTGGTAGAAATGTTCTATAAAAATGTATCACATTGAAGCATCAGTGTTTTCAGCCAATTATCTGTCCCTGATGTATTTCCTTGGAGTATATGATCTATTAGGACTTCAGTTTTCTTAATCCAAAATATCTGACTGAATTGAGGTACATCTAAAAAGCAGCTGAAAGGGTTTCTCCAATAGTCTGACATCACAGAAAGTGGGTTGAGAAATCCCTCTCTTTACCTGAAGATGTACTCATTCTACTTCAGTCATCATCAGCTCACAAAAGAAAAAAAAAAAATCAATCAAAACTTCCCCTCATACACACAATCCCACAGAAGCCAAACAAAAAATGACATATCCCCCCACCCCCAAAGCCCCAGCACCAAAGTGTCAGTCATTCCTGGGAAATAGAACATGCCCCTTGGATTCTCTGATTTGTTAGTTGTTCAAACTTCAAGGACAGAAATGCCCTTATATCATTGTGGGGAGGAGGGAAGACATGTTAATAATGACTATAGAGCCATTGCGAAAGTGCATAATCAATTACACAATCAACTTAGAGCCCTGCCCTCCAATGGAGGTAGCCACAACTAGATTTAAATGCCTCAGTAATGGAACATTTGTGTCCTCAAGATAAAGGAGATGGGGGGATATAGAGCCACCCTCATTTAATGAAAAAGTGCAGCAGTCTACCACCTTTCCCCTTGCTTATCAAGAAAATGATTGCACAACTCAGAGAAGTCCAAAGACATAGAAGAATCTCTGAGGCACTCCTGGTTAAGAGAGAAAAAAATATGATCCAGTAATCTTCATAGTTCTACAGAGTATGAGAACAGACCCGTTTCATTTTTTTTTTTTTTCAAAATGAAAGCCAAAGAATCATTTCATAGGGATCATATACACCATTTCCTCTAACATATCCTCAGTCTCACAGTGTTGAAATGGGACCGATCAGCCTACGATGGATTGCACATCACCCAAGGAGAAAAAAAGGCATGGAAAATGCAAACATTTTATACTGCTTCACAAACACATTTACAAGGTATAGGTGAAGAGAGGATATAGGAAGGAGGGAAAAGAAAACCTTATTGCTGTTTCCATACAAAATACAGTATGAAGATACCTAAACTAAATCAAATCTGATTACAATGACCAATATTTTCATTTTCACAATGTGGGATGAAGTGTCTTCTTGCACAATGAAATGTTCAGTTTAAAAGGTAAGGAGAAAGACAAGAGAGAAGTCAAAACTACACCTGGGATATTAGCTGCATATTGAAACTTGGGGATCGAGACTGCTTGGTTAAGGGTGCTCCTGGGCTGAGGAGCTCTTTGCCTTCTCCAGCTTGACCTAGTCGGTCTTCTTGTAGACTGATAGTTGAGTATCGATTAGCATTGCTAGTTGCTAAATTTGTAACTCCCTCAGTGCCAACCCCAATGCTGGTACTTGCTTGACTGCCATTTACATAGTCAAATGATTTACTTGAGGAAGCACTGGCTGTCCGGATCAGACTACTGGTTTTTGGCACCACCTGGCCAGCAGGCAGGCTCAGGTGTTTCTTCATCGGTGTCAGCTCAACTGAATCTACACTAAGATCAGCTGGTTGCTGCACATACTGCCTTCGAACTACTGAATCTCGAGGGCTCTCACTGGATTTGACAGCAGAGGTGGTTTCTTTATCCTTGGCTGAACGCCCAGTTGCTACTTTTCGTAAGCTTCCCTTCTGAGAAGAGGAAGATGGTTTGGTACCAACTGGCTGACTGCTGAGGGAAGCGCCTGATGAAAATCCTTCATCTGCATCATTCAGATTTATAGATTCCTCTCCTCCATTTACACCCTCAGCACCTAAAAGACAAATCAGACAGACTCAGCATACCTAAATTAAACAAACAGCTGTGAATAACAACTCAACTGTCCTTATATCTTGGGTAGTGTTTGGAATAGGTAGGCAATGGCCTTGCTATCAATAATTTCCCTAAATAAATTAGGGGAACAAACAATCCACAAAGAATTCTAATGTGTTATTCATTTTGTTCATTTAGCTTTAATTAGTGCAGCTTTTGTAAAACTATCACAAATTTAGCAAGCTATTAATATTTAAGTTCATAAAACCACCTTAGATAAAACAATTTTCTGTTATCATAAATGTATTATTATAATACAACCAGTCAATCTGAGGTAATCATATCTACTGAAACAAATTTTTTCTCCCATATCTTCCTAAACCCATTATTAGAAAGACCACACAAAAGAGATGCTCTCCTAATTACCCAGAATGGCAAAAACTCATTTATCCCTGTAACTAAAACCCTTTTAAACTGCAATAAATTTTTTTATTTATTCAAGATATAACTGCTTCTAAATGGTTTTAAAACCTTAAACATAGAACTAGCAAATTTTCTAACTCTAAATTAAAAAACTCTATATTGCTTCTAGTAACTACATAAAGATATTGTCTTACAGACATATCTACTCACTGGCTTTTATATTTTTTTCATCAATTAATATGAAGAAAATATTTGACTATGAGAGCGCAAGCATAGAAAACCAGCAGGACTATTCAAAAAAGATTTTTACTTTCTATGTTGCTTATTTTAGACTTTCAGTGTTGAAATATATCATAATCACAAAATATGTCCCATTATGTTTCATGTAGAAACTGCAGTAAACAAAGAATCCTTATCTTGGGAGTTTTAAAAATGGGAAAAAAGAAATACATTTAGTCTGGGGTTTCCAGAAAGTCCAATTTCCTTACTAAAAATATGATCAAAATTCTTTTACTTTTTTCATTTTGTTTTTGATTAACATTCTTTTAGAATATTTTTGCTTCTTTCAAAAGCTGATTTGCTAACTTACTACATGTTATTAATGTTTCCCATACTGCAAGAAAATTTAATCTAAATCTATAAACAGATAACAATATTCTAGTTAAAGTAAAATGTTAGGAAAGAATTCTAAAGAAATATTATTTTGAGAAACAGTTACCTAAATAAAACATAATATTTATAAACACAGTATTTAAAATAGTAACTAGAAAAAAAATATTTTCTTAGCTATACTGTCTCATTAATTAGTTATTTCCTCCCTTCTAAAGAATAAAATAGGCTATCCTGAAAGCAAAAGATACCTTATTACATCCAGCAGTGGAATAATCTTTAATCATGCAAAGCTATATGAAAAGGCAGCTGACACCACTTCTCTCAACCCCTTCTTCAAGAGAATAGCAGGTATATGTATATAACATAATAATGTATCTTAAAACAAAAACTTTAAATTACATTCATATGATAACTTCATCTTAGTAATTTACTTACAATTAGTATAAAGAACTCCAAAATACCCAAGAAAAGAGTCACTGGCTCAGAATTTATATCAGTAAAATAAAAACTGGGAGTGTACAGAAATATATCATTAAAAAATATATATACATATATTTAGGAAAGAAGACTGAGAGACACAGTGCTAGCTCTGAATCTTGCCACATGCAGAGCTGATGCCCAAGCAGTATGGCCAGATAAGAGATGATAACATAGAAGCCACCATGCAAGAGAATCTACTGATATTTTATATACTAAGAAATGCTATTTCAATATAGTGGAACACTGACTATACTTTAATCACAAATATTGTCCTCAGTTTAGTAATAATTTTAAATCCAGCTTTTTAAAAGTCACAAAATGTTACTTGACAGTCAAGATAAATGGCAATCAGGATAGGTGATGGGTTTATATTCTCCCTTCAATTACAACGTATAATAAGTGCAATTTTAATTGTAAAACTTTAAAACCATCATTCTAGAAAATAGTCTACTTCTTTAAAAATAGTCAACTATTGATGTTAACCCAGGAGCTCCAATAGACTTAAGAATCACCAAAACTTTTTATAAGTTTTAGTTATTTCTTCTGCTTAAAAACCTCAAAGAATAAGAAGGCATTGATATCTCATAACTTTCCTTCTTTCTAATTTAATTTCTCCCATAAATGATCTAATAGTACTATTCATGATTCAAAATAGAGACAACCAAAAAGAATTTTTAAAGAATGATTCTATTCATATCTGCCTTTCCTTGTAAATTTTACTTCTATTAATATTGATTTAAAGCTACAATTAATCTTAAAAGGCAAATAGTTTTTCAGAAATTTCAAACATACTGAAGGAACTCATGCTTCTTTCCTGTAGCTACACCCTACCCTCACAAACTGAAATTTCTACTAGTGATGTTATTAAAATAGGATATTTTAATATTTAATAGGCTATTTGAAAGAAAATATTACTTTGATTCTTTTTTCAAAGTGTATGGCTTTTGATGAATTAGAAGAAATGCTTAAACCTAAAGCATTTCTAAAATTTCATAGTTTTAATTAGTATAATACTACATTTAGCACAAAAACGTCAACATTCTAACAATGGCAGTGGCTTACTTAGTCATCAAGAATGTCAACAAAGAATTGTCCAATATGGGCCAATTCTAGACTTGAGATCTATTCATATACTTATTTTTATGTCTTTATACAAGATAAAACTGACTCCCAAGAATAACATAAAGAGGTACAAAAAAAAAAAAAAAAGAAAGAAAAGGGAAGGCTTATCTTTTATAGCCATTTGAACAAGAATCTCTGTAAAACAGCACCAATTTCTTTGGGTTCCTAGATCATGCACATGCAATACTGTTAAATGAAATTAGGTCAATCTGGGCAAATGAATAGAGTGTAGATTTAGATTCTTACTGAGCATGCTCAAATTCCTAATGCACCAAAGAGCAAGACTTCCTAAGGTGATTGATAACTGCTTCACATATGTTTGGTCTTTAAAATATGTAACTTATTTTAAAATTAGCTGCTATATTTCATAAATTAGTGTAAAAATCCCACAGTAGCAATACACTAATTAATGAAAGAATTATTAGGCTATTTTGTTTGCTCTTTCACAAAGCCAACTCCTACAGCATCACATGTAAAACAGCAAATAAATACTTTCCCATCAGAGAAGTGTTCTTTAATACATAGTGGGAGAGGAGGGTGAGGAAAGGAGGGGAGTGTATAAAATAAATTTTCATCTTTAGATACCTACATTGCAAAAACAAGGGTCTACTAGGCCACCCGGCCTCTAGAAAACATTTCAATTCTGTTTGGTAGCTATATAACAGTTATTTACAATAAATGATAAAATGCAGTGTGCACCAGAACAGCACAATTATAGAGGAAAGATGTCAGTAGTTCACTAGTTAGATCCAGGGAACTTGACCCGAAGATTTAAAAAAGCCCATCAATACCGGTTTACTCTGTCAAAGAGATAAGACATTCTTGTTAATCGACCACTCTGGGATTATAGCTAAATTGGCTGGCTCCACTTTAGTTCAATTTCTCAAAGATAATGTATTAACATTTTGAAATTCCTCACATATGTTTGAAGAACAAATTATACAAATGAAATCAATCCATATTAAATAGTAAGGCTCATGTCTATTGGGTGCATTTTCTTTTTCCTAATGTTAAAATAAACATGCTCAGTAATGAAAAAATCCCAAGCATTTGCAGACCTTTTGGAGATAGGCCTCTGCCTTGTTAGTAGCCATGCCAAGCTGTTCTTTGATTACACAGGATGCAGAATCCAGGCCAGCACAAATGATAACTAAAGACTGTACCTGACCTGGTGCTAGGCATATGGGGAGGTGTGCTTTGCAAGGAGAAGCTAATACACCCTGGGGTAGTGGAAACACACACTAGAATGGAAAGATGCTCTGCTTGGGGGATAGAGAGCCAGGATCCTTCTCCAGCAACTGCCTCACTGACTTCTGCCTCCTCATCTCTGTCCTACCCTCTGTTGTGGCTGCAGCTGAGTTGGGCTCCGGTGAGCCGTGCTCAGGGGTCCTGCGCACCAGCACCTCCCCCTCTTGCACACGTTTGATCCCTAGGTCAGTGGAGCCGTGTTGGACCGGGGAGCCAGGAATACTCGAGTCAGCCTCGTTTGAGAAGTCAAAGCCATCTGGGATTCAACATATAAAATTTTAGTGCTTTTGTGCTGCTCTATTCTTTTCTGAGCATTTTGACCCAGGCAGATAAGAGAATGTATATTATGGATATGATATAAACAAACACTATTTTTTATAGTTACATGTGTGTGCACAGCATGCACACACATAAGGCAGCAGATGAACAATGTGAGGTTTGCAAATGAATAGGATAGAAAAATAGGGGTTATTAAAATGGCAATTAGTATCTCTTAGGCAAGAAAGCTTAACCAATGTACCATATGCCTTTGAAATACTGCTGGATTCAGCACTTAGAAAGCAAAGACAAAAATCTAAAACCAAAATCAATTCTTTGATGGATAGCTTGTATTATATCATTAGCTTGGCCAGTTATATAAGCTTGTCCCACAATGCTCATACATGCACCTTTTTTTCTCAGTATGCTAACAAACATAAAGAAATTTCTATTATTACTAGTTTGGAAAAACCCCCAAATTAATTTGATTCTATTTTCTGCTTTAATATTCATAGAACAGTCTAAATGACATCTTTCTACTTTATAGAAATATATATGTATTTATATAAAAATAAATTCAGGTACTTAATCCACATTTCTAGTGCTGCTTTAAAAACTAAACAACTTTACTTTATTATATAGAGTACTACACTATCAAATGTTAATGTAGTCTGTAAAAACAGTGATAAGTTTACTTGTAGTTCATGAATCGACTGCAGGGATTTTATACTCACCTTCTCTTCTCCATCTATGACGGCGGATTGAAGCTGTTGTAATCGCTGTCCGAGAAATCCTCGGCACTGTTGGAGTGACTTCCACTTTAAGGACTTTCTGGCCTTCTTGTGAAGAATCAGGAGCGTCAAAAGGTAATGAGTTTTTCATGGCATTGGCAACCTAAAGTGATAATACTAAGTATATGGTATTTACAACCAATACAATTTATGCTTATTCTACACTTCATGTTTCCATAATGTTTTGAATATGTATTTAAAACTTGTAGTGTAAAATATAAAAGTACAAAATGTCAAAAAATGTATGTATCTTCACTGTTCTGTATTCGTTCATCTGACTTTTTAATGTGAGAATTTATTTTTAAACATGTAAGTAACACACCCCAGGTTCCCTGAAACTGTTGACTGTTAGAGAAAAAGCATTCCAAAGGAAAAAGGTTATTTATCATTTAAACACTGATGAGAGAAAACTTAGGACAATTTTCTGAATTTACGGTTGGTAAATAACACAAATTTTAATCTCTGTAAAAAAAAATTAGGCTTTTATCCATTTCTTTGTATCGATGAGGAGAAATTTCCCCTGGACACATCTGGCATTTGTCCCACCACTTTCTGCTCTCCATGGAGGAGAGTGAAATCTCTGTTTGGAGAGTAATTACCATTGCCTCATCCATGTTTTTTAAATGGGTAGTGCTAACCAGCAAAGATCTTGAGATACAGAATTGTCTTTCTCCTTCCTGTCCACATTGAAGTAGAATATAGCAACCTGGAGAAGTGTGCCTGCCTACCAAATTCAACTTTTCCTCCATGGGGCTGGTCTAACACCTCAAACAAGTAGTGGGGAGTTAAGTCTTTCAATTTAGCTTTGATCAGTAATAAAAATGATGCTTATTTCTCTATCTGCAATTATTTTATCTATTTATTACATGGCTCTAGATTTAAACAGAGAAAAGGTCCCTCAGACACTTGCAATAATAAAGGACTATTCTAGGACTAGAGATTATTATTATTATTTTTTTTAATAATTTATTTTTTTTTAATAGAGGCATGTTTTATTTATTTATTTGTTTGTTCGTTTTTTTGTTTTTATACATGCACTGGGTACAGTCAGAGGCGCGGGAGGGTGAGAAAATTCACCAGAGCCAGAGCGGGGAGCAGAGCAGGCAGAAGGACCGAAGTACACTGCTGAGGGGAGCAGCGGGCGGCAGGAGAGGTCTGTGCGCCATGTGGGACCCTCCTCTGGTGGCCGGGGAGCAGCCGGGGATCGAACCAGCGCCGCAGAGGTCGCCGACAGCTTCGCAACCCAGCGCTCAACCGCTGCACCACCAGGGAGGCCCCTATTATTATTTTTTTTAATGGGACGCTCGCAGGTGGCCAGGGAACAAACCAGCGCTGCAGAGGCTGCGGGCAGCCTTGCAGCCCAGCGCTCAACCACTGCACCACCAGGGGAGGCCCTAGGACTAGAGATTATTAATCTCTTTATTTTTGCCTTAAAAAAAAAAGTTACCTCTACTTAATGTACAAGACTGTTACATGGGCCTCCCCTGGTGGCGCAGCAGTTGAGCACTGGGTTGCGAAGCTGCCCGCAGCCTCTGCAGCGCCGGTTCGATCACCGGCTGATCCCTGGCTGCTCCCCGGCCACCGGAGGAGGGTCCCGCATGGCGCGCAGACCTCTCCTGCTGCCCGCTGCTCCCCTAGGCAGTGTACTTGGGTCCTTCTGCCTGCTCTGCTCCCTGCTCTGGCTCTGGTGAATTCTCTCACCCTCCCGTGCTTCTGACTGTACCCAATGCTTGTATGTATAAATAAATAAATAAAATAAAAATAAATAAATAAATCTTAAAAAAAAAATGAAAGACTGTTACATGGATAAAAGTATGAGTTAATAGAGTTTTACAAATATATTATGGTATAATCCTTCAATGCAAGTAAAGAACATTTTAAAAAGCTTAGAAAACAAAGAAAATATAAACATAAAAACCATCCACAGTCCAAATCACCTGGACAATATTAGCATTTTGTATGTTTCCTCTGCCCATGTCTAGATTGAAAAGCTAGTTGTATACTTCTCTATCACTCAACACAAACTAGCATTTTTATTTAATATAAACTTTCCATATATATAATTTTATCAATTAAATATATAACAATCATTCTCTGCTGTGAAATATTTACACTGTTTTGATTCCTTTGCAATTAAACATAACAATAATATTGTGCTTAAAGTACAATTTTAAAAAATTTAAGTTATTTTTCTCAGATATGTTGCAAGACATGAGAAAGTAGGTCAAAAGGAAAAAAAAACATTACTAAACAGCTTCTGTAGTTTGGTTATACTGGCTACTGAGAATCTCCTGATGATTAAAGCATTATTGGATTTTTAATTTGTTTATGGATTGATCATTAACCTTTAGGAAATACATTCATTTTGTGGAAGAGTACAAAATCTTTTTATAAAGAACAAAGTATTCATGGCTTTTATAGGTCATGTCCATTGAAAATATTTTTTCTTGATTTATGCAACACATTTTAATTTTGGTTTAAAAAACTCATGGTTTGGGCCTCCCCGGTGGCGCAGCGGTTGAGTGCTGGGTTGCGAAGCTGCCCACAGCCTCTGCACCGCTGGTTCGATCCCCGGTTGCTCCCAGCCACCAGAGGAGGGTCCCACATGGCGCGCAGAACTATCCTGCCGCCCGCTGCTCCCCTCAGCAGTGTATTTCGGTCCTTCTGCCTGCTCTGCTCCCCGCTCTGGCTCTGGTGAATTCTCTCACCCTCCTGAGCTTCTGACTGTACCCAGTGCTTGTATGTATGTATGTATGTATGTATGTATGTATGCATGCATAAATAAATAAATAAATAAATCTATCTTAAAAAAAAAATTAAAAAAAAACCTCATGGTTTAAAATTTAGATGTTTACGTGACTTAAAAAAAATAGCGGGCCTCCCCTGGTGGTGCAGCGCTTGAGCGCTGGGCTGGGAGGCTGCCCGCAGCCTCTGCAGCAACAGTTCGTTCCCGGGCCGCCGGAGAGGGTCCCCCCCCCAAAAAAAATCAGCATTTTTTTTTTTTAGTGGTTTGTCCTCTCACTTCCCTCTTCAGAAATTCGAATATTTACAACCTTTTCCTTTGTCTTTTCTTAGAAGATTTTAAAACATTTAGTTGTTTAATTTATTTTAACTCTATTTTGATATATAATAGGAGGTAATCTAAGCTAATTTTGTTTTCTCTCCAACAATAAATCAATTGTAATTATGGAATAAAACTTTCTCCCTTAATTATTTGCATTGCCTCATATAGAATATATGAAATTTTATTTTACCCATCATTGTCCCTTTTAGGCACAGGCATAATAAGTATAATAAACTTACCAATAGTGGTTGAGAAAAGAGTTCTAGCTGAGCTCTATAAATTATGTCATCAAGGACTTCCTGGCCAAGGTCCCACTGTCCATTATACCTATGGAGAAGCAGACTGCTTACTACCTTTAGCAAATATCTCTAATCTTCTATTCTTCAACCACAATCTTTTTATTGTTCCAAGTCTTACTATTTGGTTTTGAAACAAGATTTTCATATCAATTCATCTCTAAACCATCCAACTTCTGGTTACAGAAACAAAATGAACATTTCAAGTACTACTGTTTAAAATAGTTTACACATCTCTACATAAATTGGGTTTTATCATGTGCTGATGTTTACAGTAATCTACTTAATGTATTCTTAAAAACATGGATTATGAACTACATAGAGAAACATAGTTTTCCATAAAGAAAACCTGATAATATCTAAATTCCAACTTAATGGGTAGATGTTTTATACTTTGGCTATTTTAAAATACTAAAAGAACTATGAACAATTACACACCAACAATTTCAACAACATAAAAAAAGATAAAGTCCCAGAAAAATACAACTTACCAAAATGGGATCAAGAAGTAATTATTTGTAGAGATTGAGTCAGTAATCAAAAACTTCCTAACAAACTAAAGTCTAGGACCAGACAGATTTGTATGTACATTCTACAAACATTTAAAAGAGATTTAATACCAGTCCTTCTCAAATGCTATCAAAAAATAGTAGAGGACGAAACATAATCTAAAGTAATTTTATGAGGCCAGGGTTATCCTAATACCAAAATCAGAAAAGAAAATTATAGACCAATATCTAATGAAAAAAGATGTAGAAATCTTCAACAAAATATTATCAAGCCAAGTTCAACATTATATTACAAAAATCATATACCATGATCAAAAGGGAATTACTCCTGGCATTCAAGGATGGGTCAATAATTGCAAATCAACCAACAAGATAAACCACATTAATAAAATGAAGGCTAGAAATCATATTTAAGAAAATGTACTTTAATATAACAAAGGCCATGTATGACAAACCCACAGCTGACTTCATACTCAACATTAAAAACTGAAAGCTTTCCCTCTGAGACCAGAAAAAAACCAAGGATGCCTACTCTCAACATTTCTTTTCAACATAGTACTAGAAGTCCTAACTAGAATAATTAGGCAAACAAAAAAGAAGGAATTGTTTTTTTTGCAGGTGACAAGATATTATATATAGAAAACCCTAAAAATAGTACCAAAAAACTGTTAAAACTAATAAAAGACTTCAGTAAAGTGGCAGGATACAAAATCAGTATAAAAAAATCAACTGTGGGGGCCTCCCTAGTGGTGCAGGGGTTAAAGCATCAGCACTATCAACCTATTGCCAGCCACTGCAGCATGAGTTCAATCCCTGGTCAGGGAGCTAACCCATTTACAGCACAGCAGAGCTCTCCTGTCTTGTCCACTGCTCCTCTCAGCTGTGTATTTCAGTAGATCTGCCTGTTCTGCTCCCCACTCCATCTCTGGTGAATCCTCTCAACCCCTGCACCTCTGGCCTACACTCCAGTACTTGTATGCATAAAAAAAAAAATCTCAAAAATTAGTTGTGCTTCTATAAACTAATAATGAAATAACAGAAAGATAAATTGTGAAAACAATTCCAATTGCATCAAAAAGAATACAGTGCCTAGGAATAAATTTAACAAAGAAGGTTAAAGGTCAGTATACCTATAGCTTTCATATAAGACAGTGATGAGAGAAACTGAGGAAGATAGTGATCTCATGTACCATATAATGAGTATAGTCAATAATATTTAGTGATACACATAATAATGTAATATAATAGGTATTGTTTTCATGGCAATCACATTACAATACATCAATGTATCAAAGTAACATACTATATATCTTAAATTTACAAACTGTAACATGTCAAATTTATAAAAAAAAAAAATTTTTTCAATGAAGACAGAGCCAAATGAAAAGATATTCTGTGCTCATGAATTAGAAAAATTAGTATTATTAAAATGTCCTTACCACCCAAAACATTCTACAGAATTCAAAGTAATCCCTGTTAAACTTCAGGTGGCATTTTTTTTCTGCAGAATTAGAACAGGCAATCTTAAAACTTGTATGGAACCACAAGAGACCCCAAATAGCCAAAGCAATCTTGAGAAAGAACAAAGCTGAAGATGTTATGCTGATTTCAACTACACTGCAAAGCTAGAGTAACCAAAACAATATGGTACTAGCATTAAAACGGACACATAGAAATGGAATGGAATAGAGAACCAAGATATAAAACCACACATATATGGTCAATTAATTTACAACAAAGAAGCCAACAATACACAATGGAGAAATGTTCATCTCTACAATAACTGGTGTTGAAAACTAGATGCCTACATGCAAAAGAATGAAGCTGGACCACTATTTTATGCTGTACACAAATATCAATTCAAAATGGATTAGACTTGAAAGTAGGACCTGAAACCACAAAACTCCTAGCAGAATTCATAAAACTCAGTAGGATAGGGCCTCTCTGGTGGCACAAGGGGTTAAGTCTCAGCACTATGAAGCTATTATCACCCACTGCAGCATGAGTTCAATTACTGGCCAGGGAGCTAACCCACATGGCACAGCAGACCTCTCCTGTCTCACCCAATGCTCCCCTCAGCAGTGTATTTCAGTTAATCTGCCTGTTCTGCTCCCGACACTGTCTCTGGTTAATCCTCTCGTGCTTCCCCACCCCCAGCCACACCTCTGGCCTACACCCTAGCTCTTGTATGAATAAGTAAATAAATCTTTAAAAAAGAACAAAACAAACAAAAAACTCAATAGGCTAAAAGAAAATAATCCCAATAAAAGTAGGTAGAGAATATGAATAGATATTCTCTCAAGGAAGACATAAAAATGGCCAACAGGCACATGAGAAGGTACTCAACATCACTAATCATGAAGAAATTGCAAAAGAAAACCACAATGAGATATTACCTCACACCCATCAGAATGACAATTATAAAAAAAAAAAAAAAAAACAACCAAGAAATAATAAAGATTAGTGAGGAGGTGGAGAAAAGGAACCTTGTGCGATATGGTGGGAATGTAAATTGGTGCTGTCCATATGCCAAACAGTACGGTGATATCTCAAAAATTTAAGAATAGAATTATCATATGATACAGCTACTCCAGTTGCAAGTATTTATCAAAAGGAAATGAAATCACTAACTTGTAAAGATGTGTGCAACCCCATGTTCACTACTTCATTATAATAGCCAAAAACCTGTGATATATGTATATATATGTGTGTATGTATATGTACACATAGACATGCAATAGAATATTATTTAGCCATAGCAAAAGAAAAATCTTGCCATTTGTGACAAAATGTATGGATCCTGTGGGCATTATGCTAAATGAGCTAAGTTAGACTGAGAAAGACCAACAGATACTACGATCTCACTTACATGTGGACTCTTTTTTTAAAAGACAACACTGAACTAACAGAAAACAGATTGGTGGTTGCCAGAAGTAAGATTAGTGGGTGGACAAATTGGATAAAGGTGGTCAAAATGTATAAACTTCCTTTAAGTCAGTCCTGGGAACATAAAATTTAGCATGGTAACTACAGTTAACACCACTGTGTTGTATATTTGAAAGTTGCTATGAAAATAGATCTTTTTTCTCATCACAAGAACAAAAAACATATTGTGACAATCATTCTGCAATATACAAGCATATCAAATCAGTATGTCATACACCTGGAAAGAAATACAGTGCTACTGGGCAATTAAGTTTCAATTTAAAATTCTCTATTATTGTTATTATATTGCTCTCAAACAGAAGTGTGTAATTTTTAACCTCAGTAAACATAATTGTTAAAAAATATGTTTATTTTTTAAAAAGTAGTAAATGGTATTCATATTCCAAAAACAAGATAGTGGGCCCCCAGTAGACCAAAAGATCAGCATTGTTTAACTGATAAGGAAAAAGGAGAGAAATATTTCCAAACCCTGAGAAGAATTAACCTAATTTCACAGTCCAACTACTTACATGGAATAATAAACCCCTGTCAGAAGTTGCACCATAAATTCGGGATCCAACACTATTCGACCACAGAGTTCTTTCCACTGTTTTTCATGTTGCCGCGGAAAACCACTCACACAAACCCTGGAAAAATACAGTATTTGTTATGTGTGATTTCCTAATTCATTAAATATTTTTTGCATTTGTAAACTCTTTTATTCAATTTATTCATTCCTCAAATATTTACTGAATACCTGCTGTGTACCAGTCACTGTCCTGGGCCTAGACATATGGTCATGAACTGGCAAAAATATTAAAAATTAAATATAAAATCTGTGCCCTTATAAAGCATATGTTCATTCTAATGGACCATTATCAATAAAAGCAACAACTTTTCTCAAATAGATAACCCTTCCATTCATCTCCCCACAGAAGAAATGCATAACTTTGATGTACCCCGAATTGTATCAGGGAGATACAGAAAGCTCAAAAACAAGAAAGGGACATTTAAAAATACTGATGTTGGGCCTTCCTGGTGGCACAAGGAGTTAAGATGCAGCACTACGATGCTATCCGCAGCCACTGCAGCACGAGTTCAATCCCCGGTCAGGGAGCTAATCCACATGGCACAGCAGACCTCTCCTGTTTTGCCCACTGCTCCCCTCAGCAGTATATTTCAGGAGATTCACCTGTTCTGCTCCCCACTCTGTCTCTGGTGAATCCTCTCATCCCCGCCCTGCACCACTGGCCTATACCCCAGTTCTTGTATGCATAAATAAATTAGATCTTTAAAAAATTTTTAAACAAATTCTAGAGCCTCCCTGGTGGCGAAAGGGGCTAAGTCTCATCACTATGAAGCTACTGGCAGCCACTGCAGCACCAGTTCAATCCCCAGCCAGGGAGCTACCCACATGGCACAGCAGACCTCTCCTGTCTTACCTGCTGCTCTCCTCAGCAGTGTATTTCAGTCAATCGGTCTGTTCTGCTCCCCACTCTGTCTCTGGTGAATCTCCTCACCCACCCACATCTCTGGCCTATACCCCAGCTCTTTTATGCATAAATAAATAAAATAAATCTTTTTTTAAAAAAAGAGATTCTATTAAATGCTACCATAATGTTCCAAATTAAAGATGTGGCAGATATGCTTTAACAAACCAAAAAAAATCACTTAGAAGGAAATTTATCTATAGATACTTATAGCTTATTTTGATTAGACTGCCCCCAATTAGGAAAACTGAGTTTTGTTATAAATATGACCATACCGTCAGTTCCTAATAACACAATAGCATGAACTTGAGCACAGCAGTGTGGTGGACATACCCGTGGAGAGGCTATAATCTTTATGATCCTTTCTTCCAGGTATCTACTACTCTTGTATTTAGGTGGGATCTGTGCTTTGCTTCTAAGCACCAGAATACGTCAAAAGTGATAAGAATTGTTAAGATTTGTACATAATTATGTGACTATATTACCTAAGATTGTAGCGCAGGTCTTGCCAGAATCCCTCTTTCTATTTCTCTGCTTACAAGCTGCCATGCTGTAGGCTGCCTATGTTGGGAAGTATATTTGACAAGGAATTTTGGGTGGTCTTCAGCAGACAGTCAACAACTATAGGAACTGAATTCTCAACCTACAACTATAGGAACTGAGTTCTACCAACAAAAGTGTATACTTTTCAATCAAGTATCAGATAAGACTGCAATTTTCTAGTAGACAATTTAATTGCAGTCTTTTAAAACCATAAATACAGGATTCAGCTAAGCCATGCCTACACTTAAGACCTATCAAAACTGTTAAAATAATAAATGTGTGCTACTTTAAGCTGCTAAGTTCATGTAATTTTATATGAGGTAACAGAAAACTAATACAGTATTTAACCTTTTGGGGTGGTGGTGGGGGTGGAGAGGCCTGGTTTCCTCAAGTAAAAATTAGCTGAATAGGCTGAAACTCAAGGTTTCTTCTAAAGTTAAAATTCTATGACTCCAGGGCCTCCCCGTGGCGCAGCGGTTGAGCGCTGGGTTGCGAGGCTGCGCGCGGCCTCTGCGGCGCCGGTTCGATCCCCGGCTGCTCCCCGGCCACCGGAGGAGGGTCCCACATGGCGTGCAGACCTCTCCTGCCGCCCGCTGCTCCCCTCAGCAGTGTACTTCGGTCCTTCTGCCTGCTCTGCTCCCCGCTCTGGCTCTGGTGAGTTCTCTCACCATCCCGCGCTTCTGACTGTACCCAGTGCATGTATAAACAAAAACAAACAAACAAACCAGCAAACAAATAAATAAAGCATGCCTCTAAAAAAAAAAAAAAAAAAAAAAAAAAAAAATTCTATGACTCCAAACAATTTCTGCCACTAAACTAATTAATATTACTTTTTTTTAATGTGGAAATTCAAAGTCCAGTCCAAGTCTGTTCAAATTATTAGAAATTATGATTTAGAACACACAAATACAAATGAAACATGCAGATAATTATTGCCATTGCTAACCTTTTAAACTGAAAGTAGAGATTATCTGTGCAATATATAAAGGAAAAGGTTCACATTCCTTAAAACTTTTTCCACATTCAGGACTATTTATTCAAAGTTCTCAAAGTGATTTATAAAAATTGTCATCCATCATATAAGCAGTGTTGCAATATTAAAAAAGAAAAAGAAATTGGCATCCAGGCAGTAGTTATGTATGTAACTAAACCATTCTAAATCAAGATATCTTGTTTAAATTTGATGTTCAGTAGAAAATAATTCTTTAATGCTTTAATTAAGAAGTCATCATGCATGAGGAATGATTAGAATTCCAACAGGAATGTAAGCTCTGTGAATTTTGTTTACTGTGATATCACATAGAAAATGTGTTCAATAACTAATTGTCAAATAAATGAATATGAGGGTTAATAATAATTATTATTCTTACCTGGAGCCCATCCGACAGAGGGATTGGTAAGATGAAGCAGGCATATACACAATAGCAGAATTATAACACAACATTAGAAAACTTAGGACTTCAAACCTAGGAAAATAAGGAAACAGATTACAATCATTTCTACTAGAGATTGTAATAAATGAATTTTTTGTTGAATGGTTATAACAAAAATGCCTTTAATATTGACCTTTATGATTTCTCAGTGAAATTACTAGCATTCTCCTCAATCATTTCCCTGTTTTCATTTATCTTATTAAAAATCATATCTTGTGGTATCTATATTTTCTTTCTCAAAAAAATAAACCATTATGGTTGAAGAGATGAAACTCCCCTATCTATATTAATCTACTGTCATATTCATTACATAATAAAATCCAAACTCATTATGGCATACAAGATCCTTTGAAGTCCATTTACAACCTACTTTTCCAACTTTACTTCCCTCCATTGCCCCCCACATACACTGATGATCTTAGCATGGTATGAATATGCTAACTCCTTGCTTTAATGCAAGCTGTTGTTTCATACTAGAATGTATGTTTTTCATTTGGGAGATTCCTGCACAGGACTCTGCTAAGACCTTATTCAAACTTTTATCTTAAACATAAAGACATTCTTTTTTTCCTTTAAGATTTATTTTATTGGGCCTCCCCTGGTGGCGCAGTGGTTGAGCATTGGGCTGTGAAACCTCCTGCAGTCTCTGCAGTGCTGGTTCAATCCCAGGCCGCCGGGAGGGTCCCACATGGCACGCAGACCTCTCCTGCCGCGCCCACTGCTCCCCTTAGCAGTGTATTTCGTCAGTCTGCCTGTTCTGTTCCCCGCTTTAGCTCTGGTGAATTCTCTCACCCTCCCACACTTCTGACTGTACCCAGTGCTTGTATAAATAAATACATAAATCTTTGGGGAAAAAATTTATTTATTTATTTATTAAATAAATCTTTGAGGAAAAAAAAAGATTTATTTTATTTATTTATGCAAAAAGACCATCCCCGGCCAGGGAGCTAACCCACATGGTGCAGCAGACCTCTCCCATCTTGCCCACTACTCCCCTCAGCAGTGTATTTCAGTTAATCTGCCTGTTCTGCTCTCTACTCTGTCTCTGGTGAATCCTCTCACCCGGCCCCCCCCACCCCATCCCCCACCTCTGGCCTATACTCCAGCTCTTGCATGAATAAATAAATCTTTTTTTCATAAATAAATAAATCTTTTAAAAATTTATTGAATGAATTAATATCACGCTTACCTTTACAGTCTCTAAGGCAGTGGTTCCTAAACCTGGACATGCATCATAGTTATTTCAGAACTTTTTGGAAAAAATATCTTCTAATGTCTCAACTCAGATTGATCCAATTAGAATCTATCCCTTGCATAGTACTGTGAACATTTTGATCTACCATCAGGTAAGCAAAGTTCAGTGCAAACTAAGTGTCTGTTCCTTTCAGGACCCATTTGTATCTTCCAAGGGCTAACATCATAGGTCCACTCACACTGTACGGGGCCTTACCCCAGGGGAATCTGTCCTGTAGCCATCTGCACTTTCTGTCTCTTGTTGGCAGGCAGAACAATATGACATATTTAACTTGTGGCCTTTTTTCATACCAAATTTGAACCAAAGTAATTACAGTTAACTATTAAGCATAAACTAACCATTATTACTATATATACATATGGTTCTGACTATTACCGGTTTTGTGCAGTGAATGTTTCCCTCTGAGGATGAAGATCACTGTAAACAACCCTGATGAGATCATGCTGACATAACGCCCCTTCTGTCAAAGCCATGGATCCAATTGTTGAGGGCTATAAGAATAAGAAAAAATCTGAGACGCTCTACAATGAAGTAAAAATCTGTAACATGTAAGGACATTAAGTTTTGTTTCAACAAAAGCAGTTTATAGGCTTTCCTTTCACAACATTCTCTGTTTTTCAATTATATTTATAATATACATAAAACTAAAAATATACTGCTTTATTCTTTTAAAGATTACAGAATGAGTCTATATTTAGTCTATAATAAGAAAAATTCTTATTCTAAAAAGACTAAAGAGTACATCAATTTTAATTTGTATTGTAGAACACTGAATAAAACTGTTTAAAATTATAACACATACAGGGTCTCCCCGAGGGCACAGCAGTTGATAGCTGGGTTGCGAAGCTGCCCGCAGCTTCTGCAGTGCCAGTTCAATCCCCAGCCGCCGGGTGAGGGTCCCACATGGCACACAGACCTCTCCTGCCGCCCGCTGCTCCCCTCAGCAGTGTACTTCGGTCCTTCTGCCTGCTCTGCTCCCCGCTCTGACTCTGGTGAATTCTCTTACCCTCCCATGCTTCTGACTGTACCCAGTGCTCGTATAAATAAATAAATAATTCTTAAACAAACAAATAAATAAATAAAATTATAACACAAACAATATTGACGAGCATTAATCAGATCTCTTTAATAATAACAATTATGTTTCTAAAGTTAGAAGAACCATCATTCAAAAATGTCCCACTATTCTCTATCTTATTTCATGAAATGATAACCAAAACTTATTATTCAGAAATATCTATGTTAAAATGAGTCCTGGCTGAACAGGACTCATTTATTTTGTGTTATTCTAACACAAAATAAAGTTCTGTGGGAAGTAATTAAAAAAACAAGTATCTCCATAGAGCTATGAGACTACCAGGTACTATTTGTTGATAAGTATATGGAATATAATTTATAATAAGTATATGGAATATACTTATACATATGTATATAATATACATATAATAAGTTTATGGAATATAATTTTTAGATTACTATAAAGTATATGGAATATAATTTTTAGATTACTATAAATTTTTAGATTACTATAAAGAATGTGCAAACATTATGCAGTAAAGATCACTACAGAACAGTAGCTTGTTTCATAACGTATTTCCTTAAAGAGAGATGGAAAAAGGAGTCAAGCTCAACAGGAATTATCTGTCTCCATGGCATCAGTGTTCTCACATTATTCAACCAAATAAATATAAGCAAAAATCAGAGATGCAACATTACTGAATAGTTAGAATGTATTGGTTAGACTCCTTTCAAAGTAGAGAAAACAATTGTGTTAATACTGTTCTACTTACAACTTGTTCTAAAAAAAATAATAAAAACAACCTAACAAATGATTTTGAATTAATATGGAAGACTTTAAAATATTAAGTAATATTTTATACCATAAAAGATTAATAATAAAAGAGACTAAAAGTGATACTGGGTCCTCCCTGGTGGTGCAAGGGGTTAAGACACAACCTATGAAGCTATCCGCAGCCACTTCAGCACGAGTTCGATCCCTGGCCAGCCAGGGAGCAACCCGCATGGCGCAGCAGACCTCTCCTGACTCGCCTGCTGCTCCCCTCAGCAGTGTATTTCAGTCAGTCTGCCTGTTCTGTTCCCCACTCTGTCTCTGGTGAATTCTCTCACCCCTGACACCTCTGGCCTGTACCCTAGTCCTTGTATGCATAAATAAATAAATCTTAAAAAATAAATAAATAAAAGTGATAGTGCTAGAAGAATGGGAAAAAAAATAAATAAGAACTAAAAGAAAATTTCCATTAATTACTTTCTGCCACTCTTGACAACAGCTCAGCTTTTCCTCAATAACAACAAACATCTACTTTAAAGCAAATCAGTAAAGACATACTAGGAATATTCATCTCTAAAAAGAATTTATGTTTAGTTCATACTCAATATGATTTAAAAAATAATTCCACCTTTCCCATCTCCTTACCTCATGGTATATTGAAGGCTTGGACAAGGAAGGGATAGTGAAAGATAGAACTTTATTGTTTCCATCTTTATCAGCAATTTCCTACAGTTAAAAAGATATATAAAGATAATGTAATAATCACAGTACTGTACTATAAAAAACGGTAATTATTTTTTAAATTTACCAAATATATCACTGGCAACAGAGGAAGAATTTTAGAAATAGTTAAATATATAAAAATATCATTTTACTACTACCCCAGTGTGATTTTTCCTAACTTATTAGCAAATTTGCACACTCTAGTAATAGTTACTCACTGAGAGATAATGAGTGCAACCTAACTATACTCACAAACACAACATGATAGCAAAGATATGAAGCAGGTACACATAAATTTTCTTTTTTTTTTTTTTTTTTAAAGATTTATTTATTTATTTATTTATTTATACAAGCACTGGGTACAGTCAGAAGCGCGGGAGGGTGAGAGAATTCACCAGAGCCAGAGCGGGGAGCAGAGCAGGCAGAAGGACCGAAGTACACTGCTGAGGGGAGCAGCGGGCGGCAGGAGAGGTCTGCGCGCCATGTGGGACCCTCCTCTGGTGGCCGGGGAGCAGCCGGGGATTGAACCGGCACCGCACAGGCTGCGGGCAGCTTCGCAACCCAGCGCTCAACCGCTGCGCCACTGGGGAGGCCCCACATAAATTTTCATGCTAAATTTACATACAGGACTATATATGCATTTAGACCTTTTAGCAGAAACATTGCTAAGTTAGATTAATTAAAGGTCTTAGCCGAGAGATCTATACTTATTAAAATAAGAAAATATACTGTTCTAACACACAATGAATTTTGACTAAAAGGAACTCTTACAATTACTCAGGAATAAACTAATGACCTAAAATAAGCTACATATTAACATAATTAATATTAATCCAAAAATAAGTTCATATTTAGGTAATTTTTGCTAAATTGTAAGAAAATTCTTGTAATTTTTAAAGCACTTTCCCTTTCAATAAAAAAGAAAAGTGTGTCCTTTATTTCTCCAATTTCTGATGCCTCCAGTCTTCCACAGGTACTAATGTAAATCTTCTATGGATGCCAACAATTAGAGGGGTAAATGCTCTTGTATCACATCTTTTCTCCACTACCTTATTTTAATCTATGTTTCTATTACAGTTCATATTAGTATACCTAATTAAATTATAATCATAGAGAGAAGATAGCATTTAGCAAAACTAGAAAATAGGTAGTCAAATACAGATTAAGTAATTCCATAGCATAAAGGCAAGAAACAATCACCACCCAAACACCCAAAAATTTCCCTAAAGGGCTTATTTCTGAATCTAATATGTCACAAGGACAGTATCAATTAAATGTGAATGATGGTCATATCTCCAATTTTGGTAGAGAAATGGGTTTAAAATTCCCTATAGATATCATTTAACTTCTTTGTAGTCTAGTTACTGCCACACAGTTGAGACATTATATCTCAGAGAAGTTTATGCTAAGCTGAAAGAAGTTCAAGTCAGGGCAATGAAATTTTTAATTTTTATTCTTATATTTGAAACTAAGTCAAATACTTTTCACTAATTTTTGTGTTTATCTGTGGAGAAAGGTGTTCTAAAATTTGTTTAAGCTAAGGGCAATATAAAACTCCCTGTGGGGCTATTTGAATCAAGGAAGAAGTACTGAAGAAGGAAAGAAGAAAAAAGAGAAATACATATATAAAAGAAATCCAGTGTGTAAGAAAAATTGAGAACCACAGAGAAGAGAGAACATGACATCAAGGGAATTAAAAGAAGACAGAAGTCTGAGGTTACATTTTTGACACAAATTTTTTTTAAAGATTTGTTTATTTTTGCATACAAGAGCTGGGGTACAGGCCAGAGATGTGGGGGTGGGGTAAGAGGATTCACCAGAGACAGAGTGGGGAACAGAACAGGCAGACTGACTGAAGTACACTGCCGAGGGGAGCAGCAGGCGAGACAGGAGAGGTCTGCTTCCCCATGTGGGTTGCTCTCTGGCTGGCTGGGGATCAAATTCCTGCTGTAGAGGCTGCAGATTGCTTCATAGTGCAGTGCTTAACCCCTTGCATCACCAGGGAGGCCCTGTTTCTGTTTTTTATAGCATTTTTTTTGAGCTACCAAAAGATAATTAAACAATAGCAACAAGTACTAGCAAGAATTGATCAAACATTCCACTATACAAAATATTTTGCCTTCATTTGTCACACTAATAAATTTTATTATTTTAAACAAAGTAATAAAAATTTACATGTAATGTTAAACATAATCTAAAATGTTAAACTCAATTATTAAATCAAAAAAATTTATAATGCTTGAGGTAAGCACTAGAGGAGTCACAGTAATAAAGAAACAAATTTCCTGTTTTAAAAGAAAAAGCAGGGCTTCCCTGCTGGTGCAAGGGGTTAAGTCTCAGCACTATGAAGCTATCTGCGCATGAGTTTGATCCCCAGCCAGGGAGCTAACCCATAGGGCACAGCAGACCTCTCTTGTCTTGCCTGCTGCTCCCCTCAGCAGTGTATTTCAGTCAGTCTTCCTGTTCTGCTCCACACTCTGTCTCTGGTGAATCCTCTCACCCACCACACCTCTGGTCTACATTACAGCTCCTGTATGCATAAATAAATATAATAAATCTTGGGGCCTCCCTGGTGGGGCAAGGGGTTAAGCACCGCACTATGAAGCAATCCACAGCCTCTGCAGCATGAGTTTGATCCCAGGCCGGCCAGGGAACAACACACATGGCACAGCAGACCTCTCCTGACACTGCTCCCTTCAGCAGTGTATTTCAGTCAATCTGCCTATTCTGTTCCCCACTCTGTCTCTGGTGAATCCTCTCATCCCCCACATCTCTGGCCTGTACCCCAGCTCTTTTTTTTTTTTTCAAGATTTATTTATTTATTTATACAAGCACTGGGTACAGTCAGAAGCACGGGAGGGTGAGAGAATTCACCAGAGACAGAGCGGGGAACAGAACAGGCAGACTGACGAAATACACTGCTGAGGGGAGCAGTGGGCATGGCAGGAGAGGTCTACTTCGCCACATGGGATCCTCGCCGGTGGCCAGGGATTGAACCAGCGCTGCAGAGGCTGTGGGCAGCTTCACAGCCCAGCGCTCAACCGTTGCTCCACCAGGGGAGACCCATCCCAGCTCTTGTATGCATAAATAAATAAATCTTTAAAAAATAAATAAAATAATTTTTTTTTAAATAGAAAGAACAAAGACTGGCAAACTCTTAAATTAAAAAAAAAAAAAGACAAAGCAGTCATGCAAATTAGCAAAATAGGGAATTTAATACCTGGATCAGCTTTTTATTAAAAAAATAAACAACCACCTTTAATTATGACACTACTATTAACAGCAATAGTTTTAAATTAAACTCATTAAATACCTCAGGCAACATGCTAGATTTCTCTAATTGTTATTAATTATACTAAAAATGTTCTTTTTCTGTTTTACAGATGAGACAACTGCAGTGAAGATGCTGAGTAATTTGTACAAATTTAAATATTCAACAGGTGGCAAGGCCTGGTTTTGAATAAAATACAAGTAATTCTGAAGGTCATGCTCCATCTTTCAGATATTTGTTCTTGTGGTAAAAAAATGATTTCTAGTGATTTTTTAAGGGTGCTCGTTTAAGCCCTGGTACAGAAGAGCATTTATTTATTGTGATACTCAATATTTTATGAGGTATTTTATTACCTGTTAACTATAAATCTAACCTTATTTTTTGTTTACATCGAGTACTGATACACAAAATTTAAGACTTCAAAAGCAGTAATTTTCCATTCCAATTTCCTAAACTAGGCACCACGATGAAAAAAAAAAGAACAATGTTTAAGGTACTTAAGAACTAAGAAGAAAGGTTCAAAGATAATATAGTACCAAAACACAATATATTACCAATTATTAAGAATAAATTTTTAAATATGCAGGGCATTCATAAATTTAGTCAAACTCACTTGAAGAAATTTCATAAAATGTTAATAGTGCTATCAATTATAATGATTTCACCTACTTTATAAAATGCATTATAAGCATTACTTACTTACTAAGCACCTGTGTATTCAATTAATTCAAGTAGACTAGTCAGTATACATTTCAATTTATTTTTCCCTACACATTCTTCAAGTATTATTTCACAGAACTTAATAGTTAAAATTTCCCAAATTTGGGCCTCGCTGGTGGCGTAGTGGTTGAGTGCTGGGCTGCGAAGCTGCCCGCAGCCTCTGCAGTGCTGGTTCCATCCCCAGCCACTGGTGAGGGTCCCACATGGCAAAGCAGACCTCTCCTGCCGTGCCTGCTGCTCCCCTCAGCAGTGTGTTTCGTCAGTCTGCCTGTTCTGTTCCCCACTCTGGTTCTGGTGAATTCTCTCACCCTCCCACACTTCTGATTGTACCCAGTGCTTGTATAAATAAATAATCTTTGAAAAAAAAAATTCCCCATTTTTTTTAACTTACCAAATTATAAATTCCTAACAGAAGTGCTTCAATGCAACCATTACTCTGTCTGTCTCGACTAACGGTAAGCCGTAAATAAACCCACATCAATTCTGGCAAGAACTGCAGTGTGAACCTCTTAAGTCGAACTTCAGAGCTACGATAAAGCTCAAAAAGCTGGTGGCAGACAGGTTCCAGCAGCTAAAAGGAAAATAAAGTGCATTAATTATTTCCATTCTTTTGGCTTTAACTGTATTTCCTAAAGTCAAATATACTTATATAATATTCTAAATTTTCAATATTAACTTCTGCATATTTGAATCAATGTAATCAACAATTTAGCCTTTATGTAGAGACTACATATTAAATGATCAGCCCACCAACTATAAGAAGTATTCTGTACCCATATAATGCCAACATATTTTTAATACACTGTATTATTAAATTTATTAAATAATTAGTTCTTTTGCCAATATACTACACTTATATTTGGTGAATTTCCTTTTCTATGCGTACCAACCTTAACTATCCTCCATTTTTAAAGTTTCTATCTGAAGGAAACAATTTCAAATGATCTTAATTAAAATAAGCTTTAAATCTCCACTCAGGATATGATGTAAAGAAATTATATACCATTCAATAGAGAAAGATTTTGTACTACATAATATTTGGGCATTCAAAATGCAAACTAATATTTTTAAAACACATACAGGTAAAACAAACAAATTATCTTTCAAGACTACTTTAAATTCTACTAATTATAGTTTAAAGATTTTGAAAAGGAAGTAAGTATATAGAAATGCTTTTTCAACATTTAACTGGGTAATTTTTCATATGGTGTCTCACAGTATAACTTATCAGGAACTTCATGAACTTCAAAACTGAAGATAATAAAATAAACTTCCTCACTATTCCCTAAACATGTACTGCCAACTTAGAATGATTTTGTTGGAAATACTGCAGAGTACAAAAAAACGCAGTGATTTTAAAGTACAGATAAAACACTGACAGGAAACTATAAAATAACATTTAAATTAAAAATTACCACTATCTTTAAAAAATGAATAATTCAGTATTTAATATGCTTACCTCTATTGTGATTAAAATATGCATACACATTTGAAAATCTGCTTGAATATAGCGATATATGTCTGTAATAATCTAACACTCTAAAATAGTCATCACTTTGAAAAATATAAATTGTAAGTCAACAAATCCTATGTTGACTGTATAGTGAATATATCTGATGAATTAAGTCACAGACACCTTAGTCTAGTAACTATTAGGCCCTTTATGTGAAATCATTATCACAGTATGTTATTGTCTTTTAAAAAAAAATTGTAATTCTCCCCTTACATTGAAGTCTAGAGTAGTGAAGACAATTTGCCAAACATCACAGAAGATACTGGAAGTGGTGGAGGAAGACACTAGAAGTCTTCTGACACAAAGCTGTTGTTACTATTATACCCCATTTCTTATAGAAGAATGGAGGTAGAGTACAAGGTGAAGAGTGTTTAATTACAAACATATACTCCATGTAGTACCAATAATGAAGCAATAAACTTTTGAAAATTGTCAACTGCTGACATCTTTTTAAAGTACTGATAATATTGAGCTTTTTGAGGGGAATTAAAAATTGCTGCTTTCATAAATTTATATGCTAAAAACATATATCCATGTTCCAAATCTACCTTTTCTCTTTGGAAAAGTCTCCAAAATTGCTCTTAAAAACTGTGTTGCTCATGGTACAATTATATTTGTTTGTTATAAAGACCTTATCTTCCATTACTCAGCAACCAGAAGTACATAGCATGCAGGAAATTGTTTTAATTAGGCATAGCAAAAAAAACCAGAGTTACCAAAATTATTGCTCTGCTTTTTTTTAAAGATATGGAGGAGTAGTGGCTGGCAATCCAGTAACTTTTAATCTCATAGCAAGCTCAGACTGTTAATAACTTGCAAATGCTATCTGTTAAGGTCTTTAATTCCAAGCATATGTAACATGCCATCAAGTTCTCAATTCCTCAATATCATAAATGATTATAACTTCCTCTAATGGCACTATCATCACATTAAAAATGTTGAAAATCACTATCCTCTTGTTTAAAAAAAAAGTTTTAAGAATAACTGACACCTTTCCAAAATTTAGAAATAATTTTGACATAACTACAAAGAGATACTCAATCTGAAAAACAAATTGAGGATAGTTCAATTTGTGTGGGTTAAAGGAGGAATGTGAGGTCAGGAAAAGGGGACAAGAGACAAAGGCTATAAAAAACAATTCTCTATAAAATACATCTGTGGAGGTGATCAGAGATATGGGGTAAATAATGAAATAGGAGGCAAATCAAAGAAGGCTTCTTAAAAATGGAATGTTTTCCATATTCCATTCATCAGGGAAGAAAAAAAAAATCAATGGAGGAAAGAGAGAAGTTAATTATTAATCAGTCTTTGAACTGGCTAGAGAAGATGGGATTCAGGCCTAAGTGGAAGACATGAACTTTGATACACTCTGGGACTCTTCAGTTAATGAATAATAAAAAAGGTAGAAAAGTGTGGGTAGAGATGCTGATAGATTAGTAGATTTGAATGGGAAAATAACAAAATTTCCAATCATTTTCTTCTTTTTTTAATGACATAGAAAGTAAGCTGAGAATAAGGAGAAAGAAGGACAAGAGGAAGTTGAAGGTATAAAATGAACCCTGGAGGCCTCCCTGGTGGCACAAGGGGTTAAGTCTCAGCACTATGAAGCTATCGACAGCCACTATGCACAAGTTCAATTCACCAGCAGGGAGCTAACCCACATGGCCAGAAGACCTCTCCTGTGTAGCCCATTGCTTCCCTTAGCTGTGTATTTCAGCAGTTTTGCTCCCCACTCTGTCTCTGGTGAATCCCCTAATCCCCTGCATCTCTGACCTGCACTCCAGCTCTTGTATACATAAATAAATACAATAAATCTTTAAAATAAACCCTGGGACAGTATACCAAGGGAGTAAGGAAGACTGCAAATTTCATTTATATGTCCATCAGAGATTTGAGAAAGTCAACAAAATTTATTGTCTTCAGACAAGTTTAGGCACTCATGCAGGCATGAAGTAAATGGATGGCTGGATTTTATCCCTGTACAAAATTTTGTCAAAGAATATGAACTGAGAGGAAAAAGAGCTAAGAATGTTTCCAAGGGATGGAACATGAAAATTTATCTGGGACAAGAGAGAAGTGAGACATTTTAGGTGGAAGGGGTAATGCAAGTGAACCATTAAAAAAGTGATATGGGTTAAGTGTATGGGATGGAGATCTCCTTAAAGTTGAAAATTGCTAATGACTAAGATGAAGAAGGAGAAAAATAAAGCAATATGTTGTTCTAGAGATTAAAATTTAAGTTATAATACAGGTTAGCCATGATACAGAATATTAAAGTTCTGGAAATCTACTTCCTTAAGCACTTTCATGGTCTTTAAAGCGAAATTTAGACTGTCAAAGTTTCAATTAATATTATATACTCATGTGACAATCTTCTGAAATAATTTCTTCTTAAGGAAATAGTACATTAGATTGTTTCAACAAAAACAAGACTAGAAGAGCTCTCCTTCTGGGACTAAAGAGCAGAATTGCTTTGAGATTCTCTAGAGCTTACCATTCTGTTGGTAATTAAGTATGAACACATGGTTAGAACTTTATTACCTGACAGAAGAAAGGATGGAAAGAAAAATCTATTTTGGCAACTGACTGATTATAATGAATGCTGGGTCTTAAGCCTGGATCTCTCAAGTTGCTATTTTTCTACTTCTAGCCAGGACAAGTTCTCACACATTAATATTATGAAGGGGCCTCCCTGGTGGCGCAAGGGGTTAAGATGCAACCTATGAGGCTGTCTACACTGCAGCACTAGTTTGATCCCCGGACAGGGAGCTACCCACATGGCACAGCAGACCTCTCCTGACTCACCCGCTGCTCCCCTCAGCAGTGTTTTTTGGGTAGTCTGCCTGTTCTGTTTCCCACTCTCTCTCTGGTGAATCCTCTCACCCCTTCTTCCCCACACCTCTGTTCCTCCCCCACGCCTCTCACCCCAGTTCTTATATGCATAAATAAATCTTTTAAAAAAATTATGAAGTATAACAATATAAAGTTACCTGAATAACTTTACTTAATATCAAAGCTTCCAAAGTATTAAGGAAAAAAACCAATACTTTTTATACACTCATTAATCTTAATAAAAATGGTAACATTTTTTGAATTTCATTTTGTATTTCAATAGTCTTGTAATTGGCATTTATTAAGTGTTCATTATATATATGATCAAATACTAGATTTTAAGTAGGTAACAAATATAGATTATATGACCTCTGCCCATGAAGAGCTTACAATCTACCAAGAAAGCATAAAACAAATAAATTTTAATAAGCGAAGCTTAAATGTTACAACAGTGCAGAATGAGGGGTAGGAAATATACACATTCATTATTCAAAAAGAATTTTGAAAACTCCTGACCAAAAAGGATATGCATATAGGTACATTACTACACCTAAAGTTATAGAACATTCATAAATACAAAGCAAGAGAAAAAGAAGCAAATGAATCCCACAATTGCTGCTACAAATAGCAACAGATGCAAGCCTAACAGAGCCAATCCAAGTTTAGAAGATAGGAAAGAAAGAGGTCAATAAGCAAGCTTTTAGTGATAAGACAAAAATGAAGATGCACTGTAAGTTAAGCTGCTGGTTAGGAGATGATTACCTGAACTTCTTCAACTCACTCCTGTACACAGCAGAGGCACTCTTGGAGGCTGTATCTGGGAAGATAAGAAGCTACTTTCCTGTGTGTTCCTTTCATTTTCATTTTAAAGCAAACATGAATCCAGTGGTGATAAACTATATGTCATACTATTGTGTTAATGGAAAAAAACTGTGTGTATTTTGTATAAATTAACATATAGATTCAAGAGCTGCATTATTTTCCTCCTTCTATCACAATGCTGAATAACAGGAAATTCTTATTCTAAGTTTATTGGTGTTGACTATTTAGATTATTACTATTTAGATTGACTTTTAGATTAAAAAATCTAAAAGGTTTCTCTGATCATTTTCAAGCTAAACTTACTAGCAACATCATTTTATGTTACCAGTTTGAGTTCAGTGATTAGAGCAATTTTACATGGTTCTATATTGTTAACAAAATAACTGCAAATAATACTTTAATAAATCTCTATCAGTGGCTTCCAAAAAAGGAGACATTCCAGAACCAGAAACAGAGCAAAGTTTCAAATTACATAATCTATTGAGATGATGGTCACTTAATTTCAAGAATCAACACATAGTGTCCTCAAGAGGAATAAATTTGGTGAAAACAGTAAAAAATATGGAGAGGGAGGGTATGGGGAAAGCCAAAGCAACTATCAGAATGAAAAACAGCAGGAAGAAAGTTTCCTAGTCCCATTAGAAGAATTAAAAAAAAAAAAAAAAAAAAGAGAAGGGAAAACTACAAAAATTACATATATATATATTTGGTACACATATTTCATTTTACTATGTTGAAATTTTTTTCTTATAAACTTTCCTACCTCATTGTTAGAATCCTGAATAACTTTATAGAGTGCTGGTACCAGTGATTTTTTCCGATGCAAAGTTGCTGCATAATTGGTGATCTGAGTGTCAGGTAATGCCTAAAAGAAACATTGAAAGAAAACAATCAGAAACTTTATTTTATATGAGTTCATCTTGAAAAGATTTATAATAGAGTCAACTAAGAAAAGTAAAAATTAATATAAGAAATAATCATGAGAGGTTAACCTAATAAATTAGGTTAGGATGCTATGTTATACAATTGGTAATTATGAAAAATCATTAGAAATCACAAATTATAGCAAGATTTGCTGAAATGAGTCATCTTAAACTAATCTAGTCCACAAAAAAATACAGAATATATTTGAATTCTTGCATTTTATGTTTATGAAGTATTTATTTCTGTAATGTCCATAAATAATATAGTTTTCAATTTTGCAGGAAATAAAAACATAGGACACAAATGCCATTTTTGTGCTTACTAAAGCTCGGAGGCTTTCCCTCTTATTGAATGTATTTTAAAATGTATATAGTCCGGGCCTCCCTGGTGGCGCAGGGGTTAAAGTCTCAGTGCTATCAAGCTATCACCAGTCACTGTGACATGAGTTTGATCCCAGGCCAGGGAGCTGATCCACATGGCACAACAGACCTCTCCTGTCCCGCCTGCTGCTCTCCTCAGCAATGTATTCCAACAGATCTGCCTGTTCTGATCCCCACTCTGTTACTGGTGAAGCCTCTCACCTCTGGCCTATACCCTAGTTCTTATATACATAAATAAATAAAAATAAATCTTTAAAAAATGATAGGGCCTCCCCTGGTGGCTCAGCGGTTGAGCGCTGGGCTGCCAGGCTGCCCGCAGCCTCTGCAGCGCTGGTTTATTCCCTGGCCGCCGGTGAGGGTTCCACAAAAAAATAAATAAATAAATAAATAAATAAATAAATAAATAAATAAATGATGATAATAAAATAAAAATTATATAGACCTCCATTAATCTTTTTTTTTTTAAGATTTATTTATTTATTTATACAAGCACTGGGCACAGTCAGAAGCACAGGAGGGTGAGAAAATTCACCAGAGACAGAGCGGGGAACAGAACAGGCAGACTGACGAACTACACTGCTGAGGGGAGCAGCGGGCGCGGCAGGAGAGGTCTGTGCACCATGTGGGACCCTAGCTGTCAGCAGGGGATCAAATCAGCGCTGCAGAGGCTGCGGGCAGCTTCACAGCCCAGCGCTCAACCACTGTGCCAACAGGGGAGGCCCCCTCTATTAATCTTAACATGAAGCTCTTCTAGCTCTTATTCACATTGTCTTTTTAAAGAGTTAGATCATAAGAACATGTCACTGACATACAGAATCATAATACATTCTTATCCTCAATCTAATTTACCTTGAATTCTGATAACCATTCTTCCACAACACCACGTTCAGATCCCAGCATCTTCTTCTACCTTCTATTCTCTTTTTCCGCTGAAAGAAAAAAACATTCAACTTGAAGATAGCTTTACTTACAGAAACTACCACTGGTAAATAATGTGTGCCTTTCACTAAAGGAAAAACTCATCTAATATATTTTTAAGATAGAGCTCAATTAAAACAAAATTATCTTTCAGAACTCATTTCTTTAAGCTCCATTTTTAGTTAAGTTTGAGACTTATTTTCCTAAAACTTTTATAATTCCCCCAGCAACTATACTTCAAAGTGGCAAAAACAAGTTTGCTGAATGAAATCAAACTTCATATTATGCAGAACAAATGTACAGTCTACACCTGGAATTTTTACCAAACATACAACTAGAATAAGTTACACATCACAGAACAAACCATGTGACAGATTATAAATAATAGAGTTAGAAAAGCTAGATACCAAGGGTCATATAATCAGCAAAGTGATTATAAATGCATATATAATAAGCAAAATGAAGCCCATGAAGAAGGAAGATTTCTAAATGGAAAAATAAGCAACTTAAAAAAACAAGCATGTAAACTATAACTCAATTAATAAATTATGTAAAATGTAAAAAAGTGATGTAACATACACACACTTAACAATGAAGTGTTTGCCTCTGAGGGAAGGGTTACTGAGAATATTCTATGTGTATAATTTTGTATTTTAGTATTCTACTTACTAAATTAAGGACTTTTTAAATTTTGCTTTAATCCCCAACTTTTTATTTTGAAAGTCTGCAAACTTTTGGGGCAAGTTGAAGAAAGGTGCAATAAACACAGATAAATCTTTCACCCAGATTCTCCAATTCCCTGTTCTCTCTCATTCTCTTTTCTGTCCCCTACCCTCACCCCCAACCATTTTGGAGTTCTTGTAAACACTCTATTTCACCACTAAGCACTTCACCATGAATTTCCTAAAGAAAAAAAGAATCTCCTACACAACCACAAAATCACATGTAGGAAATTTTACATTGTTAAAGTACTGATCTGTAATATTCAGTCTGTATTCAAATATCCCCAATTGTCCCAATGATGTCCTTGGTATAAAGTTTTATTTCTATTAAAGTTCAAAAGAATATAAAAATTAAAGCAAAGCCTAAATTAGTTTCTTAGAAAACAAGTTTATCAGGATAAATCTAATGTCTTGATCTTTGTTTACTATCTTCCTTAACCACAGATTTGGGATATCAAATCACTAGTTTCTGCCAATACCATTTTAAAAATGACTGCAAATTAGCAACCTTTAAATAGAGAAATATAGTGGTGCTAATAATAATTATAATCAAAACACCATCACATCGCCTCACCTCTAGAATAAGAATACTACTAATTTTCTTTTTTTTTTTAAGAAGTGGGGTACAGGCCTGAGGCGAAGGGGGTGAGAAGATTCACCAGAGAGAGCAGGGAGTAAAACAGGCAGATGTACCGAAATACACTGCTGAGGGGAGCAGCGGGCGAGACAGGAGAGGTCTGCTGCACCATGTGAGTCGCTCCCCAGCAGGGCAGGGATGGAACTCACGCTGCAGTGAGCCGCACAGCGCTGTGCTCAACCCCCTGCACCACCAAGGAGTTCCCACCACTAATTTTAAAACAGATATTTATTGGGCCTCCCTGGTGGCTCAGGCGGTTGAGCACTGCACTGTGAAGCTGTCCGCCACCAGGGAGGCCCAATTAATTTTTTAAAAGTCCATTACACATCAACATAAGTGACATCTTAAAATTACAAGTTCGTTTTTTTTTTTCAAAATAAAAACAAATTTAATGAGAAAAGCAGTATTTTACATTTTTTGCAAATCTCATAATGCTCCTGTAGTCAATCTGTTACTGAAAAATTTCACCATCTATTCATCAGAAAATGACAGTGAAGACAAATACTGTCTTAGTATTAATATAAAAAGTTTTGGTTCCATCCACTTAAATGATTCCCAGAATACACTCTGAGCATGGACTCTGGAGTCAGAAGTATATAAGTTTTAGATAACTTACTCCAGCTTTGTTTAAACCCTCAAGCCCCACGAACTAGCTAATCTTAAATCCTCTGAGTCTCATTTCTCTCATATCAAAAGCAGGAATAACAGTACTTAGTTCTTATAGTTATGTACTTACCACAGTTCTTATCACAAGGTAAGCACTAAATACATGTTTGCTACAGTATTATATAATCTTCATGATACTATGTACTATAAAGTAGTTTCTGTTATTCCCATCTAATAGATAAGAAAATTAAGATGTAAAGAGGCTAAATGACCCTCACAAGGTCATACAATATATGTGGCAAAACTCAGATTTGAATTTAATTCCTACTCTAATAATCTATAGTTGACAAAGGCACTATAAAACTGGCCCCTTTTTTATGGGTCATACCACCACCCTGCCACAGCATTCAAAATTCTAACCATAATTTCCTCTCTGTTTCTTTACACCATCATGGACATCTTCACACCAGTTTGTGTAGTCTGTTCCAACAAGGAATGCTGTCCTATTTCTGCTTTGTAAATAAATGGTTCCATTCAGTTCTCAGCAGGTCTTTCTTGACCACTTTATCTAAATAGCAGCCCTTTCTCCTTCACTAACATTTTCTATTCAAACAAATATGTTTGTTTCCTTACTAGAGCTTTGATCTTATATCCTATTAGATAAGATACTTTCTAAATCTAAAATCCTATAAATAAATTTTAGCATCTATATTTGAAAAAACAGAATAGTACTTGTTACAGAGATATTTTGCCAATATTTATTTCTTAACTATACTGAATATCTTATAGTATCTAGAGATAGCTATGAATACAGTTATAAAGATATTGCAATTTTTTTCTTTTATATAAATGGAAAACAGAATTCTGAAGATCATTTCTTTTACTGTATATTATACAGTGATACACCTAGCTATATGAAAACCGAATTTAAAAGCAAAAATCAAGCTGATGCTCCAACACACTGCACAATTCAGGTTCATACTGCCTTACTTCCAGAGTATTTAATAAAGAGGATATCACTGAAAATGATGATCATTTGGTGACTATGGTAATGGCAATCTTTATTAACAATTCCTAATTACAAAAAAATAAAATAACACTGATAGAATATGATCTGAAGGAGGATGATAACTGCTTGATCAGAAGTACACTCACAGTACTTGTACAAGTACAATAAATTGTTACCTACATGGGTAGAAACTGTGTCTTAGCTAACAAGTAGCATACACCTCTTTAAAGAACTGTAAGAACTGTCAATTTACAAAGAATCAAATAGAAGAGACAATACAGTCTAATAGTTAAAGAGTATGGACTCTGGTGGTTCTATCTTACTTGTCAGCTCCATGTCTTACAAGCTACATGTCCCTGGGAAAGGTACTTAACTAATATCTATGCCCTCAAATACCATATTTATAAAATGGAGAACAGCCACACTTAGTGCACCCAATCTTGTCATAAAATGGAGATGACACTACCTATTGATATATGAAAGGTTCCTTTTTTTTTTTTAAAGATTAAATAAGTTAACCTATCATTGAACAAAGCAACCTATGATTACTGCTCTCACTGGTTTCTATTAGACCAAAATTATTGGCTGAACAAAGCTATATTTATCAAGGCAACATATGAGATAGTAAAAACTGATTTTTGCTATTACAAATTTTCAAACTAGGTCAACAACTATGAAGATATTTCAAGGTATAAATTAAAGATGTGTCACTATCATAAATAACAAATTCCCTAAGATAAAACCTAGAGCTGCACTATTCAGTTGTAACCACTAGCCACATGTCAATATTTAAATTAAAATTAATTAGATAAATTTAAAGATTCAATTCTTTAGTTGCAGTAGCTACATTTCAAGTGCTCAGTAGCTCTATGGAGCTTGTATCTCCCATACTGAACAACAGATAGGGATAAAAGCCTTCATCACAGGAATTCTATTGGACAGCACTCATCTAGATGTGGCTCTCATAGATAATATAATTATGCTGAGTAAATTTAGTAACTCACTAACTGTAAAGTTTAGGCAACAAAAAGATGAAAAGACACAACTATTAAAAGGAAACACTTTCAGAAGTAAAATTCAAAGGTCATAATCAATATATGACTGTTTCAAGTCTTCTAAGAGAAGTTACTAAACAAGTACAAGGTATCTATTCATTCTTCATCCTTTAAGAAGTTAAGTGCTGTAATTTTACCTCTGTTCTAAGATCAGTTTTCTAAAGGAGGAGGTGGCACAGGAATGCGGCAGAGTTCAAATGTGGAATTCATTTGTTGAGACTTAAATATTTTCCAACTCTATAAAAAATGAAAATGAAAATCTGTGAAATATCAAGAGATAATTACCTTAAAAATATCATACAAAGGAGAAAGAACAGTTAACAAAAAGTAATTTATCTAACTTAAAAAATAATTAGGGATTAAAAAAATTCTATAGTAACTAGCATACACCATTATCAAACCTAATTAAAAATCATTAAATAAGGAGAGAGGAAGCCTGAAGTTATAGTTTCAAATATACCATAAATTATCTGCAAGAATTGAACCTGTTACTTAAATTATCTGGAGCTTCATTTGAATAAACTATAAAATTATGTTCCAGCTAAAAATTCTATGAATCTAACTTTTCAAATGTTACAGTAATCTATCTCTCACACATATACACACTATGAAAATTATAATACACAGTATAAAATTAAGCATTAGTAGTATCAAACTATAAAATAATGTTGGATGAATTTCACAGAACTGAAAATTGTATTATTTTTAAAAAGAACACAGAAAACGCTATTACTTGAATTTGTGGCACAAAGCATATTAAAAGTTTTGATTGGAGAGGATAATCTCAAATTGCTAAAAGTACACTTTTCTCATAAAGTAATTCTATTTTCAATAAATTGACGCCTGGCTACATTAAGCTCTACCTCTATTATTCAAAACTGTACCACAACTTTAAAATCTAAAACACCAACAGAAACATCTCAAAATGGGTTCTTTAACAAAATGCTATTTTTTAAATACAAAGAATAACTTAATAAAATTTTCTTGGAGTTAGATTACATATGACTGTAAAGTCTCCAATGATTTTCAAACTGAAAAATGTGTCAGAATCTCCAATTCCCAACAACAGTAGTTGACTTCTTAATCACTTATATATTGGGCTATTACTTGAGATTTTCATTCCTAACAAGTTTTGCAGAGGGGGTGGTGGAAGCTTGTGGAGGGAGAAAACTTGAAAAGGACTAATAGCCTATATCTGGAAAGACACACTAGACTGTAACACTTTAGGAAGTGTTCTAACCATCTTTTTTATAGCTTAGGGATTTTGAATCACTAAGATAATAAATAGAGGAGTGCAATCTGGCAGATTTGAGAGCTATGCTGGGAACTTCTGCAGAGATGGTGCTCCAACAATATTTCTTAAAGACACAGATACCCCTTAGGCTTTTTATTTATACATAAAATAAATAAATCAAAAAACCAATGAGGGAAATGATGGGAAAATTTAGTTTTATTCAGCTTTAACACAGTCCTGAAACTGTTCAATTCTTTATTAATTGGGAGTAATAGGTCCCTCATCCATATGAGTAACAGAAAAAAATGATAAGCCTATAGGAAGATAACAATGTTAAGAGACTTTATGGTTCTTTCATACACAAAGTATATAAATGTGGGATATATCCAAAATGATTAATACATATATAACTGAAGTCTCAGATAAGAAGAGAAAGATATAAACAACATTCAAAGAGAATAATGTGGCTTATTTCACTGAGCAAAATCCTTTGCAGCTCTATCCATGTTGCTGCGAATGGCATTAGTTTATCTTTTTGGATTGCTGAATAGTATTCCATTTTGTATATATACCATATCTTCTTGATCCAGTCATCTATTCTAGCAAAGATTTTAAATCAGCTCTTTTAAATATGTTCAAAGAAAGGAACCAAATATAAAGAAATAAAGTTTAAAAATGAGGTCTTGAGGGTCTCCCTGATGGTGCAAGGGGTTAAGACGCAGCCTATGAAGCGGTCTGCAGTCACTGCAGCACAAGCTCGATCCCCAGCCAGGGAATTACCCACATGGCGCAGCAAACCTCTCCTGACTCGCCCGCTGCTCCCCTCAGCAGTGTATTTCAGTCAGTCTGCCTGTTCTGTTCCCTACTCTGTCTCTGGTGAATCCTCTCACCTCCCCCCCATGCCTCTGACCTATACCCCAGTTCTTGTATGCATAAAAATAAATAAATCTTTAAAAAAAAATGAGGTCCTGAGAATAAGACTTTAGATAGAAATTAACATATAAAAGAAGGAAATAGAAATCCAGAGTCAAGAAGTACAATAACTAAAACAAATAATTCATAGAGGAGCTTGGAAGTACATTTGAGTTAACAAAAGAACCAGTGGAACTAAAAATAGGTCAGTTAAGATTATCTTCTCTGAGGAGCATAACAAAAATAAAATGGAGATAATATACAGAACCTCGAGACTTGAGGGATACTATCAAATATACCAACATAAAAATAATGGGGAACAGAAACAGTTGAAGAAAAATGGCCTAACACTTCCCAAAAGTGAAAAACATTAATCTATATATCCAAGACGCTCAACTAACTCTTATTTGGAAAAACTCAGAGATCCACACCTAGACACACAGTAAGTGGTTAAAAACCATTTAAGTATGTGCTGTGCAGTTTGTCTAACTTAAAACTTTTTAAATTCTTACTAACAGCTTCAAGAAACAATTTCAGATCATGGAAAGAAGTATGCTTTCCTGGGGTTAAGGAAATCAAGTCTCAAGAATGAGAAGCAAAAATGCAAAGAACAGACCTGAGAAGGAATATGAAATCTGAAGTTGAGGAGTTTATATTGTCTGGGTTACGTGGATAAAGTATAATAATCAAGGCAAGATGTAGATGTTAACTTTACCACACTTCCCTAGCCCATCTATTTTTTCATTCCCAAAAAACAGCAAGTAATTTGTCCCAGAGTGAACAAAACATTAAATCCTTTAAAATACAAGATATAATTTTATCACATAGGAATTTTCTCTCGTTTTCCGATTGATTTCAAAACTACGGTAGTTTGTGCCACTGGGGAGGCCCATCATTTTTGTTTTTGGGGTTTTTTTGGGGGGGGCAGAGAGGGAGAAGAGTATTAGTGTTGTATTCTTTAGTCATAAGGATCTAGTTGTCACTTTTTGACACATTAGCAGCTGTTGGCGATCAATGCTTTAGGGATTGCAAAAAATGGTGGGCCTCCCCTGGTGGCGCAGTGGTTGAGCGCTGGGCTGCAAAGCTGCCCACAACCTCTGCAGTGCCGGTTCGATCCCCAGCCACCGGGTGAGGGTCCCACATGGCACGCAGACCTCTCCTGCAGTCCGCTGCTCCCCTCAGCAGTGTACTTCGTCGGTCTGCCTATTCTGTTCCCTGCTCTGGCTCTGGTGAATCCTCTCACCCTCCCATGTTTCTGACTGTACCCAGTGCTTGTATAAATAAATAAATAAATAAATAAATCTTTTAAAAAAATGGCTATAAACTATCTGAATATATCATCCCTTCTTCACATAATTTGATGAATTATTTCCACAAGGAGAAACTTCTTTTTATCTAGTAATTGATTACTCTAGTAGTATTTTTATAGGAAAAATGGGATAAAAGCATAATTTCCCTCCTTATTTTCCAGTTTCAAAATGACTGGATTAACTGACATCCTCTACTGGCAATCAATTAGTTTTACTTTAAGCATCATTATAAACTCACAAGCTAAATCTAATTGATGTTTTAAGCCACTAAAGTTATATTATTCTTATTTGTACTCAAATAAAGTTATTATTCTTTTTTTTTAAGATTTATTTATTTATAAATACAAGAGCTGGGGTACAGGCCAGAGATGCAGGAGGTGAGAGGATTCACCAGTCAGAGCGGGGAGCAGAACAGGCAGACAGACTGTAAGCACTGCTGAGGGGAGCAGTGGGCAAGACAGGGGAGGTCTGCCACACCATGTGGGAATCTCCCTGGCTGGCCTGGAATTGAACCGGCGCTGCAGAGGCTACAGACAGCTTCACAATGCCGTGCTCAACCCACTGTGCCACCAGGGAGCCCTAAATTTATTATTCTTATTAGTCTCACCTTTGCCCACTGGTAGCTTTTCATGGTTGGTTTCTGTGCAAAAAAGAATTAACTCAGGAAGCCTGGGTTGTTCAAACCTTGCACATTCCCAATACGGTCTGTTTATTTAGTCATGAAGTAGCCAGTGTATTAGTTTCCCAGGACTGTTACAACAAAGTACAGTGCCACAAACTGCATGCCTTAAAACAATAGATTTCATTGTCTCACAGCTCTGATGGAGGCTAGAAGTCTGAAATTATGATGTCAGCAGGGCCATACTTCCTATGAAACCTAGAAAGAATTTTTCCTCACCTTTTCTAGTTTCTGGAGTTGCCAGCAATCCTTGGTATTCCTTGGTTTACAGATACATCACTCCAATCTCTGCCTCTCTTATCACTATCTTCTTACAGTGCCACGCCTCTTCTTATAATGGCACCAGTCATATTGGATTAAAGGCCTATCTATCCTACTCTATTGTAGTATGACTTCACATTAACTTACTGTATTTGCAATAATCTATTTCCAAAAAAGGTCACATTCTGAGAACTGGGGATTGAGACTTTAACTTTCTAGGGAGTCACAATTCAACCCAAACAGTTGTTCTGGGGAACTGAACTCTTGAAATGTTCTAGTAAAATTATTTTATATACTTGGGGTCTTGAATAATAAGACTGTACAGTTTGCCTAGATTGCTTGATTAAACAATATGATTATGGTAAACATCTGCTTTCTTTTTGGAAACTTCAGTAATTATGGCTTGTGTGACCAATCCCCAATGATAATGCTAGACATCTAGATTCAAGCAATCTTTCCTAGTAGACAACACTTCACACATACTGTTACAATTCATTACTGAAGGGATTAAGCACATCTGTTGAACTCCACTGAGATAGGACTCTTTCAAGCTTGCACCTTGTTTCCATCAAGCCTCACCCCACACCCCTTTTGCTTTTTTGGATTTGTATCATTTCACTTTAATAAAGTATAAATGTGAATAAATGACTACGAGTTATTCTAATAATACATGAAAGCTGGGAATGGCTTTGGTAACTTTCAATACAGCTCCTAAGTACTTTTTGAGATAAACCTGGTGATGTTCTACTAGATTCGTACTAAGACATGGAGTTCCAGGTTCATTTTGTACATTTCCTGCCCGAGACTTGTAATCAAACATTTCTCCAATGTACCCTTGTTT